GCAATGTTACTGAAAGTTGACGTATGTAGTACGTACTTTGTGCCCGAATAGTTTTCCGTTATTAATGCGGGTTTCACGTGAAGCTTTTAATTTATTCTCGCCCATGTTTATCGAGGAATCGATAACTAACCAACTTTTGACATATTGACGAGCTTATGACTTATAATGAGCCTTCTCCCATTCACGCAGGGAACACTTCCTGACAACCGCACGATCAGCCACGAGGTCGTGGTTGGAATTATTAATAACCCAGCAATTACAAACAGGCTTGCTTAAAATGCGTGAAGGCAGCAAGACTTGAGCGTAAATGTGGTCTCGTAACGTTCAAGTCATCGTCAACTTAATTAAGAAGACGAATCCAAGATGTCAAAGGGTATGGGTAAGATTTCTTCACAGAGATGGTTTCATTATTGATTCAGATAAATCATCAAAGGGTCAAACGAACTGGAGTCAGGGTTAGAAAATATGTAAATTCAACATGTGAACAGGGTTCGCTACCCCGGGTTTTTGTGGGTTGGGGTTTTTGGGGTTTTTGTGGGTTTTTGGGGTATCAAATCTCCGGAAAAACCCTAATGCTTAATGGGGTTTTTGCGGGTTTTTGTGGGTTTTTGTGGGTTTTTCCGGGGTTTTTGTAAGATTTTGGGACAGATTGAAACAAAATCCCTTAAACTACAACTTAAATCAATGCTAATTAAATTGACGGATTCATCATGAAATTTTGAGAATTTTCATGTGCGACTTGAATTTCCAAGTTTTATTGCATATTTCCAAGTTTGCATGCGAAATATGAATTTTCGATTTAACAGTCCAACTCAATGATAACGCTTAAAATTGCGTGTCAAAATCGTATATTAAATTACTTTTTATCTAATATATAATTTAAAGAATTTTGGTTCAACCTGCCCCAAAATCTACAAAAACCCACAAAAACCCACAAAAACCCACAAAAACCCCAAAAACCCCGGAAAAACCCCGGGGTTTTCCGAACCCTGCATGTGAATCCAAATTATGTTTTAATGTCAGAGGGCGGATATGTATTTATTTTTGACTTTTTCATTTGATGACGGCAGACGGTTAACTTTGTGGGTATGTTAACTAACTCGCATTGAGAACACAAATTTCAAAATATTTTTACATATTTGCTCATATTCCTAAGTTTTGGGACATACAAATTTTCGCTATTATTTGGAAAATGCGTAAATATGGTACCAATTTTGTAAAAAAATGCACACAGATTTTGTAAATATTTCAACAATACGTAATGAAATTTTTTTTTCGTTCATATTTCGTAAATTTCTTGTTTTTTCCTAAATATGAAATACATATTTCAACAATTTTTCAGAAATATATACCCGACCTCTGATAAATAATAAACTACTCGAGTAACGTATCACTCTCCAGGGTATTGCTTTCCCCTACTTTCTCCCCAATTTTGCGCACATTTTTAGCAAACAAACTCACCACCATCACGATTCAGTGTCATTGATGCAGAAATAGAATCCCGAATAATTTTCTACGTCAAGAATTCCCACACGTGCGGTTAACTCTGCTCATGCCGCCGTCCGTCCGTGACGGACGGCGTAACGAAATACGTAGCAGATTGAATCAAAAGATGATCATTCGTCCCATATATTATGCAGTTATCTATCGTTCCAGCCCGGCTCCCAGAGGAATTCGAACCTCGCTCCCCATTCATTTCACTCCGCATTCATTTCTATTATTCCCTTCAATCACGGTCATTAGAAGCAAACGTGATTTCACTGTCGTTTTCTCGCATCATTATAAAAATTCAGCATTTTCTATACACTGTTAAAAATCTGGTAGAGTAGCATGTACACTGCGTACTGGTATTGATCTGGTAATAACTTCCTACCCGATTGGTGGTAGTTTGTTGCTGCGTGGTAAATTTTTCATTAGCGCAACGTTACTAAACGGTAATGATTTAACACCAGAGTTCTAAAAGTTTATCATACTTTCATTGATTTGGTAATAACTTTCTATCCGAAGCAGTTTGTTTCTGAGTGGTAAATTTTTCATTACCACATCATTACTATACGGTAATGTCCCTTATTTCCAGTGCCGATGAAATCATATGTGTACTCTGTTCAGTAATGATCAATAACATTTGCTAAGAGTGTGGAATCTCGTTTTTATTACGGATTCAACAATTGATTGTTCCCAGCCCAACTACACCACCAGACGAGACGAGACCACAAGGAGGTATAATGAAAAGAAGAATGGAGCCCACAATTTGGGTGGGGATACGAAAGCCACACTATTTCTCTTCAAAGACAAGGTAGCAAATCAAAGTCGACAGAAAATCAAAACGAAACTGGGCCAAGTCAGGCTCAATTCATGAAGAAAGTGAAAAAGAGAAAGTTGCTTGGTTGGAAACTCACAATAATGAAATACCACAACGAACCCGTATCAATTCATTTCATTCAAAGAAATCCGACCCGTATCCCAGTATCAGTTTTACAGCAGACAATCACCAGAGGTGGGCAAAATATTGGGGCACAATACAAGATTTTGAGCTCTGTTCTTCAGATTTCCAGGGTTGTTACACCCACAAAAAGACGAGAATCTGCATGGAGAAGGCAACAGTCTTACTAAAATACAAGTTTATGAAAAAACTAGCTTTTTATCGCTGTCAAAATACTTTATTTTTAAAAATCGTGAAAACAATGAATTTTGACAGCGATAAAAAGTTAATTTTTTCACAAACCCTGTATTTTCGTAAGACTGTTGCCTTCTTCACACAGATTCTCGTCTTTTTGTGGGTGTAACAACCCTGGAAATCCAAATCCAAACCCTGGGAAACATTTTGCTCAAAATATGTAGTAAATTAATAAAAACGTTAAATTTTGGTGTGTTATGGAAAAGAAGCTCAAAATACTATATTTTTCCAAAGCATTTTGCCCACCCCTGCCAATCACCAACCACTCGCAGTACCACCACCAGGACTACAGAGAAAGGAGGAAATCGTGGTATACGTGGCTTGGCTGGCTCTGCGTCTTCTCCTATGTGAAAGTGGTTTGTGATTGTGAACGAGATCAAAGGATGAGACCAACAGCAGCAGCAGCATCGGCGAGGTGGTTTGCTTCCTTGGTTTCGGTTATCCTCCTGGATACCCCTTAAAAGCTGCATCCCTATCCCTACCCTTGTTCTGTCCTGTAATGTTTCGCAATGCTGGGAAGAATATTATATGCGAACGTTCCGTCCAACCCACTGACCTCACCGCATGACCATCCTGGAGGAAAATTCGGGAGATAAATACGTACAAAGCACATACACGAACTTTTCATTAGTCAGATTTCTTGTTTCTGACGGCTTTGAGAGCTGTCCACCACAAAATTCAAGCCCAATCGGGCATCCACTTTTCCCACGCTTTTTCACGTGCACATTACATACATATCCACTTTCTAATGTACAACATCATCCATTGCGTAATAATGATGAGTGGAGAAAGTGAATGTCATTTCTTTTTCGGATAATGGAAGTATTTTGTCCCCGTCTGAAACAATTTATTTCAACTTAGCAGACCTGAATGGGGCGTGTGTTATGTACTAGAGAAAAAATTAATAAAACACATTTCTTTCTTCCCCAGGTTCCATACTTTCGTGCATTTAATCAAATTCAATAATGTAGCGGGCTCTCTTTTTTCTTCTTCGACTGCCACTTTACATTAGTCGGGGAGCAGAAAAAGAGCGAGAATGAGAAAGAATGAGAGTGTTGAGACGGATGAAATGAAAAGACACCTTTTTCAGACTCGAGCCAGAGACGACAGTGGCCGCGGAAGCGGAGGGGACATTAACATTGTGAGATAGGGTTTGTATAAGATGAGATGATGATGGGGACCTTGAATGACTGTGGGGGACATTGTCCCTCTGTTCCTTCCGCGGCCACTGCGAGCAGATAGCAGGCTTCTTCTCCTTTCTTTCTGGAACACGCGGTATTTCGCAATGAGAGAGAAAGTTGAAATAAAACAAGTCCGCCGCCATGTGTTACCTTTCTATGAAGAAGAATCTATTCCCCATTTGGTGGAAAGATGGGGAAAATATTTCTCACGGACGAAGGGAAGGCAAGATAAAAGCGAGGATTGTGTGTATGATGTCGGTCTCGCACTCGTACAGCGAACGAGCGAGGTTATGATGTGAGAAGTAGAGTAATCAGTTTCCTTGTCAAATTCTACTCAATTCTTCTGGGCAACAGGAAAGTAAATTAATATATGATGAGCACCGGTACTTGTGGGGAAATGTGGAAAATATTTCTGGGGTAATGTTTCAGAAGAAGGGGCAATTTTATGCATATATTTAAATACTTAGGATAATGTCCTCTTTGAGGGCAATAATTTACACAGCTGGGATTAATTGATTCTCATGCTGAAAATTTTGGCTAGTTTGGCTTTAGATTCATACTTACAATGGAGGTCTCTCAATGTATGCTCTTCGATTTTGAACAAATTAGTGTCAATCGATCATCACAAATTTAATTAGTATGAAATTTGCGAATGGCACGATCTCCCAATGGGCAGGTTTTGCAGAGATATATTCGTTCGAAGAAGAGAAAACGCGCAATTTAGAAAGTGTAAAATTTGTCAACTTTTGGACGCACTTTCTCCTCGTTGGATGTAAATATCTTCGCCAAACGTGCCCATTGGGAGATCGTGTCTTTTGTAAATTTCACACTAATTAAACTTGTGATGATCGATTGACACTAATTTGGCCAAAATCTGTGAGCACACATAGAAACACCTCCACTGTTATCAAACCACTTATTTGTCTAATGAGATCACCAAATAATATTTCAAAAACTTTACTCAATATCAATTATAGAATAGAATAATCGAAATCAAATATCTCCCTTTGACAGAAACTTCACCTTATTCCAAACTTTTTTGAAGAATAACGCACCAGATTCGGTTTGGTCACAGATTGCAAGATTTACGATTGTGATTTGATTTATCGTAAAAGTGAGAAGAAGACCGATATTAATCGAACCTGTGGGCACGGCACTCGATATCATGAGCCAATTCACCAGCACGGCACCTTTCCCATGTCCCATCAAAGTTACGTTAAACCGGTCACCACCGAACAGCGCGACGTTTTCCTGTAATTGAGCGACAAACAAACTGTAAAAGAATCGAGGATGGATTACGAGCGAAATTTATCACTCAATTTTTTTATATCTGGAGAAAGTTGAGTTATAAATTATGACGAAGGGAAAGTTTTTACTTACCTGGATCCACTGTAACGCGGCAATTTGGTCCAGCAACGCAAAGTTATAGGGGAGTCTGAAGTGACTGTCGGAATTCGCGTTTAACCATCCTAACAAAGACAAGTGCCATAAAATAAGGCTATAAAATCACACGCACAACTTATCCGTAAATTCATTACGGTATGAACTTGAGTTAAAAGTCGAGTTAAAAAGAAATATTGAGCTTTTATAGGTATTCAATCGACCAATTTAAATTCCAGGTCTTGGTCTTACCTAATATCCCAAGTCTGCGTGGGGGTGTCCAGGTACGTACATAAAAGGAGAGAGAAGAATGAATTTATTTTAATGGGTCAGAGAGAGAATTTAGAGAATTTGATCCCCGAATAGCGGTGCATACATAACTATATATTTTGGCAAGACTCAGGTAAAATAGTACGTTTATTGCCTGTGAATATATATGTAGATATGCATTCAAAGGGAAAACAACTGGCGGTGGATAAGCTGCAAATTCCAGTGTTTCGGGTCCAGTGCTTCAAAATTAGCGGGTTTGATACATTTGTTGCAGTGCAAAAGAAGAAATGCGAGTTGCAAGAAATTGGGAGAAAGTGCAAGAAATCTGCGCAATCAAGCCACGCGCCGTATGAAGTATAGCGGCGAGGCGTAGTTTCTTGCGCCTTGCATTTCTTGCAGGTCAAAATACCTGCAGAATTATTTCGAGTGGTTACTTTCACCCGAAACACTGCCAAATTTCCGTCTTCATATTCGGATAATAATAATTTACGAATAAAAAACACTAATTTATGCTTACCTGTAGTTTAGCGTAACCACAATGATATTTCCATAGCTGACCAGCATCTGCGCCCCATAAAACGTGTAAGATGCGTTCATTCATAGTACATATTTACTTAGCAGAAAAAGGAACCTTACCGACGGATCATACGGATGTCCGGCACCCCAGCCATAATCTTCTCCATGGACGAATACTAAAATTGGCAATTTTTCCTGAATTCTGCCTTCCGCAACTGTAAAAGAGAAAGTCAACGACTTGTAGTACAAGGACGATAAATAAATCCATGATGTGTTACTACTCTCCTCTTCCTGCTCATTCTGCTGCTATCCAGCCTTAAGTATGAAACTCTGTTGTGGAAATTGCAGTAGTACACACGAAGCAACAACTCTGGTCGTAACATAACGATGAGCGTTATTATTGCAGGTCTTAGGCCTGGAAAATGTCTGTAATGGAATCAAAAACAAGCCCAACACGACAAACAATACGGAGCAATATAGAGTCCGTAAATCTCTCGTAATGGCGATACAAGGTGTATTTTTCCAGATATGAGAGCAATTTATTTGGAGAAACTATTCATAGTTAATACTTAAGAAGCCAAATGACTGCCCGCCATCCTTTTATTGCTCTCTTCATTGCTTAATAAAAACATTTATCTTTGCTGTCCACATTTAAGCTGGGTCCTGCCACGACCTACAGCGCTACTTGTACGGCTAGCTTTCTCCTCGCCATGCCCATCTACTTTGTCACTAGATGTATCTAGATATAGATACGCCTTAGGTGCATACATTTGATACGCACAAAGACGAGCACTTGCCAGTGTTTCGCTGTGGTTTTAATTACTGTCTAAAACAGCCGTCCAAACCCGGTTTTAACCAGTTTTGGAGACCCTTTTGCACATCCAAAGGTGTCAAAAATATAAAATAGGGGCACAATGTTACAAGATCTACATTATTCAATCTTTCGATAATCCGTTGACGTATATGCACCAATAATCTCTGCTGGGAATTTTGGTTTTTAATACAGTTTAAAAATTTCTTAATTTCTCACATAAGAAAACATGTTAAAACGAGAGTTTTGCCAAATTTCGTCGTATTACACACAGTGTTCAATGTAATTTACTAATTAATTTAATTTAGCAGTCGGTAATTAAGACCTTATAACATTTTGTCACATTTTCCAATGAATGATTTTGGGAATTTTGAACGTCCCAAACGAAACACTGGCACTCGACATATTTATAACGAAAACAAGAGTGAAAGTCACAAACTTCTCTCGCACACACAGTTGGTAAATACTCGTACATATGAATGCTTTCTCTTTAATAATTTTATCTCCCTGCTTCCTTCCTCCGTTGCATTACTGTGTTTTCATTGCATTCCATTGTTTTATAAACTGTCATCCCCTCCATTTTTGGTACGTTTCAGCTTTCCTCCGACAATTCCCGCATTGGGAGGAGGACGGACATGACTCCAGATATGAAACGATGTCGGTCGGTGCATAGTAAGTAATGCAGTGTAAATACGGAAAGAAACAATAACACGGAATTAACCGAGGACCTACTGCATTTTCTGAGAGGAGAAGCTCAACTTCTTTTGGAGGAGTTGTTCTCTCTCCATCGGATCGTCATGAGATAAGAATACATTAGGCCGTTAATAAAATAAAAATTCCAAAGATTTACATGTCCCCCTATCTCTCACCCACTCGGCCTCAGCCAGAATCTCGCTCGCTCTGCTAAATGCATCTCTTCTTCTGTCTACACATCTCCAAAGCCAAGGACTAATATCACCCCCGAAAAATAAGACATACATAACATCACTCCTCTCTTATCACGCGACGCATAAATAATTTCCAAAGTCGGACTTGTTCTTGTTGTTTCTCTTTTAAACAGTGGCCGCGGAAGTGTGGGGACAGAGGGACAATTTCCCCACGCTTGTTCAATATCTCCATCATCTCCCCATGTTATACAAACCCCTCCCTCCCCTATCCTACAATTTTAATGTTCCCACATGTCCCCACACCTTCCGCGGCCACTGCTTTCTTTCTCTCCTACTACAAAATGTACACATTTTATTTCCAAAGTTGGAAGTAAATATGCAAAAAGGGTCTCATTAAAATCACCCGGTGCCTTTCTTGGCAAGCGACTGATTTCGACCTGGAATCCTTCCACTTTACTTGTGTACGTACACTTTCTTTGGAAAAATTAGGCCTGGATTCGAATCTGAGAGAGAGAAGATCTGAATTTTAAATGCGAGAGAGATGGAATAAGTTTGAGTAAAATTTAATGCGTGCCCTATTCCATCCACGGCCTGGTGTCGGTTCTCGGGGAGAGTCGTTATTTAGATTTTTGTAAATTTGTCGGGGACATGTTCACAAATAAATTCCCGTCTTTCCCCCCAGAAAAAGAAATGTATGATAAGTTGGATATATAAGTTGGGCTCAGAAATGCGACAGAATTTAAATACGAATAGATATCGGGAAGAACGTAAAGAATGTCGAATGGCTAATGCTGCGAATCGTATAGTGAAAGTGGTGGTGTTGCTGTTGATCCTTAATATCGGGAGGAGGAGGAGAAAGTGTGCCAGGAGATCGAGTTGGGATCAGTGTTGCGTGGATGTTTTATCTTCGTGGGGCAAAAGTAAGACTAAAACTGTGAGATGGATTCGCCATCAGGGGCCGCGGAAACGGGGGGACAATGTCCCCACGGTTATTCGATGTTCCCATCTTATATAAACCCGTCCCTCCCCTCTATCCTGCAATGTTAATGTCCCCACACCTTCCGCGGCCACTGTTCCCCCTGTAATAAATCCTCCCGTTGATGTCGCAGATTTCACAGGACATTTGTATCTTTCACGTGTTTTGGAAAGTAAAATCTCACATAGTTGGACGTGGACCCTTGTTTTTACTGCGGGTAGAAGCACATGCACACTTTAAAATGATGTCATTTCCCTCAGTCAGATAGAGATGAGAAAAATTTGTGCGAATCGCTTTTATTGCGAGGCTTCGATGAGGAACTAGTTGCCATTTGGTTTTTGGCGAGGCGCCAGGTTAGCTGGCTTTATAGCTTGGAGAAGAAGCATGTATGCAGGAGCCAGTTATTCCCTCCTAGCAGCAATTGTCATCCATGATATGGTACAAATTAATTAAATACTCTGTGAAATTGTATCTCGAGGAGAGAGGGGAAGAAAATTGAGAAAAATAAGTCGTTATTTGGCAACATTCTTGGAACCTATTCGTGAATGTGAGACATTTGGCAATTTCTTAGTCCATTATTTCCATTTATTTTATTTATTTATTTATTAAGCTCGGAATCCCCGAAACCAAGGAAGGAAGGAAACGTTGTGCAAATATAATTGCGCATCGATTTTCTAACTCGCAGACCGTTTGAATTTTTAAAAAACCAACCAGGCTCTCTCGTTGTCGGAATAAAAATGATAAATTTTTCATAACCAAAATTGCAACCAATTCCGTTTTATTGAAGGAAGGGTTAAGTTGAAATGACTCGGGTGCTGGCTGGCTTTCTCTTCTTGGGTACGTATACACTTATAAATATGTGTATTCATGTAGATACAAATGTACATTTTCATTTAATGCTTTCACTTTCATTTTGCAAATTTGCATCGCACACAACGCAACACAGCGAGAGACGGTTCGTTCCTCGACACAAAAGCACTTTAATTTTCAGTCAGTTGAATTGTCATCCGCTTATTGCTTTATGCACAAAGTAGAGAAGAGCAGTTAAATGGCAGACAGAGGACATGACTGCGGAATTCAGGGAGATTTTAGCGAAAGTCAAATTGGCAAAAATACATTTTCGTCGATGTGTTAAAAATATGAAGTCATGAAATTACCACGTGGCTAAATTGCATAATGCCATATTTGGCGAAAACGGCAAACTCATGAGATCTTCGTGAAATGCCAATCCTAATTTTCGCCAAATGTGACATTATTTTTGCGATAAGTTACTTTAAGAATATTGGGCCTAAAGTACTGTAAAATGAGTGATTTTTTTCGCCAAATGTAATTATTTCATGGCGAAACTTTTTCGCCAAACGGGCTTTTGCCAAACTGTCCGTTTCCTGCCTGCGTAGGAGGAACATCCCATCTTAAATTTTTACTAACTTTGTTACACCGAAATGCTCTCCATTTCATTTGATCTGGTTACCTTTTCCCCGTTGTAAATCTCTCCAGCTAGCTACCAGCAGCCAGCACTATCATTTATGTGTCTCCTGGATTTTTAAGACTAGGAACTCAGGACAGTCGTCGTCGGAAGCCCTGAAATGGCCCACTTTATTTAACTCCCTTCATAAACAAGGTGTTCAACGCGGCTGTATCTTCCTACTTATCATGCCCAAAACAAAGAGATAAACACGAGATCTCGTTGGGATAAATTAATAAAAAATACATAATAACATGAAAAAATATAGATCTGTTGGGCAAAAAAACTGGTCTCCAATAATTTTCTGTCATCGCATTATTTATGTACGCTGGAAAAAACCTAGATTTGAACCACGCAATGTTACTCATCCTCCTTTTCTCTAAGAGAAAATAGAATTGATTCCTTTTGATTATTTTTCTACTCGTCGTGTCAGTATTTCTTGGTCTCGGAGAAGAAGCAAGTTTTTTGTGGGAGTAGTGAAAGAGGGAGTAAAAAGTTGTGACTCTATACGTCCGTCCGAAGAAGGGAGTAGTAGGGACAATTCGTAGACGATATTTCCCAGAAGCCTAGACAGTGTTTCGTTTCGGGCGGGTTTGCAACATTTCTTGCACTGGAAAGAAAGAAATGGGAGAAAGTGCAAGAAATAAATAGGCGCCATCTGGCCAAACGCTGTATGAAGTATAGCGGCCGGGCCTAGTTTCTAGCGCCTTGCATTTCTTGCAGGTCATAAAACCCGCAAGAAATCACTTTCTCCCCGTTATTTCTTGCAAGTGGTTACTTGCACCCGAAACAGCGAAAATTAAATGCGATTATTCAACGCCACTTTCAGTATTAATAAAACTTCATATTTTAAAAGTAGTTACTACAGGTTGGTCACTTGGCTACGGTCGTTACTACGTTTAAATATTACTCGATAGGCTTTTAAGTACTTGGATACTTATTATTTTCCAATTTCTCATAAACGACAGTTAACCGAGAAAGCAAAGAACTCCCGTCCTCGTGTTTTCCCATTTTTTGACATTTGTATATAAAAAGTTATATAGACAGCCTCTAAATAATCAAGGGATGGTCCCAGACCCCACAAAGTATATATATTCTGAATCCTCCTGTCAAGACCTTTCCAACGACACCCAATTTATGGGGCTGTGTAAGATTTGACCTAGTGATCTTTGCCGTTTGCGTATGAAAGTTCCAAAAAATAATAATTTGAAAGTATATACAACTCATTCAGATCATTTTTCAACAACAATGATGAAAATCCATCCATAATTGTTGAAATTCGAGCTAGTTTCTCGCGCCTTGCATTTCTTGCAGGGCAAAATGCCATATTTACCTGCAAGAAACCACTTATTTCTTGCACGTGGTTACACACTTCCCCCGAAACCCTGCACCTAAGCAAGCGTAACCCAAGGGCGGGCGGACCGGAGGAGAAAGTCCTGCTTCCAACAGGATGTGAAAATGCGAATGAACTTACCTACTTAACAGAAAACTGCCAAAGTAGTGACTGCGGAGCGCGTATAAAGGGATAAAGTAAAGACACTGAAGGCTCTAACTTCAACTTTAACGTTGTCTCCAAAGACTCCACGTCATGTTGGTGTTTTGCGGGGAAGATTTATGTACAAAATGCATCCACTAACCAAGTAGTCGCTCTTCTTCCGCAGTCGTACGTAAGTCGATTCTCAAGCAGTACAAACATACATAAAACGTAAGCTTTATTTAACGCAGTGACTTTACGGTGATGCCACGCCACCCGAGAGACGAGTGTCCTTCAACTTCATTAAGAAATAATTTAGTGGATTAATTCTCCCTACGAATTAATACGAACGAGTAAGCCACCTGCGTTATCCACTTTCGGAGGAGGAGGAAACCAGACACCATTTAACTTGGGAAGTCTTTAATCACGAAAGTTTTTTGGAGCAGGCTGTGTATTCTTACAACGTGCAAATTGACGTGACTCAATCACCCGAAAGTAAATATGACGAAGGAGGAAGAGCGAGCCTTTTGGTTTGTGGACTTTTTTCGACAACTTTTATCCGAGAAAAAAAAATGAAGAATCCTCTCAAAACTTTGGACCAGCCATGTGTCACCCACCAAAAATATCTGGCGAACGTATAAGCGTATTTTTGGTGTCTCTATAGACTATGTAGGTCTTATGGTTCATTCAATTTTTTTGTGAGGCAGAGGAGGAAAGCTAATTAGTGAAGAGGACGATGGTGGGTGTAGTCCAATTTAGTCTAAAGATGTTGGAAATACTTGTCCGCTGGGACGTGGTAAATATAATTTGTGTCCGTACACACATGTGGCACACGAGTTAATAATGGGAAACCTATCTTTGGTTCGGAAGGTATTTCACACAGAAAAGTGCACAATCAGAAATCTGGTATAGTCGCGCAGGTATTAATTTATCGGTGTTAAAGTTGCTACCGTTTGGTATTAAACTTACACCTGTCCGTCAGCATTTGCTAACCAAATGGCAAAACTTTAATATCGATTTACACGGTATCACTTCCGTAGTTTAAAATCTGGTAGAGTCGCATATAAAGTCCGCAATGGTATTGATTTGGTAATAACTTCCTACCGGATTGGTAGTAGGTTGTTTCTGACAGGTAAATTTTTCAGTACACATTACGTTACATGCTCGTTATCACCAGTGCTGGTACAGTCATATATGTACTCCAGGTAGTAATGATTTAATGCCAGTTTGCTAGAGTTATACGAGAATACCGCGCGGTAATATTTTAATCCTGGATTTCTAAGAGTGTCGTATTTTCTAGTAGATAGTATGCCCCCGTAAAGCTTCTTACACTTCGTGATGAAAAGCGACTTTTATAATTAATCAGGAATGCTTCCCTATCAATTATTTCCTGTGTGGTGTGAATCTTCTTCTTTCCGAAGATCTAATCAGGATTCATTTCACAATTTCTTAACAAATCTGAGCCACGCAATGACTCGTTTTCCCCATCCAGGCCAAGATTTTACTACTTTCACTGTTCAAAAAGTACCAATTGAACAACCCATTTAACCACCCTTCAAGTACTTTCGGTTCAGTTTTCAATCTCAAGTGGGCTCCTCGTCCTCGTCGTCGTATATATTTTTAGACGAGAGGATGCTCTCTTTCGCAGGACGAGAGACGAGCAGCAGTGTGGAAGTGAAAAGAGGAGTTTCTCCCAAAATTGAACATTTTTCCCTACTTTCTCCTATTTCCAAACTCTCAATACACTTCATTTCAACTTGGTTTCAACTAAGTCCATTTTGTGTCCTTAGTTTGTTTTCTCAATTGGTTCTCAAATTCTACTTAAGTAAGTATGTCGAGACGAGAAAGTGTGTGTGTGTGTGTCTATCTACGTACTTTCTGCATGGTAAATAGTGGCACTTGTTCTATGGATATACTCGAAGGCAATTAATGAGCTTTTTCTCTTGCAAGCTTGATACTCATTTTCTTTTTTATTGTGTCCTCATGTAAAAAAAAGTGTGCCAGGCCATGAGAGAATTGCACAGAATAAACAATTACAGACAGAAATAATTAAACGTATCGATCCAACATTTCACATTTGAATGTCAACCTAAGAAAATATGCAAGTGGATAGTTGTCGATCAATTTCGGCATGACTGAACAAGTGAACTTGAGAGAACTTGTGCATGTATGTAGGTTAAAGATGACATATCGCCAAAATCAACACATTTTTAATCATTTCTCCCCTCTGGGAATTTATTTTAAAATTCTGGACGACAAATTTTTTAGTTAGTGAGCTGATTAATAAAATGGCGGTGAGTTTTTAAGTAAGTTTCGATGAGTTCCAACTTTTATGAAGGCTTCTTAAGTCTGAAATCTCCTTCAGAAACTTTCAAAGTCTCGAGTGTATATTTAAAACAAAATTGGGAACGACCCGCTCTACAAATTTGTCGTACATAATTTAAAAATAAATTCCCAGACCGAGAAATACTTTAAAATGTGCTGATTTTTACGATCCAGTTCTATGTTTAAATGCGATAAGAATTATTGATTTAATTTCAATTATCCTAAATTTTCCAAAATCTTAATCAACCCTAGAAACTTGAACAAACCGAAACTATAAAACACTTTAATTCTCTTCAACTTTCTTTAAAATGCTGACTCGCGAAAGTGCCGAGTGTAGCAAAAAGCTAATAAAATAAGCGTCTTTCTTACCGACTTAAAAACAAATGACAAAGTTACAAAGTAAATAACTCGTCCTGTTTCAAGTGCCTAATTTAATTTGAAGTATTCTTTTCTCTCCGGAGAAAGAAAGAGACAAGTCAAAAAACTTGGCTTAACGCATGATAAGCATTCTCTAAATTCGTACGTACTTGACTTTCTTTACAAACTCGGGCTAACTTGGGATCAATCTCGGGCGAAAGTTTTTTTTACTTGGTTCTGCTCGTTAGTTGTCTAAATCTAAGTACGCGAGACAACTATTTACTTGTTTGTGTAGTAGAATTTATTTTGTAGATGGAGACAATTTGTAGACATCAAGCCAACGTGTCATGTCCACTTTGGGGATCATTGGGAGAGAAATGTGGCATACTCGTCGCGTGGCGTGCATGGCATGGCGTCTAAATAACAAATAGGATTATTCAAGGAAGGAGGATGCGATGCAATTTATTCGCAAACGTTTCCTGTCTTGTGTCAGATGTCACGTCAGAGTTGAAACATTTACCAGTTTAAAACTCGAGTGAAGATCGTCTAGCGTGAAATTGGATTATAAACGATTCTTCATCCGATGTCGTTCAAAAATTTGCTATACGTGGGTGTGTAGTGTGTATTTCACTCACAATGCGATCAAAATTGGAAAAGTTACAGAGTTTTTAAAAATCTCGAGTTTGGGTAAAAATGTATTTACAAATTCCATCACAGACGAAAACGCACGCATTTAAGAAAACGTAAAAAGATCCGCTTATTTATGTGTGTGAACTATTTAAAATTACTCAGGTAAAAATAGGAGAAAACCACTTGATGCCTACGTATTGTTAGGGGTTTAGTTTCTGGCAGGTTTGCAATATTTTTGCACTGAAAAGCAAGAAATGCAAGAAATGTGAGGTGCAAGAAACTGCAAGAAAGTGTCAGAAATATTCGCCACTAGCCACACGCCGTATGAAGTATAGCAGAGTTTCTTCCACCTTGCATTTCTTGCACTTTAAAATAGCTGCAAAACCAACTTTCTCCCCGTTATTTCTTGCACGTGGTTACTTTCACCCGAAACACCCGATCTCACTCCACTCTTTAAAAGATACGAATCTGACAAATTTCGAGATATATAAATTCAATCCCATATAAAATACGTCAAGATAAACCCGGTGATGACACGACTTTACGAAAATCTAATAATAAAAAAGTGCAGGACGTCTTACTCGGCAAAATTTTATTTAATAATCCCAATTACTGCCGTGAATGAATATTTGACGAAGCGAACGAAAGTCGAGCAAGGAATGGAATTGACATGGCTTGCACGCTGACACGCATAAAGGACGTCACTCCACTCGGCAAGCAAATCGACTTGATTGTAATATATTTAATAGTATTCGTCATCCATCACGTCACGTGGTATTTCCACTTCAAAGCATTGCGAATTCTACCAGTTTAACATTTGAACTCCTGCCTGTCTCCCGTAACCATCAAAGCCTCGTCCTCTGCATGACATCTCTCCTTCCGTAATAAGTACTACACAGGATTTTACTAAATAAAAGCTTTTATCTCACGCGCGGGACAAATCATCTCCCACGCCAGCCCGGAATTGAATAGGTTTTGGATCGTCTAAATCGAGCTTAACCACTCGAGAGCAAAATAATAATTCTCCACCGCCAATCCATTGAGAGGATGATGGAGAGAGAGAGCAGTGGCCGCGGATAGAGCAGTGGGGACAGAGGGACATTGTCCCCAGGGTTGTTCGATGTCCCCATCATCTCCCCATGTTATACAAACCCCTCTATCCCACAATGTTAATGTCCCCCCAGCTTCCGCCGCCACTTCTCAGGCTTTTAACGCATTTTGGACTCCGAGAGTATTTTGATTGCATAATGAAACCCCTCACTCGAATAAGTACTTACCCTTCAAAGGGACATAAAGGTTAAGATAGAGACAATCTTCACTCTGGTTTTTGAGATGAGGGAGCAGCCTCTGGAGCTGGATAAGTCGCCCACGAGGCATACTTTTAAGCGCGTCGGACTCATTCCTAATATCTGGCAGGACTTGGGGGCAAACAGGGGCGGGTTTTTCACTCCTCCGAACACCCGACCACGGCGACCCGCTTACAGGTGGCATAAATCTTAAATTTCCGAGCGGAGGTGAAGCGTACGGCAAGTTCAGTAACACTTCAACCCCGTCAAATCCATTTGGATAAACAATGTAGCCCTGCACCACTCCCATCTTCGTGTCCACATGCCTCGGACTCCATTTCTGCGAAGAAGCTGAAGCCACCACGGGAGAAAGGATGGACACAAATATGGCCGTTATCACAGACACAAGCAAACACGAGGAGGTGGAGGAGTAGAATCTTGTGGCGATGGTGGTTGCTGCTGCTGCGGTGAAAGTCGAGATCAAGTCGGAGTTTGAGCCTGATAAATGTACTGGCATAAAGTGGTCTGGCCGTGGTGGTGATGGGATGACGTATAGGAGGAATAATGAGACGATGGGAACAATGTTCGGGACCATGTCCACCCCGAAGACGCCCCCTTTTCAGTTCTTCTTCTTCTAGTCGGCTCACTCGTGGCGGTGGAGGCTTCTTGCTGCACCGATTCAAATGGACGAGCCGTTGATTCATTACAGAGATAAGGCCGCCACATCAACACATTCTTTGATGTGAGTCCGATGACGTAAGAATTCGGCTAATACGTAAATACGTAAACAGATACACTTCTATAGGATTTGCTAATACCGTTTTCACAGCAGAGTGGTTCCTTCAATAATGCAGCGCATAAAGTAGAACGGTCAAGATCACTGTTACAATAGTCTTGTAATTATCCCGTAATTATCCACCCTTTCAATTGGATTGCATCAAATCAACCCGAATTTCACTGACGTACGTACGTAAATAACTCCCAATTCTCTGGGGAGATTTTACATCGGGCTGAAATTAGAAAATTGTGAGACGAACATAACCACACGACCACCTCTTCTGCTGCCACTCCATTTGCCTTAACAATCTTAACACTTCTTCACAATGAGACAGACTTGATTACTTGATAAATTATATAAACCTTGAAGAAGAACCCGACGAGACGAGGAGGAAGAAGAAGAATGAAGAAGAAAGTCTTTCATTCCGTGAAGAAAGCCAAGGCAAAACCAACTTTCTCCCGTCGTGGTTTGATCCTCGTGGAAATAAGTGGGAGGGAATTCTCAATTGCGTTTCTTCCTGTACATCCTCATTAAGCTAAACTTGCTCTGGGGTGAAGTAAATTGAAATCATGTGCTTTCACTTCATTTCTTCACTCGCTCGCTTTCTCCACCACCATGCTTCACGACACGATTACGATTATATACTTTCACCAAGCCAGACCCTCCTCCCAACTAAGTCTCTAGTAGTGATCTTAAACTCTTTAAGGGTGAGTAGAAGATTGTTGAGGCAAAGTAGGAAAATATGATGGGAACTGTAGTCACTTCACTGGAGAAAGTAATGTGCTCCTGACACCATACCACTCAATGTCATGACACTCTGGCTCCCCAACAGTCCTTTCTTTCTTAGCGAAAGCGACGAGCAGAAGGAGGAGACGACACAAAACGCAATTGTGTCTCGTTGATGCTACACCAAACGAGGACGAGGACGACTGCTTGTGCTGGCGGTGTCATGCTTCCCATCAAGAATATCATATCTCAACTGTTATTATGGAATGTGCTGTTTTGCTCTTCATTTTATTATTTCGTTGGCTTCTTTTTTCTTGTTCCAGCTGCAAAAAAGTGGGTAGTAGATATCATCGCGATTCCGTATTATTTGCTGGGGTGGTCTTCTCTTATCCCATAAAGATAACTGCAATCAATTCAGGCCACCACGTCGACTTTTTTGGGTGGGGGGGGGGAGAAAGTCAAAGAATTTTTGTCCAAAGTTATCCGAAATATTTATGTTTTGCAAAGTAGGAGAATTCCGCTGCATTCTCTGTAAAAAAAGAGGAATAGAAAGGTCAGTATTGTTAAACAGGAAGTAACCCAAGAATCATAAAGATTTGACACTTCCTGCCCTGTCAGAAGGCCGCATTTTATTTCTGCCACGTTTACCCACTTGGCAAAAGGAGGAGGAGAGAAATAGGAGATCATCTCACTTCTTCTTTGATGGGGGGAAAGGCGAGGAATAAAAATATATAAAAGCCGAGAACCCAAGAGAAGTACTTATCCAGCCGCATTAAACCCTTTACAAGTAGTTTGTGGAAGGAGGAGGGAGTAAATTTTTTTAGCGAGTTCTACCCTCGTTGTTTGATGGGAGGTATAGTAGGCCAATATTTGTGCAAACTACTGACAGCCTCCGCGTGCGTGCGTGGTTTGCCCTCAGGGGACAATCTGCAAGACTTCTTCTAACCTAGATAAACTAGATCACGTGCAAATAAAGAGTTTCTAACGGAATGTAGCGATAGGGTGAAAGCACGGTGGGAACTTAAATTTCGACCTTGTCCTCACGGTCGTGGGTTGGTCGGAGGTCAAAAATATTTACGGGGTTGATTTCGTGGTGCAATTTCCTTTAAAATGACGCCTCATATGAAAATTATGATTAATTTTAAATATGGACCCCCCCTTGACCTTGAGGGGGGTCATATTAGCCCCAGAAATTGATAAGATTTTCCCTTAGCGTCAAATCTATAATGCCCCAAACCGATCTCGATTATCTCTATGCGTTCTCTCGTAATCCTGCTGACAGACAGACGAATGGACAGACAGACATACAAAGTCATCACATAAAAGGGTCTCACCCCATAATAAAATAATACTCTCTTGTTTTGTTCTTTCTCTCCCCTCGTTACGAATGAACATCACAACAATGCTTTGAATTATTACCGCAATCAATGTAATATCGGGCAGAATCGCATAAACATTAACTACTTATTGCTTTCCTAGAGGAGGAGGAAAACAGTATTAGTGGATGAATTGGATGATAAATAGATGAAAGGAAATGGGATGCTTTATGAAATGAAATAAATAAAGGGACTGGCCTGGCCTGACGTTTGAAATGTCACAAGCACATTATCCATCCTGCCTAGAACACAAAGAGATTTAGCGTCACATCCGCAGACACGTACACCTTGCGGCTGGCTGTAAATAAGTGGAGTGTATGTACGAATGTGTGGGAAACCAAATTGGGAAAATCAACAAGAGCACATTAGCAAAGTAAATGTGTCAACACGAGCAAATACAAATATTCAATTTCCAATCTCTCTTTTCCTTTCACTGCTTTCACTTCAAACAATTCTCGACTTGACTTTTAGACAATCAATTGATTTCGAGCAGAGAAATGAGGAAAAAGAGAGGGGGAGGGAGTAAGTACGTAATTGTATCAGGAAGAATGGAGAATCAGGTAGAAATAATGTTAATGCGACTCCATTCACACGATCCACAATAAATTCATTCTGCTCAATTTGAGTGAAAGAAAATGAATGAAAATCCTCTCGCTGCGTTTTCTCCATGCCCAATTAACCCTGCCAAATCCCACCACCGATACTGCCACCCTCTCAGAAGGAAGGAGCGAACGCGATACGTATGAATTCCTGATGTAGTAATGTCACAATCTCAGTGTTCTATTCTATGCAGTTGGCTGCCAGAAGGAAAACGGGCGCACTCGGGGAAACCTGAATTGACACTGATTGATTCGCCAAAAGGTTCATCCACGTGAATAAAGAGAAGGATAATGTAAAAATTGAATAACGCAGGAGAGAAAACCTGGGACTCACTCCATTGTTCATGGATGGAAATAGAAAGTTCTCACTATTTCGGAAATTTGCGTATAATTTTGACCCTATACTTTCTCCAAAGAAAAAATACCGTACTATTTTATTTTTTATAGATTTGATTAACACAAATAGCACATATTTTTCTAGCGTTTCACTCACTCCGCTCGGTCTGCTGGACTAACGGCAAGCCGGAAATTGAGATACAGATGCAATGAATTACATCCGAGTGACTGCGTTTAAGTGAAACTCACCCCACGTTGGATTTTCGTACAGGATTCACCAACAGCACAGCAAGCGATGATGATTACGATCGGAGGAGGACAACAATGCATGAGCAGTGCACTTTCCCAGAGAAGAGAGAAAGTCCTTTCATCCCGGCGCACTTTCACCGACTGTGGACTAACTCACTGTTTACACTTGAGTTACTTGAGTTCATACCCAACCAACACGACGACCAGCACCCGCTCCTATTCTGCTCTGAGAACTTTCTTTCTCGCCCCTGTAACATTTTACCAAAGTCTCTTCTTTTCGTGGATTGTGATGCCATGTTCTGAGCACAACTGTGGTCGCGGTGAAAGTGGGACTTTTTCCGTTTACTTTTTGAGTTTTGTTCCAGCAGCAGCAGCACTTTTAGTTTTGCTTGTTCCACGAAAACCAAACCACGAGGAAGCGGAAGATGAGAGATGAAGGATGAGCGAGGGAGGGTTGTGATCGTTGGCCTGTCTTCTCTATCTCTCCAGGAGGAGCACCTTCGTCTCCTCACCCGCACGACTTCCATCATCATCCATCCATTCTTGGGTGAATGCGAAATTTCTACAAATTGTGTTTGCTCTCGTTCTGTTCTGTTCTCTAAACAAGATTGGTGTGAATGCGGGTTGATGGGTCAGAGGGGGGAAAGTGGAATTGGTTTAATGGCGATGAATGAATGAAGGGGAATTTTCATATATACGTTACCCGCATATTGGGTAAGATCGTATTCGAATCGATTTCTTTTACCAATTCGAGTTCATTCCGGATCAAAATTGTACTTCCTATGTGGAATATATGCGAATTATGGATGCATAAAGCGGCAAATAAGTATGGCAGCATGAAAGGAAAAAATGTTTACTTTAAAGGGAATCCATATTTGGATATGAAAGTTGGGAAATTATCGTAAATTCGGAGAAAGTAGAGGAATGTAGAATGTTGCAGTATCGAAAGCGGAAACGCATATGCATAGTTCAAACCTATGTTTTTAAATCGAATCAAGTAGTTTTTTGTGTGTAGTCATTTTCAAAAGTAATTTCAAGTCAAAATACTTTTGGTTTCGATGATGCGACAAGTTTCAGGAGAAGTGAATAAATTCAACCAAATTAAACAGGTAAAAAATTTTACCTGCATTTTTTATCCGCCACGTAAATATTTTTTATTACTAAAACTATTTCTACATAAATGGCAAAATTGTATTCGATGGAGACGAGATCATTTTACTTATTTATTTGGTTTTCACATTTTACCCTTCAAAACTTTCAACTTTATTTCTTTTGAAATACACCCACTTACTTTTTTCTGTGATCTTACTGTACAAAATGCATGCTCTTATATATTCTGCCAAAATTCGTGATTTAAGCAATATTTTCTTTTCTCTCTGCACTACAAGATATAATATTTCCCTTTGTAAAAGTTTATTGTACATACGCGAGTGGTTTGGTTTTTGGTTGTCTCTTCATGTCTCTTGTTTGTTCTCGGCTACTTGCACTCAACATCAACACCTCCTCCTCCGCCCGCTTACTTACTGAACGAAGGGTTATTAGAAAGTGTATGAAACTCACGTCCTGCTGGTCAAAAACTTTGCACTCCACTTCAAATTCAGAATTCCGGAGTGTGATCAAACTTAAAAGTTGAGAGACTGCTCACTCACACCAACCGCACCGCACCAGATCATAAGACCAACACCAAAGTGGGGAGGAAGTAACTGAAAAGGAGAGATTATCACGTAAGGTACTAAACCAACTTGACCGAAAACCAGCCAGGAAGGACTCGTTGGTTTTATCTGGGTCTTTATTTCACGAAATAAACCCCACCACTACAAACCCCTCCGTTCGGAGGCAGGGGTGCAGCGATACCCGGTAAAACCGTGGAGTACCCTGCTAAATCGCAGGTTTTAAAATGCGTGATCTAGGGCTGGCCTGCATATAAAATTGAAGGTAGAGTAGATCATGAGGAGTTTATGAGTTTATTGTGAAAAGATTATAAGTAAAGAACGTCCGGGAATGAATGGGAATGGTCTGAAAATGTGGTCATAAAATCACAATGAGTTATCGGAATTTTAAACTTTTTGCATATGTATAATACCAAATACGTACCTACATAATTTAATTAATAGCTAAGGCCGCCACACCCCCGTTGGCGACTAGTTCGATTTTCTTGCGAAGATTTTTCATTAAATTTTTTCCCGAAGTTTTTGCCACTTCCGAGGTGATTTTCTTCCATCGTCCTTTGAATTTTCGAAAGGTGTCAGGCACATCTTGAAGCCGGGAGTATACTGACTTAGAACGTGCCCAGAATTTTTCGATTGGGCGGAGTTGGGGTACATTAGGTAGGTTGATATCTTTTGGTACGAAATCAATATTTTTCTTTCTGAGGTACTCGGTCACTTTCTTTGCATAGTGACAAGTGGCGAGGTCAGGCCAAAACAAAACTTTATCATTTTTGTGAAACCTATTAATAAATGCTTCCAATCCAGCCTTGACGCAATTTTTCAGATAAATATCTTGATTGATATTCCCTTCGAGAACTACCGGGTCTGATACATGTCCGTGACTGGAGATGCATTGCCAAATGCAATATTTCTTTGGAAATTTGTCTTTTTTTCGTACTTTTTCTTCATAAGCCACTTCAGAGGGATCCGAGCTATGAAAAAAATGACGCCCTGGAAGATTTGAAGGGTCAACCGGAACATACGTTTCGTCATCCAGGATCACTACTTTTCCACGCATTTTCTTCAACAATTTTTGACAGCAATCCTTGATCCGACTTTCTTGTACGGGCTTGTAATTTGGTGCAGGTTTTTTGGTCCTTGCTTTGATTCCTAATTTATGGACCTTAATTTCCCCCAGGTAGCTTTTGGAAATTTTGACTTTCCTGGCAGCTACAGCTACTGACGTTGATGGCTTGGTTTTGAAAATTTTTTCAATTCTATTTTTCACTCGAGTGGTCGCTAGCTTCGCCGGACGACCAGCTGGCTTCTTGAATTGCACATTTTCGGAATCCTTGAACTTTTTTATGTAGGAATACACATTTGAACTTGGAATTCCTTCCTGCTTAAAAAAGTTCCAGGTCACCTTGGAGTCTCGGTTGGCTGTCGTGTTGTAGAACTCCATCACTCGTTTTGCTAACAGCTCCCTTTCAAACAAGCTTCTTCTACCCTTATCCATTTTTGAAATTTAAGAGTGATATACCAAATTGACCCTAATGAAGTGGGCTTTCAGAAATTTAAATTATTATAGTTCGCGGGTTTATTGATTTGTCAATATACTCGCTAGAGCGCGCATTCCCATTCATTCCCGGACGTTCTTTAGATCATTTCTAGATACAAAAAATTCCCCAACTTTAACACAACAAATTTGCCAGGAAAAATCAAAATATGCACAAAAAATGCATTTGCTTATAATTTTTTGCACATGTTTTGATTTGTGTTGGAAAATTTTGAGTGTGAAAGTTGGGAATTTTGTATATATGATCTACTTATTAATACTTTCAAATGAGTCGGGCCCAGATCATGCATTTTAAAATCTGTGACATAGAGTACCGTGCGTTAGTAATATTGTCCCGAGTAGCGGTACACCCCTGTTCGGGATGCACCAAGAAGAACAAAACACTGCGCTTCCCATGAGAACCTTATTTCTGGACGGGATGAGACTATGAGACTCCTCTCGCCCATAATTTGTTTTGATGAGGGCCCGAAGAGTTATATAATAACGAACAAAGTTCAATCCACCAGAAGGATAATAAAGTGTGGTGGCTAAAAGTAAAGCGTATGTGCGGAATTTTGAGAAGCCTTCTTGCAGAATTTGAAATGAAATAATACCCGTAGAGCTTTGGGTGGGTGGGTGGTGCGACCATATCATAACATCCACCACACCCCACGCAGTCTTAGTCCCCGTCTAATTTCAGCTCCATCTCGTACGACGTACGTACATATGAACTCAACAACTTTAAATATTCACACCAACCAAGATTTTGCTATGCTGGGCAGTGTTTCCGGTGAAAGTAACCACGTGCAAGAAATAACGGGAAGAAAGTGGTTTCTTGCAGGTATTTTGCCCTGCAAGAAATGCAAGACGCTAGAAACTACGGCCCGCCGCTGTACTTCATACGGGGCGTAGCTGGATGGCGCATATTTCTTGCACTTTCTCCCAGTTTCTTGCACCTCGCATTTCTTGTGTTTTTTGCTTTGCAGTGCAAGAAACGAATACTGATGCCAATGCAGCGGAAATATACACATTTTCCTCCTTTTACAAAACCAAGCTCATCACGTGGCTAAATGACGCATATTTGTTGCACTTTCTCCCAGTTTCTTGCACCTCGCATTTCTTCATTTCCAGTGCAAGAAATGTAGCACCCCCGCAAGAAACGAAACACTGATTCTCGGAGAGTGAAAGCTGTAAAACACCATGGATGACAAGTACGTATCTCTTTAAGACCTTGCTATATAAAACCCACCACACTTGATACAATGGAGAGTGAGACGAGCAATATGTAAAATAGAAGAAGTAAGGCAGCGATACATCCACATTTTGTCGGAGGAGTGAGTGAGTTACTTTAGTGGGGCACCTCGGGGCGATGTCTTTATCCTAAAATTTGCAATTTATTCCTGACCTCAAAGAACACACAACATTTGCCGAGCAGAGAGAGGGGGAGACAGGGATAATACGGACGTACAACAATTCAGTATCTGCTCAACTATCTCTTTTTCTTCAAGAAGAACCTGAAAGCAAACAAGTTTTCTGAACAGTGTGGAAACTTGGATTCCCCACTTTGTTTGCAGAGAGAATGGGAAGTACATATTCGGATTTAGCCAAATCTCTCCCTCGCTCAACTCTTCGAGGAGAGAAAGCTCGCCTAATCTAAAAGCAATAATGTTGAAGGAATGAACAATGCAAAATAACAATCGATCTCTCCGCGATTCTGTTCAGAGAATATGTAAGTGAAATGGGGGTTCTACTGTTAAATAAAATATGTACATAAAAATTTGTAAGATATTTTTGGGGTATTTATGCATGTACGTACATTTGAACAATGGCTGACTGACATGGTTATTATCAGAGGGCGGATATGTACTTATTATATTAACTAATTTCAACTATTTCTTTTGATGACTTTGTGGGTATGTCTCCTAACTCGCATAGAGCACTAAAATTTCTAAATATTTTTACGTATTGTTACATATTTCTAGGTTTTTTGACATACAAATATTCAGAAATATTTCTGCTATTTGAAAATGCTTAAATCTTTCAGATATTTTTCCAAAAATACATGTATTTTGTAAAATATTTTATTTAGCCATAATGTTTTAGCCATACTAGACTAAATTTTTTGTCAAAAGAAATTCGCCTACAAAAATCCAGAGAATTTATAAACCCATGCAGAAATATTAATGTTTGCGAAAATTTGTATTTTTTTCGTACATATTTTGTAAAGCTTGGTATCTATTAAGACGATCGTATTGGGCTAAATTTCGATGAATTATAAAACGATGAAGCCCACGAACGATTTTTCTGATTTTTTTATACGATATCAAACAACTTTCAAACTACCATTCCTGAAAATTTCAGCAATGGTACATGTCCACAAGTGGAGAAACAAATATTCTCCTGGGCTATGTTTAACACGTATTTAGATAGGCCAAAAACAAAAACGCAAATTAAAATACGAAGCCCACGAACGATTTTGTAAATATTTGCATATGTTGATGATCATACTATTGGTGATTTTTCATCAAAGAATTTAAGATGGTACATTTCTAGATTTCGAGCAATAAATTCAAATGCATCAAAAAACAGGGAATAAAATGGAAACCATGCAAAATTACCACAGGTATTAATAAAATGGTAACCATGTTGCGCGTTGCTACCATTTTGCATAACATTTTCAATGCCTATACACCAAAGCCCGATAAGATAAAAACGGTAATTACATTCGTGGGTTGGAAGGGACTCAAACGGGTCCCTTCAAGTTATAGTAGACACACTGAATAATTGTTTGGTAGTATAATCTGCCAAATCGTCAAGTTTTTAATCAATCGGGGTTCATTTGACGAAGTTGAAAATGAACAGACATACGAACAGACAGACTGGCAAACCGGTTCCCCAAGCCTTAAATCGGGGTATGAATCATTGAGCCCTATTTACTAATCAAAAACCACTGACAACCAACCGGATTTTGATAAAATATATTAGCCCAAAATATCGCCTTAATTACTGATCAGAATAATGCAAAATTCAAAGAAATTTAGCCCAAAACGATCACCATAACAGATACCCTTCTTTGTTGGCATTTTTTCGTAAATATTAAATAGTTACAAATTTCAGGGATTTCTGTTAAATACATATTCGCCCTCCGGTTATTAGTTTCAAATACTTATAAAATGAGCATCAAGCAGAAAACCTTCATGTTTATATACCATATAATTTCGACAATGACTTTGTCACCTATTTCCCATCCTTCCCAAGAATCACTTTCTGAGGGGAGTGCGAATTTCTAAAGAATTTTAAGTGTTTGCTCTTCGTCTTTGGCACGTCATCGCCTGTGTACTTTCACAACCCTCCATCTATTACGGAAGAGGACAGCAATTTCAATCAGGTTTCTACCACGACGACCACCCCCGTTTACACCAGACCTCGCCGACTGGAAATATTTACGTTGCGTTGCTTTTGTTACGAAGGATGGGAATAAATGACGCGAGGAGAAAGTCGCAAGGACGGAAAGACATGACACAAAAGGCAGGACTTTTTTAAAACAAATGGTTCCCTCTGATCCAGCAGCATCATTCTTTACTCGGAATCGTAGAGTAGACAATCTTGAACCTTGTCTCCTTCAGCTTATCTATTTAACTCGCAACTGAAAGTCTTTTCGAGATCTTATTTACGTACGACGACGACGACGTTAACGCAATATGGGGATGAGTCGTAATATCGTTTATAGAGATACAGTGTTTCGTTTTGAAAGTCTATGTGACTGGGCACCGTCAAAGTGTCCAAAAGCGTAAAAAAATAATTTTAGACGTCAAAAATATCCAAAAGCGTCCAACATTAAAAAATGAGGCAAAGTTCTTTATTAACGATTTGTTTTGCAAATCTATGCACAGAAATGTAATCTCGCATTAATTTTGGTGTGTGTGTAATATCACGAAATTTGGAAAAAACTTTGTTTTAGCATGTTTTTTATGAGAAATTTCAAAACCATGTCGCATTACACACCAAAATGCTCAAAATTAACAGGAAATTACACATAAGTACGTCAACGGATTATCGAAAGTTTCAGTAATGAACTTGTAACATGTTGCCTCATTTTCAAGTTTTGACACTTTTGGGCGTCCAAAACTGGGTGTCCAAAACTATTAAAATCCGATTTTAGACGCCTGTTTTGGACAGTGGTTAAAACCAGCGAAACCCTGTACATACAAATAAATAGATATATGTACGTACGTAGTAACCAAATGTGTGACCACTCCGTGGATGTACATACATAGATAGATACGTAGCATCTTTATTTTTTCGACCACTTAGTTCTAATGCAAGCAGTGAATGTGTGGATATCCATCGAAAACCCACACTTGACTGGACTTTCTGCCTAAACGGATTTCTCTCCGGAGAGACTTTCCTATTATTCGATAAGAGAAATACATTTTCAACGGGCATTGTAAATATATTTCTAACTACTTCAGGTCAAGAAGACTTGTGTACACCACGAGGACGACGGACCAAGTGAACATCTCTACTTGCTCAGGGACGATATACGCGAAATGCTTACTCATGCGGGACACTTTTATGTAGCCTTTCAGTGTTATGGCCACTTTTTCAATCTTCTCTATGTTTGTGCCACCCAGTTTCGTATTGTCTCTTCCTATCTATCTACTTAACAAACCTGTAGTCCAACCAATTCGAGGAACAATAAAATCCTGATTTTCAGCCGTATGTACATATACATTTCGGCAGCTTATCAAATGATATGTTTATCTTGTGAAATGTGTAAATATCTTTTGAAATATCTGTTTGAGTTCATTTGCTTTATGTAATTTTATGATTATGACCATATTCTTATTTATCATTCATTGTGTATGTAATTCAGATTTTGACTGTAGTTGACCATTTTCTCAACTTTGCCAGCCAATGCGCTCAGTTTAATTTGCCTATCTATCAGCAGTTCAATTCTCTTTTCCAGTCCAAATCATTCACTCTGCTCAAGTTTATTTTTACTTTTGTCCTTTTTGTAATATTCCATTACCTTGAGCAGTCTCCTATAAAAGGAGGTCATTTCTCCCTCCTCGCTGTCATTCTCTTTTTGTACGTACCTTGACCACGTCACTTTGTTACTCAAGTCCACAAGTCTCAATTTCGCCCCAATTTGTACATCAATATATTTTTAACTGAAGTAAATGTGACTATTTTGATTGTGATAACTTGTGCTCATCATCACGACTGATTCTCATCTCCAACACTCATCCACCACTCATTCATCCCCTGCTTCCACGGTCACCTACGGCAACATTTCCATCCAACGAGTTCATTCACACAAATCCCCACAATATCATTTACTTATCAATTTAATGGGAACATATTGTTATTGTAGATTCGAACTTTAATGTAAATGTCAAACCCATTCCATGCATGCAGTTTGTTTGGATGGAAGAAAGTTTAGCGAAATATGTACAATAATTCGACATTTGTCTACACTCTAAGAAATTTTACGACCGGATTATCACCGATCGGTGAGAATATGTGACTAGGACCGGATGGTGATAATATCATATTATTAATTTCATACTGCTCGGTTACGGCGTGGGAATCACCACGTGGGGACAGCTCGGTGACAGTCTATCACCAAGCGGAAGCATAATAGCCACGTTTGTCACCAGATATTTTTAGTGTGTTCCTAAGTATGTAGGATAGAACTCTTAAGTAATTAAATCTGCCTCAGTTTACCTGTCACGATTGCATATCCATCGAATCGAAAACAATTAAAGAATCTGCGTTTGACAGGATATGGAGGAATTTGATATCGCTGAAGGTACACACGTATATTTATGTACATAACGAACAACAAATTTCATAACGCGTTGTTGTCAAACGCAGTTTCACTAATTTACTTTCAAGTATTTAATTCAAAGTATTGGTGCATATGTACTAATTATAAGATAAGCATGCTAAACAAAGCGTATATGTACATACGCCAGTGAAGTGAATTGAGTCGTACAGCAGATGATACGCCACTGTAAATGACACCCGTTTTGAGAGAGGATAAATATGTAAAAGACGGGAAATAATTTAAAACCACTGCTTTTTTCATTCCTAAATTCATCCCGACTCGGAAACCACCACACACACACCCCACATAGATAGTTAATGACTCCACTTAGACGCATTCCAGCGGAAAATGAGCTTTCTAATCCATCTTATGAAGAGTGGGGTGAGGAGAATGATGTAACAATTCAACGAGGAAAGTTGACTCGGATAAATCTGGAATGTTGAGGAGGAGTGGATTAGACGGAGAAAGTCGCAGGAAGGAAACGAGAAACGTGCTTTAGGGGACATGTTACCAAGATGAGGTCGGTTATTGGCTTAACACTTTCTTTCCCGTGGTTTGGTTTACTGCTTCTGCTCTCCACAATAAATTTCCTCCTTTGTCACACAGCCTCGTGGCATCATGGCATGCGGCAGTTAGTCAAGAAATAGTTTAGCTGGGTGTACTTAGAGAGAGAATTAAACTTTGTTTGTACCAATTATTCCGCACAAGACTTTTGATTCGACTTTTGGGAGGTTGTAAAATTGTCGGCGCAATTTATGTATGTCGCATTTCTTGATGGATGTAGTTCAAGCATTGGGACGGACGAGTTGCGTTGTTCCAGTGAAACTTGAGAATTAATTTCAAAGTGGGGAATTCCGATAATTAAGTGGCGTGTTTGGGGTATTGGGTTTGGGGTTGCGAGTTCATGTCTTTATATTTTCATTTTTTAAGGTGAACATTTTTTTAACGTAGAACTCATCGTCAAAATCGTCAAAATCAGCACATTTTAAATCACCTCTCGACTCTAGAAATTTATTCAGAGAGAAACAGAGAGAAAAAAAATTCAGAAAATTGGACGACAGGTCGTCGCCAATTAAAAAATACACACTCCAGATTTTAATAGTTTTTGAATGAGGACATCTCACTCAAGTTTAAGTTTTCAGAAAAATTAGAATTCGAAAGTAACTTAAAATCTTACCTTCATTTTATTAATTAACCAAGATTTTAAAATAAATTCCCGGAGTCGAGAAATCACTAAAAATATTTATGTTGATTTTGACGATTTTAGTGATGAGGCATCGAGTCCTATGTTAATACAAATATGGAAATATCTCAAATTTATAATTGTACTTGATCAGTCTTTGATGGATTAATATTTTAATAGAAAAGATGAAAAATGTGTAGCAATTAAACAATAAAGCAAGGTTACATTCAATTGTTTATTCCATTCGAAAGTACACAAAAATTTAGAAGAATTCAGTCTCTCTCTACACGTGTCTAATTATTCTGATCGTGAGCTTGCTGAGCATCCCACTTTTTGAAGAGCCACCCCACCAGCCGCCCACTGAACATGAACATGACCACGCCGATGAGCACGATAGCCAAGACGATGTAGAAGGAAGTGATGTACCAAAAGGCAAACCAGTACAGACCCTCGTTACACTGATATTCCGGTTTCGTGTTCAATTTCGACTAAAATATCAAAGTTTTAACTTTAAAACTTGATCTTTTATTAACGAAATTTAATTTTAAAAATTTACCTCAAGCTTGTAAACGATGATACTCGCCGCAAAAAACCAGAGCACATTCGCCACCGTTAAAATAGTATTCGCCATGTGGAAATACGTCCCAAGATTGTCCCTCTTCTTCTCCACGACCACGATCTCCACCGCCATCTTGGTCGTCGGCTGGGTTGACGATGCGTTCGGGAGAAAAGCGACAGAAACGCTGCGAGATTTGACCGAGTGTCCCTTTTCATTCTCCTGATTTGAAGAATTCGTCCGTATCGGCAGTGATTCCGCTGCAACGCCGCCGCCGCCGGCAAGTTTACTCGAACTCGTCGTCATCGTCGACTTATTTGACGACGACGCGTCCAGTGACCCCTCCGCTTCCGTGTCGATTTCAATCATCGCCAACTTTTTGATCGTCGTGTGGACCGTGAATGCTTCGGAAAGGATGACTTGCAACGTTTGGAGGACCCCGCCCACAATCAAGAGGGTCGGAATGTCCGCGCCTGGGCAGTACTTGTTCTGATTGGCGTACACCGCGCCCACAATTATGGCCGCCATTGGGATGAGCTGGAGGAAACAGAAGATTAAAATGATCATGCATACCGCAGCGCCGGCGCAACAAAGCGCCGCAATGACGGCGGCGGAGTAGCCGAGTGGATTTTTTGCGGGGGGATGTTCCTCCGAGACGCGTTTTATGGTTTCGCTGATGGAATCTTTTCGGGGTTCGGAGGGGGCGCTGGTGGTCGAGGAGGAGACGGACGTCGCGCCCGAGACGGACGAGCTGGTCGTCGCTTTTGTCTTTGTGCTGCTTTTAGTTCCTTCATTTTTCCGGGGGCGGGTGCGATCTTTGTCTGGTTTTGGGGAGGGTGAGGGGATGGTCGTGGTGCCCGAGAGGATTTTGCGGTCCTCCATCGGGAAGGGGATTATTGGGAAACTGCCAATTTTGTGGGGGGGAGTGGATTATACGGGAATGATTGAATTTTACGGCAGGATTGCTTAATTTTTAATTGGGTTTTGGAATATTTAAAATTTTGGAAGTCGGGGTTTGTCTGGAATTTGATGCCTAGCAACGTTTGAATCTTTATGCCAATTTGATAACATATGGGTCATCTTCACCCAGTTTATTTTAGAAATACAGGGTGGTTAAAATGTCACGCCACAATGGAAATTTTTTCAATGGGAAAAGTCCCTAAATCTCCATTAGTTACAAGATTTGGGATTGAGATTTTTATAAGTTATTATCAAAACTGATGACAAAATTCTTAAAATGTTGCATTTTAGAGACAAAATTTCGGTAACTAATGGAAATTTATGGATTTTTCCCATCGAAAAATTTTCCATTGTAGCGTGACATTTTAACCACCCTGTATGTATGCAAATGCATTTGTGATGATGACATGTGGCATGAACAAAATTCATGCAATTTATTCAAAAACCGAAGCCAAAAAATGTATCATATTTAATAGGAGATTGCATAACATTGAAAGCCTTTTATTAGTATACATAATTGCTGTATATTTATATTAGTAATTACAAAATGCCCCCGATTAAAATTAATTACTCATAATCTTCATGAATGCATACGCATAATCGTAACCAAACTAAGCTCACTTTGTACAGCAAATATTGAACACAATTAATTACACATTCCTGCAAATTCTAACCAAGGCATGGATTCCATAAGCATCAATTTGCATACGTACATATTTAGCCATAAATTGCAAGATTTCCTCACTCTCCACTCTCCACATAAAAATCCTACTCTGACCCCACCAACAATGCAACAAGTCCGCAACAACACAACGTCAACGGAACAAAGATGACCAATCCCAACAAAACGTAGAAAACGGTAATATACCAAAACGCAAATCTGTACAGGGTCTGGTGACAATAATTCTCCAGGTTGGCGTCTTCCTTCGAGTACGAAACGGTAGCGTACATTCCATAAATGATCACCGTGGCCGTGATAAACCACGTCAGTTCGGCTACGGTCAACAATGCGTTTCCCAATCGAAACCAGGCGTTCCCTTCAGGGGGACTAACGGGGACTTGACCTTGATCTTTTTCCCCTGATTTTTCCTCCGTGTTTTCCCCACCATCGTCAGTTTTCTCTCCATTTTTCTCATCTTTCTCACCTGCCTCATCCTTCTCTTCCTCGACATTCGCCTCGACATCCGCGTCGTCCTTCTTTTTATTTTTCTTACTCGCCGCAATGTTCTCCACAACTTTCCTCGCGTTGGATTGATCCCTCCCGGCTGCGGTGGACAGCGTGATATGGATCACTTTAAGGACTCCGCCAATAATCAGGAGCAACGGAACGTTTTCCGCGGTGCAGTAGCGAGTCCGATCCCAGTACGTCGCCCCCATCACGATGGCCGCGATGGGGATAATTTCCAACAGGAGGAAGCTCCCCACGCAGCAACAGATCCCCAGACCGACCGCAGTCCCGGCGAAACAGAGGCCGAAAACGGCTCCAATGTAGGCCAGCGGATTTCGCGTGGGTGGTTTCTCGATGGAAATGGTTTTCAATTTTTGCGCAAATGTCGCCGTTCTGGCGAGCGCGGCGGAAATCTCGTAGGTGGAGGATGCCTTCTTTTCCGCAGGGGAAGAGGTGATGGTGGGGTCTTCGGGGTCAAGTAATTTCTTGGATTCTTCGCCAGCCTCGTCTTCAGTGTCCTTTTCTTTTTCTTGGGACTCCTCTGTCTCGGGATCCTTTGTGGTTTCCGGTTTTCCTTCCGGCTCCAATTTAACGTCGGTGGTACTGGTTTCCATTTCCTGGTGAAGTAATTGATGAAAAATTGTTTTAAAGGGTGAGGACTTTTTAATTGGAGAAAGTGGAAATCATTACCGGTTATTATAAGTTCAGATAAGCAGGTTAGTTATATGTGAAACTGGATCAGGAGTCGGGCGTGAATTAAGAAATGTGTACCGAGAGTCAGTGCGACTTTTGGCTGGCAACTAAGTAACTGACAAATGAATGCACTGCAACCACCGGACAGGATTCAAAATTTTAATAATAAAATCGATATCAAAGCACGCTATGCTACGCTACGAAACCTTCCAGATTGATGCGAGTGTGGCATACCTGTTTAGCACATAAAAGCTGTTATTCGACGACCAACCCCTGCTAGCCGACATCCGATAAAGCCACATATGCCTGCATCCATACACAAACACACGGGAGCAACATGTAATTAAGGTTTCGGTGCAGGCGGAATAAGTATGAGGAGCACAAAATCCAATCCAGGCACGGAGAAAGTTGTGCATGGCGAGCAGTTGGGCAAGAAGGTGAGGAGCAAAAAGTCATCAAATATACGGTTACTTATTATTATTACCTACCTGGCTGGTCGGCATATGGTGTGAATATGGCATGCTGTTTCGTTAATGCTTGGACAAATATGTTTGTGTGTATGGCTGCATTACAACTTATGCAAATACGGTGATGGATCGATGATCCTTACGAGTTTGGTCTTAATGTGGAAACGTAGATGTAATTATTAGGGTGCGTTAAATTGAAATGCGTACTAATTTAATGGGTAGGTAGATACACAATATGGACATTTATGTAGTGGAACATAGCTCAATGGTCAATCTGACATTATCTACCTGACAGGTATGAATCGTCTGAGGAAGTTCGTGCCAAAAAGAACATGTTCGAATTGAACAGATTATGAAAAGAACGTTTCAATCCGGCATAATTAAAATGAGTAATTCTTATAAAACAAGCAGAGCTATCAAATTTCCTTCCCATTTTTTTCGAAAAAAAGAGAATGATACCGAAAAACATATTGCAAACAAACGGTTATGTGCAGTAGTACGTACCTTTCTTTGCCTTATCGCCCGTCACGCAATCAATATCAATAAAGTAAAGAAATCGCAACTTTTTTTCTCAGTCCGTACATGCCCACAAAAATAACGCCATATATATATTTGCAAAGTGATAAATGCCGAAAAAATCAAGACGTTCATAAAAAATAAGTTTTATGCGTTGTTTACGTAATAGATATGCATGTCCGACCATTGTATTAGTCATTGCTGGAATTTATACGGTTCGAAACAGTGCGCAGATCCCATCTAAAACGGCACTTAGCTAAAATATCACTCCAGCGTCGAAACTTGAAGGAGTCGGAAACATTGCGTGACTCCATGCAGCACAGAAAGGTACGCCTCGTGGGGAAATGGAACGCCGTATTAAAGAAATTTAATCCACCCACCGCTTGGGTGCCTTTTAATGAAAATCTCAGAAAGAAAGGAGAAGAAATTCTCGTGCAAAGTCTGCAAAAATCTCAGTCGCCACGTCTCAGTCCGAACGTAACGTTCCTACTGAGCATTGTCCTTCCATCATTTCTGTTCGCATTTATTAGCATATGTAAATAAACATTAATTTACATATTGTCATGATATCCGGTGGAAAGTGGTGGGGGTACACCATCCTCCCAATTTTTACCCTGCTTTCCTGCACCCCACATTTGTGGTCACCCGTGGAAGCGTACCGACCCCAAGAAATCATTTTATACTCGGAACAGAATTTCACCGGAAAACAGAAAAGTTTTTACGAAAGTCAGTCCAACCTGAGTTCCGATTCGGTGGGGAAGATTGCTAAATCACATTGCGTCGTGAGAGGATTGTAAGTGATTAATTCGGCCTAGTTATCATCGATGAACAGAGAAATGAAATGAGTTATTAATTCATTCCTACTTTTTCAGATGGCGAGTCCTCGGAACCTTTAGCACCACGCCGACAGCCCGATTTATCGAAAATGTGTATGGCGATGGGAAAAATGGAAAAGTTTGTGGGACATGGAACACTCCAAATGTAACGGCCGAGTACAACTCGATTCTTCTAATTGGGTCACAAGACTTGGACACGCCAGCCATCCAGTTTCACACGAGGGCCAGATTTTACGGGGAACCCGACCTATTTTTGGACGGGCGCATTTTAAGACTACAAAAACCCATGAGTTTCTCATCCTACGGATTCACAGGGAGACATAATTGGACCCTGTTTCGCACGACGGATTTGACCGGTCATTCCGAATGCTTGGTGGCGAACGGTGACCACGCGGGGGATTTTATGGTGACCTTCAATGTGAACAAGAGCATGACGGTGGGCTCGATTTGGCGCGGGTGTGGGGCCTTGGACCCAAAAGTGTTGGGCAGGCAGGCATTAGAAGGTGGTGGTGGTGGTGGAGGGCGAACTTATTCAGCGACTGGGTTGATGCTGGTGGGGCAAGGACTGCTTATCTTTGTAGGAATCTATATTGGCCCATTTTACTCTGATGGGAATGTCGGGGTTTTCTAGGGATATTTTATATGATTCACGTGTTTGAGAAGAAATAAAATCTATGTAACGGACGGAGTAAGTTTTGTATTAGAAAGTATTTCATATGAATGTAGGTAAGGTGGAAGAATTAAGCGTGTTATTTATTATTACCAGTGTAACATGCAAGGCAAATAAACTATACGTGCTGGAAGGTTTGAGGTGGTCATAAACGCTACGATATTTCATGCATTTTCACATTTTCGTGGAAGGAAATTAAAAAATATTACATTTCCAATTTCATAAAGTCATAAATTAACAAGGAAACTTTTCTAAGCGAAGGACAGGCTTCTCTGATTCTGAGAAGAACTAACCAAGACAACGGATATCATATGCACACACGGATTTTCATGCACGCATCTTTCGTCATAACTGGTTATTCCTTAAATCCATTCTAATCTCAAGTATGGTTTGCATCCTATTACGACCACTTTCATATCATCATCATCTCTGTTTAGCGCATCTCGCATCCGTTATGCTTATGTACAACAAAGAGTTAGTGTTTAAGGGATGCACTTTGTTATGACGTCAATGCATTTATGTATGCATCATGCTGCATACATGTGCGTAGCGTTAACTTGAAATCTAGTTACAGGGATTGTCATAAACGTCCTCGATTACCACGTATTCCCACTCCAATTGCCACCATAATGTTTATTATTGGTATGTGCATGCATAGTAATCACTTTCTCAGTAAATAAATCTAAAACTGATGCACGGTGCTAATCCCATATAAAGTTTGGAAACAAGATGACGAATCCTCATTCTGGGTTTGTTATCTTATCAAGCAACATAATTTTAGACCGTCAAAAATCATGGAGTTCACGTTAGAAAACGACAAGTTTGTGAACATGACAGTGTTGGAAGTTTTGCGGTAAGTTTTTGCATACAAGAAAAATGCTGTATTATTTACGTTTGCAAATAATTAATCCTTAAAAATACATAAATGTAGGCACGACTTCCATTTTCCGGGTCATTTGCTCCCAGGGACGGCGTTTCTACTCATGGGCTTCTGGTGGATTTACAACGCCCTCGACATCTACTTTTCCGATTATAAGGACACCGACGCGTCTGAAAATGCGTGTCTGATGCGAGATTGTGACCCCGACTTGGAAATGAATTTGAGCAAAAATTCGGCAAGTATACGACGCCGAACGTTTACTGCTACGTATAACGGAGAAATGCCGGGGTTATTGCATTGTGAAGGATTTTATAAGGTGTGTGTTGCATTCAATTAACGCAGGACTGGATGACTAATTGTCAAAATAAGCAGATTTTTAAGCATTTCTCAGCTCTGGGAATTTATTTTAAAATTCTGGACGACAAATTTGAACATAGAGTAGGTCGTTGCCAATTTAAAAAAATTACACTCCAGATTTTGATACTTTTTGAAGGAGGAGACCTGAATTTTCAGAATTTCCAGAAAAATTGAAACTCATCGAAACTGGCTTAAAAAACTCATTGCCATTCTAAATCAACTTACTGACTACAAATTTGTAGTCCAGAATTTTAAAATAAATTCCCAGAGCCGAGAAATGATTAAAAATGTGCTGATTTTGACGATTTTGGTGATTCATCGTGAAGTTCTACATTAAATTAAACGATTATAAATAATATTTTAATATTGACCACAGCTTTTATATGCCAGCGTAGACCTCGGTTGTCACGTCTGGGTCGTATGCAACGGAGGAAATCCAATCGTTGAGGGTCAGCACATGACGATCTACATTTTTTTCATCATCGACGCCTTCGTAAATATTTTGCACCACACGAGACTGGGTTGCCGATTTCCAAAGGGGACAGAATTCATTCTACCGTCGATAACCTGGATCGTATTTGGCTTTCTCTTCCTGTCCCATAAACATGGAAAAGATGCGATTCAGATTTACTACCATAGCACACTTGCCTGGGTCGCAATCAGTGTGGGCGTCATGTCCCTGGTTCAGTTTAAATATGATGAACAAGTACTGGTCGCATTGGTTCGGGGGATTTCCTGTGCGTTGGCTGGATCCTGGTTGTACCAGGTAAATATATTTACAACTACAAACATTTTTAAAATGGAAGTCGTATGTCACAGATTTTGAGCAAATTAGTGTGAATTGATTGCAAATTTAATTAGTATGAAATTTTCACACGACACGATCTGCAAATTGACAGGTTTGGCGAAAATATTTGTATAAAAAGAGGAGAAAACTCGTTCGAAAGTTTTTTACACTTTCTAAGCTTACTGTGCTTTTTCTCCTGTTCGGATGCAAATATCTATGCCAAACGTGCCCATTGGGAGGTCGTGTCTTTTTGCAAATGTCTTATTAATTAAATTTGTGATCAATTGACACTAGTTTGCTCAAAATCAGAGAGCTCTAATCTGAGACCTCCATTGTTAGTAATTCAAATTCGTTGAATTAAAAAACGTGTATTTTATGTAATGACAGATTGCATTCTCATTTCATAATCCGTTGAATGGGATAACCCAAATTTACGTGCAGCAAGCTATGGAGAACCACTCGCCTGAACATGACCACAATACAGTGCTGGGAGTTATGAGAGCCAGCTCATATCTGACGTGGCATCTAATTGGCATTATCTTAATAGTTGGAATCCTATATAAATTTGTGTCTGAGAGGAACACATCATCAGCCATTTATTACGAAAGGATTGGGTGTTGTTAAATCTATAAAATAATGGGTATTTAAGCAATAAGGAAAATAATTAAGAATTTTTTAATTAAGTATTATTAGTTCGAAAGACTGATTATTTCTAGATTTGTACGAAAAGGTTTGTAATTTACACGTGTCTATGATCTCAAATTAAAATATTTAACGTATTATAACCGCACGGTTAAAGAATTTGAAAAAGTATTTATTTCATTTTAATATTCACAAGAGTCGAGAGCGACAAAGCTTAAAACTGATTTGAGTAGAAGTTTGAATAATATTGCATATTTATGTTGTACTTTGGTAAAATAGATACACATTTGACGTCAAATATTGGCAATTTGTCACATTTACTTAATTCGTCTGAAACTATTGCTTGTTTCACCCATAAGAATTATTTGATATGAATATGATTTTTAAACATTGATACAATTAAATTGTGAAATACAATACATAGTTTTGATATATTACTGGAAAATGTCTTGTTTTGGATTGTCATTGTAAAAAAAATTAAGGCTTCTCTATTGGCCCTCCTTTTGCCTCCCAATCCATAAAGCTCCCACGGTACAATCTGTATGTACAAAATTTTGGAAATCAACTGTTAGTATCAATTACCATTTAATAATACGGTTATGGGGAAAATAATTGGTCAAATCTTGAGCTCTGATGTTCTCAGGGCTTTTATCTTACATACATCCACAAAAGGACGAAAAGCTATACGGAGAATACACAAGTCTTACGAAAATACGCGTTTTGTGAAGAAAGTAACTTTTTATCCGTATCAAATTATCATAATTATGATAATGATCATAATTATGTCAAAAAAGTTAATTTCTTCACATTTCATGCATTTTCGTAGGACCGTCAACCGTTGTATTCTGTATGCAGATTCCTATAATTGTCTGGGTGTAACAGCCCTGGAAATCCAAACCCTGAGAACAACGGAGCTCAAAATGCTGTATTTTGGCCAAGTATTTTGCCACCCCCGAAGGTTAGTTAATAAAATACCGGAATTTCGATATTGAAGGGTCTCCACCAAAGACATGGTTGATCGCGGCTTCTGCTCTTCTTCCAGAGCGACACGAGAACACAAGATTGTCATCATTTTTCGAAAACCCATACTTGCTGGAGAACTCTTCGTTCGACAGGTTCCTGAAGGCATCAGGGATTTCGGGAACTAATTAAAAATTGGAATCCTTAACTTTCTGACATTACGTAAATACATATTTAACAATATTAAATTTACGAGGGATGTTGATTGATTTTGGAATTTTTCCCTGAGTCTCCAACTCTTGCGGATCTCTGACGTCGACAAGCTTAAGAGTTCCTAAAATAAAATTTTGAGTAATTATGACATTTCTTCACAGTTTTCTCCCATTTGCATACATGTTAAATATTAATTTTAATACCATCATCAATTAGACCTTTCTTGAGATCTTCGAACTCAATATCTGCAATCATTCAGTCAAATTATCATCAACCAATTAAATAAACATTACCAAGCATGACTAAACTGTCACCTTGAATAATTGGCCCCGAAGTTTCGCCACTCTCTTCTCCATCTCCACTCATTGTGACGATGACAAAGTATTTTCAAGTTATTTGCAGCAAATCAACTTGAGCACTTCAAACGTATACTGGAAAAAATGGAGAGAGAAATGATTAATGAATGATATATGAATAGAAAGAATGATTTAGCAAATCTGCATTTTTATTTTAACCACAATCAAATCGTATTAAATATTTCTTTGACATGAAATGAAATAAATTTACCTTCAGAGATCCTGCTGGAAGAACTAAGAAAACACTATCGACTTTCTGCCTTGTAATAAAGTTTGGCTTAAAATGGATGTTGTAAAGTGAATTGAATAGTGTGGTTTAAGGTGAAGAGTAAATTACACCACCGAGACACCAACCAACTCTATTTTAGCCAGGTGCAATTACCTAAAAGTTGGTTTATTGTGTATGTAGCAGCAACCAACAAGTTGTACATTTGTGTATATTCTTGTGATTTTTTTCTCTTGTTAAAACTTCGGCTGAATTGAAGCAACACGTATAGGCAGCCAGATAGATGTATGTATGTACATACACATGGACAGATGCAGTCACTCCAGAGTATGAGTAGTAGTCAAGTTACATAAAAAGACTTGGACGATGAAACTCGTTTAACACGAGATGCGATGCGATTGCTTACAATTTCAATTTCATGCTAAATCGGAATGATTACATGCTTAAAGTTGTGCATGGAAGTAATAAAACGGATATTATAAAGATCATTGACTGATGTTACTTTTTCCAATTTTTTTAACGCGATCATACTTTCATTGGACGTATAAACTATGCAATTTGCAAAAATTGTGTACATAGGTAGTAGCAATGTATGCAATAATTCTGCATAATAATTGCAAATCTCTCATCCATCCTCAGTGGTTCGACCACTTGACTCGAGAGAGCAGACAAAGGACGACTCACTCGTCATAATATGCAAATTAAGATTTGTGCAAATTAAAATAAACTCAAGGTAATTGTTTGGACTGCATTGATAAATAGGATTATTCATCATCTTTTGAATGCATGCGTGGGTTATAATCATGGCAAGAATGTAAGAAATAGGTCATCGCTATATTTATAAGCACATCGGGCATTGTTGAATTGAATATTTAAATAAGTTTTTTATTATTAATTTCTGAATTCTATTCATGAACATGAATTAAATATGAAAAGTGTATAGTAAAAAAGAGAACTAGCATTTTGGTCGAATTTTCATCTCCGTTTTCATATAGGAATAAAAGTGTCGAGAACTCCATTCCATCCCAGATCTCGTCGGCATCACGCCATTTGCACCGTCGTCGCTGTATTCGCCGTTCAAATTGGACCAAAAGCAGTCCTTGTACCACCACGCCTGAAAATTAGCAGGGTGCACGACGTTAATTATTAAGCAAATGCTTATCTACATAACAAGCCCAGTGGCTGTGGAAGATGTGGGGACATTCAAATTGTAGGATGGGGGGAGGGAGGGGTTTGTATAAGATGGGGAGATGATGGGGTCATCAAATAACCGTGGGGACATTGTCCCTCCGTCCCCACGCTTCTGTTGCCACTGAACAAACCAATTTATTTATATGTACGCAATAAATATGTATGTACTAACCCCCCGATAAAGTTCTGCACAATTCTCGTCCCCATTCTGGTCATTTTGCTTATCATATGTGGAAAACCTCATTTTATTGTGTTGCAGTAATCCGTCACCTTCACCATTGTTAAATATATTTAGTGATTAAATGAATGAATAAATGGTATAATATTGATTATATTATTTATCTATCTAATTACCCGCATTTCCAGTATAATTGGCGATAGCCAAGCGGTACGAGTCTTGTTTTCCAGAAATATTGAATCGACCATACCTCGCAAATTTGGACGTGTTGTCCCAACCAGTCACGTTTACGATGAGTTCATGACTGCAGTCTTGGGTGAGCATGAAAATCTTGTCGAGACCTTAAATATTTGCATAAAATTATTTATAATGACAATTTTGAATGTTAATTAGTATAATTTACTGACCGAGCCAATAATCACTGCGCACAGAGCCAAATCCGTTCTCATACTCTTTCCAAGTCCTGTAAAAGTTTTCTCTGACAGCTTTTGGAACATTGAGGACACCGCGGCGTTGAATAACGGTCCAACCACCGCCATCAGTCGTCATGTCGCAGTAGGTCTGTCGTATTTAGGACAGGATGCATTTATTTGGCATGAACACCTCTATATATTTATGCACATGGTAATTAGCTCAAATCTCAACTTGCCTCAAACGTAGCTTGTGTTCGGTCGGGTTGAATGCTATAAACGCCAGATCGTTTTTGACCACTGAGGCGAAGCTCGGCACAATTAAGTTTTGGAAGAGATACTTCCCACTGAGGCTGCGGAACAATATGATCAAGATATTGAAAATGTTTATGTAATTTTGAATTAAGTAGGGGTTTGCTTTAGTTCTAACCACTATCAAAAATCATCTTTAAACAGTTTTGACAAAGAATTATGGACGTCTAACATGTTCAAAAGCGTCCAAAATAGAAAATGGGGCAAAATGTCACAATTCTTATTCTTAATTATTGAATCTCTTGATACTCTATTGATGTATATGTAATCTTCCATTAATTTTGAGTATTTTGGCGTATAATACAGAATGGTTTAGAAATTTCTTAATTTCCCATAAGAAAACATGTGAAAACAAAAGTTTTTCCAAATTTCTTAGCATTACACACAAAAATGCTCAAAATTAATTGGAGATTTCATATCTGTGCATAGACTTGCAAAAAAATAACATTTTGCCCCATTTCCCAGTCTTGGACGCTTTTGAACAATTTAGACGTCCGAAATTATTTTGGACGATGTCCAGTCCAAGAAATACATTGGAGATTAATGGAATATGCTTGAATTTATTTGAAATCTTACCCTGTACGGAGGCGTACGATTTCTACCCGACGAAAATGAATGCTGCGACACTCGACGGTCCGTGTTGGACCCTTCGATCAGATTTTCTGTATCAGGACCAAGTTGCCTTAATTCCTTGACGTCTTGAGAAACGTCCTCCAACAAGGCTTTGACCACTCGCATGTCCGCGGCGAGGTCTTTAATCAGCTTCAAGTCTTCGCCCACCTCGCCGAAAGCATCTTCCAGTTTAATCACGACTTCATACCCCCTGAAAATTTGATACAATTAATTAAAATACTAGATAAATTATAATCAAACTTTTGCATACTTTTCCTTGTCGAAACTGTGTAATACTGACCCTTGTCGAGAACGCTCGGCTGTCGTGGAACTTGAAGCATAACCACGCGTGTACGCAGACTCACCACTTTGTGGGAAAAAAGTCAACAAAAATGCCAAGAATGGCAGTGCCAACGTTGCAAAAGTTTTCATGATGAGGATTTTGAACTCAGAAATATAAATACCACCCAGGGCAAGATGTTCTTGATGAATGTCACGAATTTGCGAATTCCAGTCGGCTTAAATTTATACTTGCAAATTGTTTTTTTCGCATCTTCTTACACATACACTTAATCATTGGAGGAGGAAGTGACCCATCCGGCCAAGTGTTGATTCGATACATGTCAAACCCACAAATTAAAGGAGATTAGTAATAAATATGTAACAAAATCATGGAGATGTGACGCGAGTAGCATTTTGCACAATAATTAATAATATATGGATCGAATCAATGGCATGAATTGATGTCCATGGCATAGCCCGATGACCTAATACATGTATCAGTATTATATGTAGCTTTGACATTAACATACTTTTTGACATCAAATGATTAACCGAGTTCTTGGAATTGTCAATGAAAAAGTGATCTTCGACTTGGGATCAACCCAATTTTATCGCAAATCATTTATATATTATTTGTACTAAAATAGTAAACAAGTGTATCGACAACAAATTCATGATGTCAACGAAGCCTGCTTTGGTCACCATATTTATTAAGAAATAGGGAAATTCGTCATCATTTAGAATTGTCAACAAGATGATAAATCTGATCAATTAAGGAGAACTACATACAAAAATCCCGAATTTTATGTAAGAGAAAACAGTAAAATAATATAATCAATGGACCACCAATCCATGATGAATCAGCATAATTCGTGGTTAGAAAATTACGTGAAGAACTGTGAAAGTAGAGCATCAAGTGCCGTGTAATTAACGAAATTGACCAACAAAATCATATAAAAATGATCAATTTATACAACTGCATGCAAAACTCGAACTGAATTTTACTCAGGCAATCATTTCTCTCGATTGTATCAAATTACTGAAACTCGATATGTACGATACGACTTTGTAGAATAAGTTATGTATCAAATTGCCGATGACTGTAATTACAATTTCGCTCGTCAGTTTTACAAACCAATAAATAATACAGAATAAAATTGCTTTGTACGTACGTACATGCATAAATCGTTTTTGTCTGCGTAACACAACAAAATTTGCATAAAATTGATATTTGCATGTGATCCACATCATATCACTTTACAATTGTTACACACTGACTGCTGCAAAATCAGGGATTAAAATTTTGCATGAAAATCCGTCTGAAAACTCTTAGGATCGGATTTATATAAGCACCAGCTAGTACATTTATACCGCATAATAATTTTACTGCATGTACATTACATACGTATTTTATGATATATTATTGGCAAAGTGATCTACTAACAGTTTGTGTGTGGTTTAGTGGTTCAGTAAAATTACAACGGAATTGAGATATTATCATTTAGCTTACAACGCAGCCTTGACAGGACTTATCTCGCATTTAATTTTTTACTCTTCGTGTGTGCAGTTCATTTGCTTGTGGATAGAAAATATTTGATGTGTAAATTATGAAGCAAACTCCCAACCAACTTGTCCCCTGGTTGGCAAGAAGGGTAGTAATTTAGCTGACAATGGAGAGGAATTTTTACTTGATAGCATTTCTGAATAACTGTTCTCACCAAAGGCTTCTACAAAACAACGGAATGCACATGGGTTTCAGATTCTCGGCTGTGTTATTATAATAATGCTGCATATTCAGCATGACCAGAGGACGGTTATGTATTTTAAGATTAATCGTTGAAATATGTATTCAATTATAGATTCAATTTTATTTACGAAAAAAGCCAAAATATTTACGAAAGATGTACAAAAACATAAGAACTTTGGAAAAATTTGTATATTTTTTAAATCTTCTCATAAATTGGAAATATTTACAAAATATCCATATTTTTTTAATATCTAAAATATTTACGCATTTTTCAAATAATAGTGGAAACATTTATAAATACTTGCATGTCTGAAAACCTAAAAAATATGTGACAATATGTAAAAAAAATTTTGAAATTTTTTGATTTATACGAGTTAAGGAACACACCCACAAAATTTGACTGCCGGTCATTATCAAACTCAAAAAATTGAAAATAAATACATATCCGACCTCTGCCTACCATGACACAACAAACTTGTACATGCATTATTCTACAAAAGTTGAACATGATGGCTGACCAATAATCTCCCACAGGAAACCTTAACTTTTGCTATTGTCCTTTCCGTCCATCCGTGAGTAATTGCCAACAATTCTTCCCTTCCCTCCCGACTAAATAGGCGAGCAAAGTCAAGCGTAAAGTTTTCCATTAATAATAATTTCTTTCTACTGCGTGGAAATTTGCATAAGCTCATTTTAAGACCTTTCCGCAACCCCATGCATGCACTGCAAACTTTTGTCATTATCCTCGCATCGCATGCTTTCGTTATGTGCTTATTAGTCTGAAAAAGAAGAATGTGATCAATTGCAATTTTAAATGGTGATGAATAATTCCACAAGTGAATGTTAAGTGGTGGCGTAAAGCATCCAGTTTTGTTTTACGACGTACATAGCCCACACTTGTCCATTTTATGGGGATGATGTTGATGTCTGCATTAATTGGCTGGTTGCAAATGTGATCTTGTAATTTCATACGCAGTTGGGACCCTCACGTTTCTACCATTCATTACCACATTGTTAAACCCAATGTCATGACACGTGAAGAAGAAGAAGATGAGGTAGTAATAAATGCATTAAAAAACTGCAAGCACAATTTCTACATGTGTACCTTGTAAAAAAACATTTAAAAAATTTGTACATTAAGTTGTGTGTCAATCTCTTAAAACAAAACAAACCTCGTGAAAAGCTTGGCACATGGTTGTGATATGACGAGTGAGATTTCTTAATTAAATAAAAAGTTCAAAAAAATATTAACACGAGAAAAATGTGAAGTACATAAGTACACGACCCGTCACATTTTTTAACGTCAAGCTGTCTATCGAAAATCATCAAATTTATAAAATTCCGTTATCTTACATCGTCTGCTTAAATTTGCACTTTGGTAAATGAAGTACCAATAAAACTAACCAAACCAAGACCACTTTTCTTACCATGGTCAGTCAGGTTCACTTACATGCATATTTCGCTATTTGATCTCTACATGAAGTAGATCTTAGCTATAAAATAATTTGCAACATGTGTCTTACAACTGATAGAAAACGGAAAATTGTGTTCAGCAGCTTTTATAACGTCGTAAAATTCGAAAAGTTACCCCGTCATCAAAATTTGAATGCAAAATATCGATTAATCGAATCCCATCGATTAAGCGTGGTAAAAATAATGATATGTTTTTACTTAGTCTGATTATCTTGTCTCATTAACCTATTGGAAATTGAGTCTCCTCCACACGCAAACTAAATATCTACGAGCAAAACAATTATCATAATTACATATACATACGCACAATCAAATAACCAGTTTTGCCTTGCTCACAAAGAATGATTAGTATGGAAGATTTCTTTTGTTGTCTGCGTTAACACGTAAAAAATGCGAAATGAAGTGTGTCTCAGACAATGCGAAATTTATTTAACTCATTCATAAGTTCTCGCATAATGAGAATTTATTGGTTGCGACTCGACTGACATTCAATCAAATCCATTTATGGATGCATTTCCTTTCGAGAGAAAGTAAATTAACTGCTAATTAACTTAGCAGGAGCAGTTTGCAAGTCTTTGTTGTACGTAAGTAAATCAAGGCTCGTTTCTTTAATTGGAATTGACAGTTGGATTGGAATTAAAGAGTAATGACCGATCGTGACAATAAAGGATTTTGCCAATAAGAGATCGGATAAATGTCAATACATTATTACAATTCGAATCTGTAAAAGAGAACAAATGAGACAAATTCCTCCATTTAAACGGCATCCTATCCTCATCCTCATTCCTAACAATGGAGGGAGGGCAAAGACTTGTCAACATTTTTACATAGCTGTCATTTACTTGTTCATTGTAAAATATATATATATAGATAACTGTCACTTATTATAACAAGCGACCCAACCCTATCAACGAAGCTGCTTTACTTTATAAAATACACTTTCATGCACCAAGTAATAAAATTCTGCTCAATTTCCGCTAAAAAGTGAGAAAAGCCAGGCCAGGTGCAACAAACGCCCATTATTGCACGCCGGAAGGTATTTCGTGAAAAAAAGAGTGATGATGATGACGACTCCTCCGTAATACGAAGACACTAAAAACTACCACAAGCAATTTCATCATGAAGGTTGAGCTCCAATGCTCCAAAGACGGAATGAATATAATAATAATGAGAATGAACCGGTGGTAAGGTGTTTTGTTAGCAGGTAATGCTAAATTGGGGATTTGAGACACGGGGACGACCGACCACTGCATACATATTTATGTACTTTACTTACTTACGCTGCAATAGCTCATTTTACCTGGTCGGTCTGGCCAAGGTAAAGGTGAGCAAACCAACTTTTGTTTAGTGAGTGACGATAGTGAAACTGTGATAAAAAATTGATGCAAACACACAACACGGGGTTGGGATGATGCATAAAAGTCGCGACGAAAAAAATGTCATTTTATAAATTGTAGCAAAAATGTAGTCTTATAAAATTTGCAAAATTGCGTAGGTTAAAAGTCGAATATACATATGCTACGATTTAATCTATAAAAATAGCGTAAATTCTATATAAAAAAGTGTCATAAACCGAATTTGACATTCATTCTGCACTATTCACAAATTGTTTCTCGTGTAAATTTTTTTACGTCAATTGCATTGCATTACTACTCCGGCAATATTCTTGCCAAGGGGCGGCTCCTCCTCTTTTGCATAACATCCCTTCAATGGGGCCCTTATTTTCCACCATAAATAGAATCTACATAACTGAACATACTTATGTAAGGGTGCCTCGTATCAAATTTCACCCCACTTGGACTTCCTGCCTAGCACCGACCCTCCGCAAAGTCCGTCCGTTACTCGAGCTGAGCAGAGTGCAGAATTCTCACCATTCTTCGGCAGGATTAGTCCCCCTGTTAAAAAAGTGCTAAAAATGTGGCCAATTGTGTGACGAAGCAAGCAGCAGCAGTTGGTGTATGCATACTAAATTGGAGATTCCCAAGTTTTGCAGTATTGGCGAGATGTAAAGTCCATTGTTGTTATTATATCGTGGTGGTGGTGGAGTTGAGAATTGAGTCACCAGTAGTAGGAAGTTCATCGCAGAGAAAGTACACACACTCTGCACTCGCTCACTAAAACTAAATGGTAGAAGTAGAGAGGAGATAAAATAATTTAACCATTGCTGCAATTTTTGGTTGGGTAATAATATCTGCTACGTATAATAAGTAATTACGTATCGTGTTGTACTTGCTGAACTAATTATCGCGTAATTCAGAGTTTGTTGTAAAGTTAAGTGAGGTAGTTTTGGTTCGTTCTTGGAAAAACCGTTAATTTTTTTTCTTCTCGAGTTGAGTTGGCCTTGATTGGATTGGATTGGATTTTTAGTGAAAAGTGGGTATTGGGTTTTTTGCTGCGGAGGAGCAGTTTTGGGAGGAAGTCACGTGTCCCACTTTAGTAAATTGCCAAAGTTGTAAAGATAGGCAATTGGTAGGATAAGTTGGGTGCATTATTTGTGGGAAGACTGATACGAAATGGATCCAGCTGACGTGGAAAGACTTTTGGATTTTTCTGCCGTCCCCAAGTTTTCGAGTTCACAGGATGAAATTGAATTTTGGCGACGGAAGGCTTGTAGTTTGAAGAAAGGGTGAGTGGAAAATTAAAATAATTCTGATTATTATGATACAAATTTGAATTCAAATTATTGTGCTTTTTACAGGTATGAAGAGCTAAAACAGGACTTTGAAGAGTATCAGGAAGACTCGAAAACTTTAGAACAAGAACTTGATACGCAGTTGAAGCAAGAAGAACACAAAACTAAGGAGTTGACTGCCTGTGCGAATCGTCTTCAAAATGACAACGAAAATTTACGCGTAAGATTGGTCCCATAATGCAAACTGTTAAGAATTCATTTATGCTTTAATTAATTTCTTATTTGTTGTACCATTTTAGTCCCGACTTGAGCAAATGACTGCTGAACACAATGCCAGAACGGCAGAGTGGACAAGTAATTAATTAAATCAATTTAATAATACCTTACAAGTTGTAAATTACAAACAGAGCCTCTCTAATAACAACATTTATTTTTCAGCGGAAATTACAGCTTTTAGAGAGACTGGAGAAGAAATCAACCACTATGTCAGACAACTAGAACAGAAGAATGATGACTTAGAAAGGTCAAACAGGTAAGGCAATTATTGCTTTAAATTCTTGAAATTAGTGAGGACCTCTCGTTCTTCATTCTCGTGGTTATTTTTAAATACAGAGCCGCAGCCATGTCCATTGAAGACTTTGAATTGAAGCTCAATCAAGCTATAGAACGAAATGTATATTTAGAATCTGAATTAGATGAAAAAGATAATTTAAAAGCAATGGTCCAGCGACTAAAGGACGAGACTAGAGGTAACCGAGACACGGCTATTTTTACTAGTAGTAATTTCACTTTAGTACTTTCCTCTTCCTCTAATCTATACAGTTTTTGTTATAAAATTTGAAGTTCATGTAATTAATTAACAGATCTCCGTTACGAACTGCAAGTAACGAAGCAAACGGCGGACCATGTAGATTCGAATAGATTAGAATGTACACCCCCACCAGCCCCGTTTAATCTTGCAAAGTCACATCAAGCCACGCTGAGTAAGTAAATAAAATTGGATACAATCTGTAATATTATGCATTAAAATAACGTTAAAATTTGTTGAGTGCAGGTACACCAACATCATCATCAAAAATGAGTCCACTTTCCATTGTGAACGATTTGCTACGAAAAGTTGGGGCCTTGGAAAACAAATTAACTTTGTATCCACGCAAGGAGGATGGAAGTTTGCGAAAAGGGTCAAAATTGAGTGACTCAAAAAATCTACAAAACAAGTTAGCATTGTTTAATCATTTGTGTTAAAGTTTTTGTTACACTTTTACGTTTTGTCTTGTATGATGGAAAGGATTTTATTATGTGCTTATCAGGTTTTCTTGTTTGTCTTGATCTCAGGACAGGAGGAAAACAACCACGTCGAATATCATCTTCTTCGTCGTCGCAAGTTAAAGAAGCCATCAAAATATGATGTCCTTGTATTAATTACCAGCAATTATTTCTTCTTGCCGTTCTTCCTTCGTCCGCCGTTATACATAATGTAATTTCTTCAAGATAATACGCGATTTCTTCCCCTCTAATCTGTAATCATCGGTCAGTCATCAGCAATGTCGTACGTCAATCTAATTCTCTCGTCAAGTTTTCTAACATTAGAAGTTGAAAACTCTAAACGTATCCGAGAAAGCTTATAGTTTTTCTAAAAATACTAAGACTGCTATGTTGTAGTCCTCTAAACTAAATTCTTACCGAGTGCCTAAAAAGTTTGTAAATTTACTGATAATTAACTCTACGCCAAGCACCCGTCGTCCAGAGAAGCTTTATTTAAAAGTTTTTTTCGTTCGTCTTATTATTCTCAGGTTGTCTGTTATATTACTAAAACTCGAAACCAGTCAAACTATTAAACTACTAAACAATCAATGCAGGTTTAATTAAAAATATTTATTTTTTAGTTAATCGTTTTGTTCAATATAAGTACTTACGCAGGATATCATCATGATCGTTACTTATTTGTATTTCGCTTAGTATTCCGTGAGGTAATTTTTGTAAATTTGAATTCTTAACTTTGTGGAACGCAATGAAAAGCGGAGCAAGCAAAACAAAAGCAATAATATTAATAGTTTAGCTCTCCAGCAGAAAGTGTTCAAGTTTGGAAAATAGAATTGATGTATTACTAAGTTGGGTAGAAATATCAAGTGTGCTTAAAATATTTGATTCATGTTACCAACTTTGGCATTAACAGTTTATGTATGTCCTTTAAAAATCAAAACAATTAACTTATATTTATAATTCTGAAAAGAATGCTACGATTAAAAATTATAGTGACTCTTGCAAATAATAATTACGTTTGTCAATTAGTAAAATGGGTGGATTCATGAAAAATTTGTTTTATTGGTCTAACGAAATGTAAAACCAACAATCTGTTGAAAAATGTGATGTACAAGAATTGAAACTTGCACAAAGCAAACATTAAAGAATATTTTTGGATAATGGAAATGTGAATTCAGGAACTAACTAAAAAAAGACGAAATAAAATATCTTACTGAATTACAAAAGTTGTTGCGATTTGTATGGCAAAATTACCCAAAAATTCTTTCACCGCATTTTACGTATGCTAAACGGTAGCCAACGCCAAGTCTATCCAAATTTTACCCAGGCAATTTCATTCCGAAAATCACCTCCGAATTTTAGATAAACAAGTGTCAATTCTACTTGCTTATCCTATGGATGATAATCATTCATAGATAACGTAATAAAGTACGATAGCCGTTCCTTTGCAAATGCATGTGCTTTTAGCACGTATTGCATAGCACCAACTCTCGAAGCAAAAAGCACCAACTCCATTCCGTGTCCATCAAGAATCTCACCCTGACTGATCAACATTAGAGAAGAAGACGAAATTCTTTTCTCTTTTAGATATTAAAAATTAAAATGGTTATACTATTAAATAACATGTGTCATTAGCTTTTAAATAGTAATTAATTAAATTTAAATATGTAGGAGAGGGTTGGGATACAAACTTAAATAAATTAGGGGTATAGTCTTTTAAATAGTCGTGAAATTTTAAAATGTATTGCACTCACTAAACAATGTAATTGTAATTAAATAACGGCTACTTGGTTAAATTGATTACTTTCACAAGAAGATGAGGTTGACTACGAGTTAAATAAGGGTGTAATGAATCCGGAAAATTACCGCAATTTTAGCGTGTAATGAAAGTTATTTAATTGTGAAAGTTGACCATAGTTGGTGGATAAGTGGAAACATTCCTGACAACCCGGAAGGTCCGGAAGTTGGCAGAATGTCGCCACCCTTGGAAAAGGAAGGTTTCGTTTTGAAATATTGCCGAATGTGTGCCGTCCAGCTGAAACAGGGCGTCTTTATCTTTGGCGACGAAGGGAAACGTCTTCAAATACCGGAAAAGATAAGGAAAACCCTTGCAATTTTGGTAATTTGATTAAATAAGCTTCATGTGTAATGTAAAGTATATCTAATTTAATTGTCTAATTATTTGCAAATAGGTCTTGGAAGAAGACACCCTTCCAAAGAAGATTTGCACTGACTGTTGTTCTTCTCTGGAAGACTATTCGCAGTACAAAGACACTGTTCTTGATGCTCAAGAAAAATTGTCCGCTATCGCGAAGAATTTGGAACGATCCATGTTTGAAAAAGCTCAAGAATTGGTGGCACCAAGTAGACAACAGCAGACACAAACATCAATTCTGCAACTGGCGTTAACTTCTGCTGCAACCACGACTAAAGAACACGCCGACCTCACCATAACCAATACGATTGAGGAAGGTGACAGTAACTATAATATCAGTGCCAACAATTCATGCGGGGAGGATGTTGAGGAGGAAATTGCAGTAAAAACAACCCCTCCAAAGAAGGAACCATCACCCAAAAAGTCTAAACCGTCGATGTCATCATCGTCCCCTGACAAAATGACGACACGATCCTCATTATCCCCAAGTAAATCCTCCTCTCTAGCCAACAAAATTGTTCCCAGTAATAGCACTGACAAAGAAGAATCGCCACCTCCGCAAAAATGTACCGATCCAGACGAGTGGGTATTACAATGCGGAATTTGTTCCATACCCACAGAAGGTCGCCTAGATCTGAAAAACCATCATGAGAAGAATCATTCCTCCGACCAATATCCTCAACCCGTTTATGGATGTTCATTCTGTCCTCGAATAGGTGAAAACTACAATGCTCTCCGCATGCATATTTACCGTCACTTAAAGGAAGGGGCATTTAAATGTGACCACTGTGGTAGAACTTTCCCCTTAAAGAACCAGCTTGACCAACACTCGGCCCACTATGCGGCAAATGATGGGAAGAATTATAATTGCAAAGTTTGCGGAAAACAGAAGTTCACGGCAAAGTGTAGTTTGGCCAGTCATATGAAAGAAAAACATAACAGTCTGGAGGGGAAGAGAGATGACGACAATGTTGAGCAACAAGATAAGAGTGATGACGATAAAGAAGAAGCTAATAATAATGCAGCACCTTTGTCTCCATCTCATGACGATGATGCATCTACACCATTACCAATGGAGGTAAACGATAACGACGCCCACGATTCTCAAGTTTTGCTGCCCCAAGTCCTTCCCCACAATAATAGAACGTCACCAAGATCGTCTCCGGATAACGTGACCCTGGTCGTGGTGGTGGAGTCAGAATCTCAACCGAATTCGAAAGAAGGTGACAGTGTCCCATCGCTACTTGTCAACGACCAGCTCGACCGTGGCGTTTGGAAATGTGAAGTGTGCAATAAACAATATCAAACATCGCGAGGGTTAGAACTGCATGCGGTAATTCACACACAGAAAAGATTTGAGTGCGAACACTGCGATAAGAAATTTACTCAAAAGGTACGCAAATTAAGATTTCTTCCATGTCGAAACTAAGTAATTATGCCTAATAAACAATGTAATCTCTAGGCTTCTCTGATGCACCACCTGACCTCACAACATTCTGATGCACCTCGCCTCTTCAAGTGCGACATTTGCTCCAAAGAGTTCATCACTTCGAAGCACCTTCGACGCCACAAGAGATTTCATACCGAGCCGGAAGCAGAATCTCCATGTTTAGAATGCGGAAAAGTGTTCAAGACTCGTCTCCGGCTGCTCTCGCACATGAAAATTCACGCCTCAAAGCTCAACTTTCCATGCGACAAATGTGAGAAACGATTCCCCAACAAGGCCAAGCTCAGCATTCATGAGAACTCGCACACGGGGGCGAGAACTTTCCAATGTCCCCACTGCAGCTATGCTGGCCGCACCCCGGGACCATTTTATCGCCATTTGAAAACCCATGAGAAGAAAGCGAAGAAAGAGACGGCCACCGCAACGACCACGATTTGTAAAGTTCCTAGTACTACAATTACTACAAGTACGAGTACAAGTACCACAATAAGTGTTCCACAACCAGCAGCACCACCATCCTCGACGCCAACATTATTTCCACCTACCACAATTGGTAGCACAACACCAATAGCAAAATTGGACACGGAAAGCATAACTCTAAATTTTTCATCACCAATTTTAGAAGATTTAAGCAATAAGAATAATACCACTTCAAAGCAGTATCACATCGTCTCCGTTCCACGCACGCCTACAAGTCTAGTTTCAATTAGTCACAGTCACCCGAGCCCGCAACAGCATTCTTCTAATGGAATCATCGTAACGACATCGTCCCACCATCCAATTCCGATCGAATATCACTCCCAGTCCCAACAGCAACAACAAAATAATAATGACCAAGTAATCTCCCATGCACACGCTTCCTCCTCATCACATCATTCTTCAAGTCAAAATTATTGGGCCAACTCTCAAAGTTACTCTCAACCTGGTAATAACTCTTCCTCCAAGACGACTACATTTGAGCTGGTCGACTGTGCTTTCCCTTGCGATAACAACATGTCATCAACATCACATTCTTCACAGCAACAACTCCCCCCTCCACCCAGCTATCAGTATGCGGCCCACAATAATAACTACTCCCCACCCAACCAGCAACATGCCCATACAACTGCCATTCTACACACGAGTCCCTCATCGGCACATTCTTCTGTCCCAATTTCATTCATCTCGGCGTCGTCAACGTCATCACAGAATGTCACAACCATCTTCACGGGAGGAAATCACGCCCAACAACAAAACGAACCGATGGAACTCAGCTACAAACTTCACCTAGACAATGGGCAAGACGTTCCGATGGAGTTGACCAAAGTGTTCCAAAGGGATCCGCTCGAGCTTTGTGTCCGAACAGATTTCAACCAATTAATGGATCTCAGTTCAAGAGTGGGTGGCGACGGGGGGATGAATATCCCGCTCAACATGAACAACAATAATAACAATAATACCATTATCGGATTAGGAAACGGATATCATAAGGATATGACGGACAGGGAGCTTTGCTTTAACGACCTTTCGGGAGCATTTAGACAGCCGATTGGTAAGATATTTAAAGCTGCATATACGTAAAATGTCAAAAATTGCATTTTTAACTCTTGTCTCGTGTATCCTTTAGATTTAATCGCTCGACAAGATGATCCATCGGATATCTGCTCCTCTGAAGGTTCCCTGGTTGATCTGTCTTTGCGCTCTTCTTTCGTTCAAGATCAGTCAACCTTTCTCCGCGAACTCATCGACCTTTCCGCACGCTCCGAGTCATTTCATGGCGAGTTAAACTTGACGAATAAATCTGGAACATCCACACAGCAGCATCACCAGCAATCTCATCCACATAATAATCACTCTCATCACCAACTTCAACAGCATCACACTCCGTCTGGAAAAGGTCATCCTAATTCTATGCACCAACAACAACAAGGCACACTGACCGCAGTTATTTATCAAGATGCCATGTTTAGTCTCTAGTGGTTTGATCTGACGGTGAAGAAATCAAATAGTATTATATTTTGACTATTTATTCCAAAAGTTAATAAAATATGTATCGGTATGAAATTAAAAACAAAAGTGGAAAACACGTCAAGTGCGAGTTAAAAATATTATGTACATTTACATCACGACTTATTATTACTTACTACTTATTAGTTGGTTCATACTGACAAGTGGGATTCCGTAAAATAAGTTTTTATCTTAACAATTTTCACTTCATAAAAGGAGAAATATCTATTTAGATTACAAAATTTGCGACTGCTTCATAAAACCGACCGTCGCATTAGCTAACTCGAAGGAGGAGAAGATTTTTCTTTATTTTGAGACATGTTGTTAATTAAGGTTGATAACGATAAGTTATCCTCCATCGCCACCGGTCTAAACTTACGAGGACTTGCTATAACTTCTTTGTAAGATGGAGGAATATTTTCTGGCTTCAATGTTGTATTTTTGCTGGGATTAGTACTTTGCTGGAGCGTCTGAGCAAACTTTGCATATTCTTTGCTACTGTTCAACACGCTGGAGTTGGAGTTGATATCTTTGTTCTTGTTCATTAGCAGGTGTAGATCTGTAGTAATGTTGTTATGGGTGGGACGATCGCCTTGTCCTCCTCCGATGGAAAAACTAGTGTCGGGATGATGAATGCTGGGAAAATTTTTGACGATTGACTGCAGGCGATCCATCGTGTTTGACCTTGCGATTCCACCAGTCTGGAGTTGTTGGGCAGTCTGAAATTAAGTATAATTCTTAAAATTCTAGCTATGCATTGACCTTATAAATAGTAGTGCATCGAAATTTTGTTATATGTACCGTAGTAATTAAGAGCTGCTTTTGTGCATTATCTTTCTTCAACTCCCTCATCTCTACTTCGTAAATTGTTTTCATTCGCATCAGGTCCGATTGGCATCTAAAAATTTAGAAATATCCAGTCAACACTCATGAACACAAAATAATGAATACAAATTCGAGACTACTACATACTGCAGAACACGGCCACCAAAGCCATAAAATTCATGACATGACAAATAAAAATACCTGTCCTTGCATTCCGTTAATTTCCTCTCATTCTCAACCTCAGCGATTTTCATGCTTTCTCTCGTCGCTGCTTCAGCTTGCAATGCCTTTTCACCAGCCGCCTTTAACGCCGATTGCAACTTTTTATTGTAATAACCGTGTAGTCGCTCGCCCTCGTCCTTCAATTTTTGACCCAACACATTTTCATGCTCACGATGCAGCCTTTCCTTTATGGGGAGGAAAAGAGGATTGACAAAAAAAGCCAAGCAAAAAATATTAGTTTAAAAAGCTCCAAAGTGTCGATACCAAAAAAAATCCAAAACAATTATGTACAATTCTGCGAATCAATCACACGTCACATGCAGGACGACAATTAATCACTTACCTTTTCTAAAGCTGCGAATTCAACCGTGTCCGACAATTGTTTCGTTTTCTTCAAAAGTTCATTATTTTGGGTAACCTTCTCATCGAGGAGAGACTCTAATTTAGAGTTTTGGTTTGAAATTTCTGACAGTTTTTGATCCCTTTGGAAAGCGGTAGTTTTCTGGGTGTGAAGCTCCGTTTCTAGTTTTTGGTAAGATACTTGCAACTGGTCCAATTTTTGTTGAGATTCTGTTAAAGCACGGACTGCAGTTTTCTTTTCTTCCTGTGAAACCAAAATCATGTTAACTTAGTACATGACACTCAAATTTACATTGCTTTTTAGTCATGTCACTCACCATAATTTCCATTTCACCTTTAGACATAATTTTAATCTTCTCCCTCAGGGAGGCCAACTCTGCCTCCAACTTGCCCACTGCGACGTCTTTCGATTTCTGTACCTCTGTCAACTGGGTCTTGAAGTTATCCGCCAGCTCGACACTCTTTATCAACTCTTTCTCATATTGTTGGACCTTCTCATTATTTTGGGCACAGATCCCGCTCAGTTCGACATGATCCTTTTTCAACTTGTCAAAATCTCCTCGGGTCTGAGATTCATACGCTCTCCACTCGGTCGCGACTTCTTTCCACGCCTTGGATATTTTGATAATTGTAGCGTCCTTCCGTTTTGTGACTCCTTCCAGGACAGCATTTCTCTGCCGAATGTTTAAATTTTCTTTCTGTAGACGATCAATCTCATCTTCACACTCTTGCCGACGGAATTTCTCCTCGTGATACTTTTCAACGTATTCAACTGCCCCACTTTGTGCCCAATGAGAGAGCTTGGCCGTCTCCTTGTTTTGTGGGGATGCGTTGGGGTCGACAATTTCGCGTAAGAGGTCATCAATACCAGCACCAACGTCACATTCTGCAATGTCCAAGTCGTCTACGATATCTTCAAAATCGGCAGGATTAATGTCCGCCTCGTTCAGCAGAGTTTCCAGGTCGGAATCAAAGTTGTCGATCGAGGGGGACGGGAATGGGGCTGTGAAGGGGGGTTGAGAAGGATGATGGGGTCGAACACCATGATTGATATGGCTACCACGTGAAGAGGAGGATTTTCCAGCATCTGCAAACCAGGAGGAAATGAAAGTAATTAGACTTATGGGTGGACTTAGATCAGGGAGAGGAGATCGGGGTGAATTATTTCCTGGAGTTTCCATTTTGATTCCATTATAATATTAAATTGAATAATAATTATTCAATTTACGAAATTATGAGAATAATAGTAAAATTTTAAAATCAGCACAGTAAATAATCGTTATAGAGATTAGTTAATCCCAACTCACCACTTTTAGCAGAAGGAGGTCCATCCCCCTTGCCCAAGTCTTCGATAAACGACGCCTTGCTAGTCCCATCATCGTCTTCAGACGATTCATCCCCTTGTCTCAGAAGTATCCTATTAGTCTGAATCTCTCTCCAAATTGCCTTGAGCTCATCCATTGCTGCAGCGGAGCCCTTCACTCTTCCCATCCCGTCGTGAAAGTCGTCCCTGCCTAGAGGACTTGGGTGATGATGGTGATGACTTGTACAATTATTCACCCTTGGTTGAGATGCTGAACTACCAGCTACTGGACCGTTGAAGTCTCTAATCCTTCGAATGGGCGAGAGGTCATTTTCACTGTCTCCATATCCAAAACTGAATCCTGGTTGGGGTGGTTGTTTAGGCTTGGTCCGTTTCATTCCTCGGATTACTTTCGTGCAATATGGGACGGAAGATGATGTCGTAGAGGAGGCGGAGGAGGAAGGTGGTTTAACTGAAGGCGACGACTCTGAAGAAGATGCCGCCGTAGTCGACACTGACGCGGCGTCACCAGCACCTTGGAATTTATTAATACTTTTCCTCTTCCCCTTGGATGCAATCTGCTTCTTCCTCCCGAGCAGTTTCTCTCCTTCAGGAACGCTAAATGAGTTTTTAGGAGATGAGTCAAACTTGACCGGGGTATCGTTATTGTTAAGAAAGTTGAATCCTCCTTGTAACGATGATTCGACAGGATTTTCAGCTACGTGTTCAATTTCATCCGCAAACCTCAACACTTTTCGAGTATTTATCTTGGGGTTTGTATCAATTTGGAGGTCGGGAACTTCTGGATCTGCATACATTTTCTTAACCTCTTCCGCTATCTGCTCCTTGGTTAATTGCCTACTTGGTTCTTTATCCGTGGTAGATTGATATCCATTCGCAGATCGGAAGTTCGGCGCACGGGTGAAGATTTGTTCTCCTTTCTCGTTCAGGTACGACGACCCTCCTGGACCTAGTTGTAATTGGAAGTGGCTGGGGAGTGGGATATTCCAGTCAATTGCAGGGTTTTCAAGATTGATGTCCACGACGCGGCCGTGATTGAGAAATTGGGGGACGTAGGACCTACTTGCGGATGTGTCGGTCTCGTCAGTCGTTGCTTTTGCGGGGACAACTTCGTCCATTCTGTTGGCTTTCTTGTTGTCGTTATTGGTTTCGGTATCATATGTTTTTCGTATATTTTCTTCGTTGTAGGTAAAACTAGAGTCGCTTTCGCCCCCGTCGTCGTCGTCATCAGCTTTTTCCTTCTCAATCTCGGAATCTACACTCCACTCTGAGAGTCCACTAAGGGCAATTTCTCCTTGAGAGTTGAAGTAGTCGCTGAGATCCATGTTGCTGGTGCCGCTCAGGTCGTGGTTTGTTGCGGCCATAATTTCGCCACCGTTTGTTTCTGGGATGACAGGTCCATTAGGTGAAGGCGATGCTTTCCTCGTTGTTAAAGGGAGAATACTGCTGTGTTTGTCGACAAGTTCTTTCAGAGAGAGGTCGCGAAAAAGCCCTCCTAGGGGGTCAGAGTTTAGAAGCACGTCCGTGTCGTCGGTATCATGATCAGACATTTTACTGATAAACACAATGGTTATTCTTCTTTAATTAAGTACGGACATCAGACTAGACCAGAATCGATATACAATCTAGAACCAATTGAAGTTGACTGCAATTAAAAAATCATATTATTCGTTTCAACAAAGCATACTTAATTACACCAATTATTAACAAGTTAACTCAACTTATATTACCTTGTTTACATTGATTGGTATTTTGAAATTGAATGAAATGAAATTCCACGTTTTTGTAATCACAATTTTGTAAACCTGATATCCACCACTTCAGAAACGTACACCAGTTGCCAAATTGTTATCCTGTTTTACAGAATTATTAAAATGAATGGAATCTGTAATCAAAAATCAGTCAGAACAGGATGTTTTTAAACAAAAGATCACCTTATGACGACGAGTCAGTCGCTGTTTGCTTTCACTACTGGATAGAAATATTTAAGTCGAGTCGGCTGCGAGCGGAATTTAGCCTCTTGCTTTCTCCTCGGCTGGACTTGGATTTTGCATAGCGTCAGGCATTTTGCAGTAGTTTTGCAATTTTACAATTTTCGAAATTACGTTGATTCAAAGTCAATAAAATATGAGATAATTTGCTTTTTTTAGTCCAAGATTAGATTGCTTGGACCGTGAAAAATCATTTTCATTCTCATAATGTCCTTATTGCCCAAGATTTGTAACGATGGTTGTCTAATTGCACGTATTATGCTTTTAAAAAATTATTATAAAACCACTTCAAAATTGCGGAAATTACTATTTTATATTTTTATGATCGCCTGACACTAAATTGCTATTTATGTAGATATATGTATGTTAGTTATCTAGTACATACATACCTCTTGTCAGCGTCTAATGATTCCCTGTCAAGAATGAAAGTTATTCCGACAGCATGCCGACCTCGATGCTGAGAAAGCAACAATTAAACTCACTTAAACACCTTCTTCCATAATAATGGCAGGAGATAAAAAACTTGCCGAAACTTCTACCAACAGCAGTAAGAAGTTATTAGCACCTAAACCCTCCGACCTCTCCGTTATCAACCGAGGCGGATCTACCTCAAGCGGGATTCCAGATAAGTACCGAAAATCGCGCAGATCCTCCATCCCCTTCGCAGATCGTGTCCCCCAAGTTCGATTTGTCAAAAAAACCGAGGAGCATTCCACTAACGAAGTAGGAACTTTCATCCCCCATCAAGACGCCACTCAGAAGAGAAGCAGCATCTTAAAAAAATCCGATTTTCCCATCCTCGTGGACTGGGACCATAATGACAACTTCAGTGACAACGGGGGCGACGGGGTCAACCAACAGATCGAAGCGAGCACCTCCTACGTGGAGAAAGTCATCCAACATTTCTCCGCGGCTGAGCGAGATGCTCGAGGAGCCCTGGACATTTTAACGTTTCCGGTCGCAAGTTCCACCAAGTTGGAATCCCTGGCCAGATTTTACTGTGGGTTCACCGTGGCCATCGTGTGCATCGAGGATCTCCTCATCGTCACGGCGAAATCCAAGTCGAAAGAGTTTAAAGCTTATGTTAACCAAGTTCACCAACTCGCAAAGAACTTGCTCGCCGATCTGGCCACCTTTGAAAAAGAGTCGAAAGAACTCTTAAAGAAAGCGAGGCAACGGAACAAGCAATGGGGGAGGCTGTTGATATCCAGGGGTGAGTTCAGGATTGAGGAGAGGCGCAGCTCCAGCATTCCGATCTATCTCAGGAAAACCATGCCGGAAAGTGTGACCTTGTACGAGAATGAGATCGATCCCGACAGCAAGACTTTCAGGTCGGACGGTAAAGCCCAATTTTTCCGAACGGAGGGCGAACTCGCCGTCATGGTGGAACTGAGAGAGGAAGTGATCTCCCGAACACAGGAAGAATTGGACGAAGGCGAACTCTTTTGTCTGATTAAATGCTTAATGATCCAATCCAGTGAGTTGATCCGATGTGCTACACAGCGACTAATTAAGGCCAACAAATGCCTGGATAATGCCGTGTTTGACGAAGAATACGCAACTTTGAGGGAGAGGATAGCTAATTTAGAGTTTGACACGTATTTTGACCCCTTGTGCGCCCTCGAGCTGAAAAGTACCCTGTCCGAAGTTACGGCTCAGAAGGAAGAGTTGGTTAACACGACGCGTCATGTGGGCATGTATGGGGATAAGATGGTCCATTTTACAAACTTGTTTATGAAGTATTGCAAAACGGTGGGGATTGAGAAGAAGAAGAGGAAATGTGCATGTCTCCCGTGTGGAAGGCCGGTCACTTGTGAGAAATTGTTTGAAACGATGGACAATATTCATCGCATGGACTTTATGGTTTCGATACCACTGACGGATGATTTTCTAAAGGAGTTGTAAGTCATCATTTACATACATATTTTCATTGTTAATATTCATGTCATGTATTTATGCTTTTTTATTGTCCAATAGTTGTCATATGGAAGCGAAACGGTCAGAAATTTCAGCAATTCAGTCCGGCATAACATGAATCGTGAATAATACCACCGCTTTAAATTGTACCACTGACATAATGAATGACGCCTTATTTAGAGTAACGCATTAATGTCGTTTTAATTTCTGTTTAATTTATTTTTCACCACGACATCAATTTATAGTATATTCTTTTCATTTTGATTTCGTTCAAAATTAATGTCATGCAAACATTTTATTTTCATTTTGTTTTCGTTAATTATTTATAGTGCAATTCATCTCGTTTTCTTTTCTGTTTCACATCATTTTGCAAAGTTGACATGCGGTCAACTTTTTCCGAGTGAAAATAAAACGAAACATCATGCAGATTTTAATATAAAGCGGAAATGGGTCCCAAAAAAATAGCCCTGAAAAGCGCATTCTCGCCAGAGGATGACAAACTGGCGCTCGAATCCAAGTTGGTGACCCTAGTGGAGCCCCACCGCCACATCTGGGACATCAAAGACAAGGACTACAAGGTCAACACGATGCGACAAAATACTTTTACTAGTATTGGAGAGCAGCTTGGAAAACCTGGTAGGTTGAATTTATCATAAAGTTTCTGATAATTATTAACTGCACCTCAACACAGGTGACGTGTGTATGGCACTTTGGCAAAGTTTGAGGACCCAGTACTTGGCCGCGAGACGAGCTCTTCCAACGGGAAGTGGGGCTAAAGCACGAAGTTCCTTCCGACTGTTTGATGCAATGTCCTTTATTTCAGGAGGACAAGATCAGTCTCAGTGAGATGTTTGTTGCTTATGATTCTCTTAGAATTTTTATTGATATTATACTTTCATTTAGGACCATTTGTAATCTTGATGGTGATGAGGACGAGACAGAGCATGCAGATGACGAATTCTCAACAATAAACTTCGCTGACTTGAACGATGACAACATTGACACTTCCGTTGTCCCAATTCAAACTCAAAACTCGGTGCCAGAGTCTAATCCTCGCCCGAGATCCCATGCTAAATTCGGAGGGGTGCGTATATTACTTCTATTGCGTGGTTTTTATGCATGTAAACTTATATTTTTCTTGTGCTGTGTCTAGAAGAGGAAGCTGGACAGTCTGGAGGAACAAATGCTTAATTTTGTCAAGGGAGGTGACTCGAAGGATGACGAATTTGAGCGATTTGGGAAGACCTTGGCTGCAAAACTTCGCAAAATTCATGAAAAGGATCCCAAGGCTGCTGCGACCTGCGAATATGAACTGCATGGGGTTTTGTACAAAACAGAACTCGATATTTTGTAATTACAGTTACTATACAATACATATAACTATATTTAATAGGCGTTGAGTTTATGTTGCATATCCAAAATTTGTATTTGTAGTTTATTTCAAGATGTGGTGAAATAAAAACTGCTCAAAATAATTTACAAATCAATGCACTCAAAAAGATTATAACACAATATAATACAACATAATAGAAAATCATTTACCCCCCGCGTCAACATGATGATCTTGCCAGCTCAGTCGTCCATCCTCACTATTAAAATAGTCTCGAAAGTGGTTCCTGACCTGAGCTGAATACTGGGTGTAGTTGTTGGTGCCTTGCCTTGGTATTTGTATCATCCCGTTATCATTCTGAACAGTATCACGCCAGTTCCCATGCTGAACTCTTCCATCCTCAAATCGATCAGGAGTAATATTGTTGAAGTCTTTCTTATTCATTAGATAATTGTGTAAAATTACGGCCGACAACGTAATTTGCTTCACGAGGTCCACATCCGCTTCAATCACCGAATGGAAAATCCTCCATCGTGCAGCCATTATTCCAAAGGAATTTTCAACGGTCATTCGAGCTCTTGAAAGCCTATAGTTGAAGACTCGGTCCGTCTTTTGCAGGAAGTTTCCTTTGTATGGTTTCAGCAAGTTGTGCCGTTTCGGAAAAGCGTCATCTCCTAGAAAAACATAGTACCAGTATAGATTGGATAGTGGTTGTGGCGATGGAAGGTTGAAAGTGTCGTTGGAAATCTTGCGTCCAATGTGGGATTTTGCCAGAATTCCTCCATCTGACTCAGATCCGTACGACCCAATATCTACGGCTGTAAACTTGAAATCTGCATCTGACAGGGCCATCAAGACGATTGAAAAATAAGTCTTGTAATTGAAATACAGGGACCCCGATGCCGAAGGACACTTGATTCGGATGTGTTTGCCATCCAATGATCCACAAGCATGAGGAAAATTCCACTTTGTTCTGAATTGGTTTTCATTATTTATCCAAGTAGATGCGGTGGGCAAATAATCTGACTTCAATGCTTGATTAATTGCTGCAAGAGTTTCTCTAATAATTCCGCACACAGAAGAAGGCGATACACGGAAGCTCATTGCAAGAGAAATTTGAGAGTTTCCTGTGGCGAGGTACCTGCACGAAAATCATGTTTGTTTTGTCATACGACACTACCCGAAATTGGGATATTTTCAGTACCTCAATGTTATTGCCAATCTTTGAAGAGGTGATATAGGACGAATGTGATTAGCCGGATGCGAGATCATTGGGGTCACCAAGTCCAAAATGGTATCGAAATTTTCTTTGCTCATCCTATTTTTATAATGCGAAAGTATGGGTAACGGTGGTGGTAATATAATACGCATATTATCTAGTTTACCTAAAGTATCGGAAATGATAGTAGGGGTCATCTCGAAGATCCATGACCAACTGCTGTTCGCCGTCATTGTCACGCTTCAGAAATATGGGACGAATGTAAACTGATCTCTGCTTTCTCTTCAGTCGCCGTCGCAGACGTTGAACAATAAGAATTTTGATAATGGTAGTTCGATCCATGATTAGCAGGATGAATTAGATGGAAATATGTAGAGTAATTTGCAATTTTTCATGTTTGGCCGGGATTATTTTTTTGTCAATTTATAGTGTTTGGTTTTACGTTGTCGTGAAAATTAAAAGAAAGAGAGATGAAAATTTTTTAAATATTCATCTTGTACTATAAATTAGCATGATGAAAAATAAATCAAAACAAAAATAAAATGTTAAAAAACATAAACAGAAAATAATACTCTAAATAAGGCGTGACCTGATAAAGAGAAACGACGAAATTGCAGAAAAATAAATCGAGAAATATAAATATCGCAATAAAATTTCTATAGTTTTAAAACCACAACACATTTCTTGCATGTGCATAATACTCGATTTTAGTAGATCGGTAAGTCAAGTCTGAAAAGTGATCTGATTCCAATTAATTAAAATTTATAGAATTATTTACTGCATTCTACAAAATGATTATGGCTAAAAAACAATCCGGCCCTAAAGATTTTGTAGACTACTTTTTCCAGAAGGAAGGTACGCCACCAAATTCATACGACATTCACAGATTGTAATGCATTTTTTATATTATTTTTAGGTGACACGTTCATATCTCAATTGCTGAAGGTATTTATAAGCAATTAGTTACTTCAATTACTTGGGTCAATGACGCTAATTTTAATGGTCAACAGTTGCGAGACGATTTCAGTGGAAAATGTGTGCAGTCATTGTCCGATGTCAGTTCAAAAAGTCGTAAAGATTACGATGACTTTACATCTCGTTTACTTAATCCTGACAAGGTAAGAGGTTAATTAGCTGTATATTACGTTTGATAATGATTGGACCAACTAAATTCCAGATCGCTCCAAACATGTTTCGCGTAGAAAACTTTGATTTCGATAAGGCTCTGACTTCCATTTTTGAAAATCTCAACTTGAACGTTACCGATACGCTTGAGATGATTTCGAAGGTTTGATAGTATTGGTGATTATCCTTCATATGCAAATTAATTCATATTTACTTGTTTTGCTTCCAGTATTATGGATTCATAGCAAATCTTCAAACTCACTGGAAAGGGTTAGAACTTGATCCGTCTACAGTGATTGACACCTCTGTTCAGTTGATGGTAATTTTATGACGTTAATTTTTGTGCCTATTTTTCTTGTACCGGCTCTAATAAAATAAATAATTGTGTACCACAGGCTACATTGGAATCAATGGTTTATCCCTTATTTCTAAAGTTGACCAATTACATTGGTATTTTAGCACAGAATCCTAAAAATGCCTCCGCCTCTGAAACCCCAGAAATGATGATTGGGCATCTTCACAAGTACGTGATTCATAAAATATGAGTCAAACTCCTTCCCGTTTTGAATATGATCTACTCGATTGTTTAGATTATCGGAAGCTTTAACGATGGAAATTGCAACAATTGGGGCTTCCGGTGTGGTCAGCTTGGGACAATGTCCAACCTCATCGAGGCAAAGTATACAAGAGGACAGTGTCAAATTGGGAAGCCAAGGACGCAATGCAAAAAATTGTATCACGTGGGCGTTGAAAGCTGTGGCACCGGCACTGCAGTATTATTACTTGACTACGAAAAGTTTAGGTATTTAATCGTGAGTAAAAGTTATTCGTTAAAGAAAATAAGTTAATCAAACTTCACACAGATCCGATTCCTTCGACCACCACAGCATTTGGTGGGTGTCCTTGTGCAAGTAAATAAATTACAAAAAGCTAATTATCGCCGAGAAATTACATATGTCCAATCCGGTTGATATTCTATAACGCACTTCTGTATGTCCAGATAAACCAAAGCCAGACATCAGCTCTAGCAAAACTCAAACAACGAGTGAGGAGGACGCCAATAATGACATGAAAAATCGCCCTCCTCCTCCACCTCCACTGCCTCCCGAGCCAAAGCCAAAACCACAAAAATCAACTCAAGATGTACAAAGCCAAGCCAAGGATGACCGTTTTGTGACCACTGCCACCATAAATATTCAAGTTGAGGAGGAATCCGTAGACAATAATGTAAGTAATGTAACGAAGGTTGAAACGAAAAAGGATGACGAGGATGACGACGAAACTGGAAGTGAAAGCAGTCAGTACGTGTGATCATGCACATTAAATATTGCATTTATGAAGCGCTATAATTTTGGAACGTGTGTGACTTATGTTTCCACTTGCAGAAAATCTATCTCTGAAAAATCAGAGTCCGTCCAATCTATGGCGTCTGTCCAATCCAGACAACAAGTCAAGCCGGCTCAACCTGTTCCGACCAACGATGAGCAACACGTTATGCACCCTTTGACGGATGACACTGAAAATTTTCAGATGGAAACGAGAGAAAATGGGGAACAACAGGAGAATGATTTTGTCAGCTACTTTTTCAAGAAGAATGGTATGACTAGACAAATATGAATGTATACTTTTCGTAAGTGCTCAGATTTTGCTAACACATTTCAGGAATTAAATATGTGGCTATCCTGGCGCAGGTATGAATCGCCACAATCAAAATAAAATTTATGGTAATAAATGAATAAGTAAGCGCTAATAAAACATTACACAACAGACACGGAAAAAGTATGAGCAACGTTGCAAAAGTCTTCTAGCTCTGGCAACACCAGACGACAAGAATAACGCCAAATCATTCATAGCTGCTGTTCACGATGCCAGAAAGGTTTGTGACATCACATTCACTCACTTTCTCTCACTTTCTCTCAATCCAAACTAATTAAAAATTAACAAATTGTACATTTATAGATGTCTCCAGTCACTGGAGAAGTTGAGATTGGCGATTTCAACTTTCCTGACACAATTGCAAGCACGCTGCAAGATTTTGACATTAGTATCGAGGATAAACTATCTTTGCTAGGAAAGGTTGTTTAAAAAATACTTTTTTTCTACAATTGGCTTAACGTTTTAAAGCAAAAATCCAATAAAATTTCCAGTATCAAGATTACATTCGAGGAATGATACGTCACTGGAGGTACCGCATTGAGAATAACAAAGCCTTGACACCTGACACCGTGGTTGATGTCGGGGTTCAAATTATGGTAGTGTCTATTATGAAAATGTGCTATTTTATGGTGACAAATTACTGATTAGTTCTTATCCAGGCTACAACTATGGCTTTAACGTATCCAATTTTTATCCGAATTGGAGAGTTTCTCAGAAAATTGTCCAGATCGCCGGATTCCGCAAAGCGGTCCCCCACCGAGTTAGCTACCCTTCTTCATACGTGAGAACACTATTTATAAGCCCTATAGTTATTTAAAAAATTACCATAAATGTAATTATTTTAGTTAGCAATTAATTAGCATGAAATTAATGTACCACGTTATTTCTGACACAAATGTAAATAAGTGCATAGTCCTGAATAACAATTTTATCCAATTTTATAGCCTTGTTGAGGCAAATGGACTTCAAATCGCAGCCATTGGAACATCCTGTCTCAGCGTTATTTCAAGCATGCCAAACATAAAGAGTGAAGCCTTGGATGAAAATAGAGTCGCTGTAGAAGCACAAATGGTCCTGGCGAAAAATTCGATAGCTTGGGCTATGAAGGCAATTTCGCCGCTGTTGTTACTCTTTTACATCAAAGTTAACATGTCTGTCCAAGAGACTCCAGGTAATTTAACACAAAAATCAAGCCATATTGACACATCAAAAACTGTTTCATGAATGACGTAGAGATGAGAGGTCCAAGACCAAAACCAAAACCGGTATCCAACGACAAACCCGAAGATGCCATAGTTATTCCAATTATTCCAACTGCACGAGGTGACGACCAATCGATGGATGAAATCCAACAGGAAATTGCTGCCACGCCGAATACTCCGTATCAAAACGCACTACATGATAATTACGCTTTGAAATATTATCAGAAACCGGCAGAACCGCAGAATTTTGTCTACTACTTTTACGCCAAAGAAGGTTTGACACTTATATTAATTCATAATTCTAATGATACAATATCCATTCTATTGCTTTTCAGGACAAGAATTGTCCGCCCTTTTAACTGATGTATTTGGTTATAAATATTTCTTTAAACTTGTCAAAATCTAGTGAAACCCAAATCTTAAAAGGTTTCCTTACATAACAGATGCGAACCAAGTACGAGAATTATGTCCACAGCGCAATGGACAACATTAAACAGCCCGTGAAAGACAAAGTTTCAGAATTTGTTACCAAATATCATGATGCTCGCAAGGTTTGTGTATATTATTTTTTGTGGGGTCTAGTCAATTAAATACATGATATGTTGTATGGTAATTACATTAGCCTACGGTGCCCAGCGACGACATGGGCGTGTCGGATATCAACTTTCGTGACGATATTTCCAAGATATTTTCCGGACTGGATATGAAATTACGTGATAATTTGGCCACATTGACGAGGGTACTTACAGATCAGTCATTTAAATTAAATGCCACTTAATAAATGCATGTAAAAATTGTCGGTAGTATTTCGAATTTACCAAAAATATGGAATCTCATTGGAACTATCGAATCAAAAAGAATATGGAGCTCGACCAGGATGCCGTGCTTGAAGTGTCGATTGAAATGATGGGGACAACTGTGGCCCTCACGTACCCAATTTTCATCAAGATTGCTGAATATATCGTCGATATAATGAAAACTAACAAGGTCACCACCGGTCAACTTTCACCAAACAGCTTGGTGGAACGGTTTAAAAAGTAGACAATCTTTTGCCTATATTTAATCACAAGTCTATTATTTATGCTGCGGTGTAAATGTAAATTTCATGGAAAATTCCAGGTTTTCTTTTCTCTTGACCACGGAAATGGCAGCCATTGGGATGTCATGTACCACACTTATGGCACAAATTCCCAAAGCGACTCGTGAATCTGTATCTACACGGACAATAAGATTAGCAAATGAAACCAAAATTGCTGACGGAGCAATTTCTTGGGCAATGAAAGCAGTTTTTCCGATCATGATGATTTACTTTCTCCAATATGAATCAGCATAAGTTCTGCGGTTTAAATTTGAAATGCATCCCAAATTCCAAAACAATTTCTGGTAAAAAATAAAACCATGTAATTTTACAATGTTTATGTGAACCTTGAAGATATATGTACTTTGTTTTGTACTATTATTTCCAACGGGTTAGCCAATCTTAAAATTTTGATCATATCACATACAGGAACGATTATAATTAGACATGCAGAGGAAGAAAATCTGACAACGATAAACATTTTTTACATTTAAAAACTGCGAACGCTGAGAATTAAAATAAGTATATACTTACAAAACGTTTTAAATACAATAATGGTATTGCTGATTTTGGAACACATTTTTCCAGTTCAAAATTAAAACGACAAGCAACAAATAGTATGATAATAACTTACTTACAGAGTGTGACGTAAAAGCGTGAAACATTCGTTTCATTCATCAAGAGAAATATAAATAATCCTTTTGTTTGTATAAAAACAACTAAGGCGCAGACGGTAGACGAGAAATTATTGGATTTCTAAAACATCCCACGCATAGTGACATAAGAATGCGGATTTAACACCTTTGGTATTGGTTCTCCAAGTTTTCGCGAATCAGTCTAATTGACATGCACGTACAACTTCATACAACTTTTCCATTTCTTTTTGTGCTATGGTTAGCTGAAAATGTTGCAAGCATATCCTGCAGGTAGCGATGCTTGACACCGTCTTTTGCGGAAATTCTGGCAATCGGGCAGTACGTTAGCAAGGCCTACAATAAGTGAAACAAAATTGTATAATGAGAAGGAAAATCTTATATAATTATTCGTTCTGTCAATTTATTGTAATTTTTCATACCTCTAATAACTCTAACCCTTCAGGATTATTGGTTAACTGAGGAACAAAATTTTTCAAGTTTTGACGATCCCATTTCGGAAAACAAGGTTTATAGTCGGGAAGTCGTTGCACACCGGGCCAAGTGGTCTCATCGGGGGTTCCTAATGTTCTAAAAATTCTAAATAGTTGGTCAATTTCCGAGTCTCCTGGGAATAGTGGTTTTCTGGTCAACTAGAATCAATCACGTAAAAAAGATTAGTCTACATACGATTTAAGCATGAAAATTCACAACAATCTCACCATTTCCGCGAAAATGCACCCCACACTCCACAAATCGACGGTGGTTGTATAATATTTCGTGCCTAGTAAAATTTCTGGGGCTCTATACCACAGGGTCACGACCTATAAACAAACATATAATAAATATAGTTCACCTTTACATAATGCGATTTATTGTAAATTGTGCAACTACCTCATGCGTATAAGTCCGCATTGGCATCGAAAATCCTCTGGCAAGGCCGAAATCGGCCAGCTTAAGACTACCACTGCTGTCAATTAGTAAATTTTGAGGTTTCAGATCGCGATGAAGGATTCGATGCGTGTGACAATAGACGAGGGCCCGAAGCATCTGGTAGAGGAACGACTTTACTTGTAACATTGGTAATCCTGTCGTCTGCGTGTCGATAAATCTAATTCACAATACCAAAAAAAAGTTATACTTTTTGTGTAATTATACAATCATTTAAATACTGCATTGATTAAGTCTTACTTTTTAAGATCCATTTCCATATACTCGAAAACAAGGTAGAGCTTATGATCCGCATGAATCACGTCAAGTAAACATACCACATTTTGATGATCTAATTCTCTAAGGAGTGAAATTTCTCTAACTGCCGTACTCGGAATTCCTTCAGACTCCCTGCTTTGAAAAAAAAAGAAACACACACACAACAATTAATATTCATGCTCCATTACCATATTTGTTCCCCAATAATTTAAAACGTACGATTCAAGCCGGATTTTCTTCAGAGCTACTAAACGGTTCTTGTTCGTTATGTCCCTTGCCTTGTAAACCACTCCGTACGTACCTTCCCCAATTTTTTCAACCTTTTCAAATCGGTCCATGCTAGCTCTATCCAGTACGGAGGACTTTCTCGACAAGAGTTTCTTCAGTACCGGGGGGACTGGCGTGGACCCAGAAACTTTGCTTATCGCGACAGAAGACAACGGCAGTTTCATGAATTCGGTTTAATATGAATTGGATACAATACTGCGAAAAGTTATGTTAAGTCCTCCTGAAGATGAAATTTTTAAAATGTTATAAAATCAAAATTTGTGAATTAATTTAAAACAAAAATGAAAACAACTCACCTGAAGAGAAGAAGAAGGATTTAATGTGGCAGGAAAACGAGCAGACAAGGAGAAAGAGAAAGAATGCCTCCAGAATTCCAGATCAAAAAACTCCAACAGTGAAACTCCTACTTATTCACCGGCATTTGTCCAGGTATGAAATGAAATGAGGTAAGAGAAGAAGTGGTGAGTGCACTTTTTTAACACAATTCTCAGGCGGGCGAAAGTTTTCTCTGTTTACAAAATTGTTCAAATGCTGCGGTTTTGCTGTGCGAGCGAGTCAAGTCCCGGCTGGACTTGTTTGAACTTGTCAAAATCTGAAAACTTTGTTTGGAAACTTATTTAGTTAGTCAATCAAGCAAGACTAAACTTGATTTCTTGGTGGTAAGTACAAAAATGAAGGCGGATTTCAGAAAATAAGGGTTGAATTTTTGTTTGCAATCAAAATTTATTTTGTAGTTTGACTTTCTTGGAAAATTTATTTTTATCGAAAATAGGAAATCCTTTGATAGACAACTGTGATGGCCTAAAATTTGATGCCCTGCAGAATACCTTTGTCACTATTATGAGCTGTAAATAGTTTATTGATAATTGATAATAGATTTCGCATAATAATGTGGGTAGATTCGACTTAACTAATATATTTATGTCGTTCATGTAGTTCACCATATGTATACGAGAAGGACATCCGATATTCGTTACAACGACGATGATGACGACGTAGTGGTACTTCCCCCTGCCGTCAAACAACCTCCGCTTGTGATTGACATAGACTCCGACGAGGAAGACGACTACCGAAGAGTATTTAAATCTCATCGTCAATATCGCATGAAGACTGTACCCACTTCCGGAAGAATTACGCAACGAAGCACTGTTACTCATCGCCCAGTAGCACATAGTCACACTAAACAAGAATATTTATCCAGTTCCACCACCATTGGTCCAACAATCTGGACGGATCGTAAGGTTCGATTCATCAATACCGTGAATGGTGGTGCATCTATTATAAAACAAGACGAATTCGCACCTATAAGAATTTCCACATCGATCTTTCATGACGATGATGACGAGCCCAGTAATGAGTCCGTTCCAGTTGAAAATCCAAGTTCAACATTTACATCTCTACCGTCCTATCCCTTTCAAATACCTATGACAAATTCATATGAAATTGGTAGGTCAATACATTTTGATCGTAAATACATATGCTTGAAACTTAATCATTCATTTTGTCTTTTTTATAGAAGCGCACAAGACTCAACCAATAATACTAATTCCTCGATCCATTTCGCCTTCACCATACAGATCTTTTACTCCAAATGTTCCTACCCCGACACCATCGTCATCTCAAGGACAACTGCAGCAATGCACTCAGAATGATCATAATAATAATCCAGCAGATTGGCAACAGCAGGTTCGACGCGTCAATTTTAACACATTAGAGCCTGTGTCGTATGGACTTTGCCCTCCCACGTGGAATCCAACAAATTCAGTCTCTCAATCCTATAATATGTACAACACCCCCAGAAGAGATCGCCACGAAATGCAACCTCCATCTTTTACCGAAGATCGTCCAAAACAGAAAATAATCCACAATGACAAATGTACCATAAATATCCACTTAACTAGCCCCGAGTTGAATGTGCTACTCCCAGAAATGAACAAGAAGGGTGGAATAATATTGGAATTGACTGATAGATTTAAAGTCAACATTTTTCTTTCATTGACCGACAAGCTAATTGTGATCGAGAGAGGTGTTGATACTGATAGAGAACTAGTCATGAATCAAATTTTGCACTGGCTCCCATATCAACTTTCAAGACGTGGCAGCCATTCAACACGGTTTTCTCCGCCGGAAACTATGCAGCAGTTCCAAAATTGGCAATCAACTTCAGTTCAACAATCTACCCGTGAGTCAGAAACCGCAGAAACCAAACCCTCAGAAGATGACCTAGGAGGACGCAAGTACACAGGATTTATTCCAACGCCAGTTTATTCAGTGCCCAACAACTTGAATACAAAGCAATCCTGGCTTTCGAAACGTAAAGTTGACTCGAAACTCCTGCTTCCTAGTCATACCAATAAAATGCATCGACAACATAAAAGACATTTCAAACACAAACATAACCACGGAAAGAAGAAAAAACAGCAACCCCGGCATGGCATGGGCTTTCATCCTCCTCAAGGCGCAAGGTGACTCAAAATATACTATTTTTATAATCATTTTAAATAAATATGTATGTCTAAAAAAATCCCGCAATATTATTTTAGAAATGGAGGTGGTCATCTCAAATTTGTTCGCTCCACTCATCCCACAGATCTACGGATGGGTCGAGCAAAAATCAAGTCTGAAAAATGAATGGTGCTTAATAAGATCTCTTTGTAATAGTATTGACTTTAACAGCGTTAAAAAATCTAATATTAGTATCAATGATACGTTCTATATCCATTTTCTTGAACTGTTGTGCTACAACTGAAGTTTATAATAACTGATTCATTCTAAAATATATATTCGTTATCATCCACAGAATAAAATCAAAATTGAATATATACCTTATTGGTGACAGAAAGTTGAATTTTCTTCTAAAATCCGAGAACCCAAAGGAAAATGAAATTAAAAATTTCTATTAGCCTACATACATTAAAAATCCGCAGGTGTCATGTGCTAGAAATGATGAACATGAAATAATCTCATGACCTCATGATGCTCACATCTATGTATAATACTTCATGTTTCATGCTCCGACTTGTGCATTGAATGCAAATTAGACGTGCAGTTGATGAATTATCAATGGTGTTTATGTGTCACCCTTGATCATTTAAAAATTGTCCCCTTTCCAACCAGGGATTTTTTTAGGGATATTATCATCACATTTGGGAAGGGAAGGACTCCTCCAAAAAATAAGTACCCCTTAAAAAAACCTTAGCTGTTATTCTCCTAATGTTTACTAAATAATAATCACACCATGCAATTTCACACCCAGTAAAAATAAAATCCGAGTCCTCCTCACAAGAGTTAAAGAGCATGCAGTATGAAGAAAGTCGAAAGAAATTGCAGATTAAATTGCATCTCAAAGCGAGCGTACCCCCAACAACCCTCCCATTAACAATTACACATTAAGAATTCCAATCATCCCATTACATTCAAAGCGTCCATTCCGTCCACCTCCACCGCACCGTTCAAATGACCCCATTTGCGTCCAAAAATACCTCTCAACAATCGAATGAATTAGGATACCGCCGATATAAACTGGCCGACACACATAATAGAATAAATAAAATGAAATAATTACGACGTGTAAAAAAATGACCCGCCCGCATGGCAGATGGTCATATCCAGTCATATAGTGATTGCCAAATTTGTCATTAATTAAAATCGTGGCAGGTTAATTTTTAATGAAAGTTATTGTACTTATGACAAATCCGAGCCTGAAATAAATGAGGTGTGGATTGAAATGCAAAGAAGGTTCACATTTTATGGCATGATATGTCAACCTGTAAAGATAAACAATTTTCAAATGTCACCAAGTTGCATGGGTCCCAATTAATAAAGAAAATTTTGTATGCACCTCATGCAAAATTTCATAAAGCACCCATCTTTCTGTCAAAAGCAGGTAACATTTTATCTTGTTATATATTTCATGAATGGATATGTGCAGATAGAGATGCCAGGCCGGTTGACAGGAACATCTTTACGGTAAAGTTTTACTCGTTGTTATTCTTTGTGGGACTGCCACCACTTCTGTATTTCGAATTGGTGTCGAATTGCTGCCTGACTGACACTGACTCTCCGCACTCACTTCCTTCATTCCATTCTTTGTTGTCACATATTCTTGGCTAAAACAATGCAAATCCCATCATCGATGTTATTAAGATGCTTATTTTGTATGCTTTGTTGTTCTGATAATTGAACCACTAAAGAGGACAATACCATTAAATACCAACGAGAGAGTGGTCATGATTTTATTTAGACGTATCATTTTTGAACGAAGGAATGGGGTTGGTTATGGATCTGCATACCAACGAATTATTAATCTGACACATTCCAGTTACTGTTTAAAAGTGGTTTTCGTAAATAATAACCTTCTTAAGTATGAGGAATTGTGATATTATTATTCATAAATACTTTCTCCCCATCGTTCCGATCGCATTCAGTGGCCGCGGAAGGGTGTGGACAATGTCCCCACAGTTATTCGATGTCCCCATCGTCTGCCCATGTTATATGAACCCCTCCCTCCCCTATCCTACAATTCTAATGCCCCCAGATGTCCCCACGGCTTCCGCGGCCATGTGAATTTTACCATATTACTAGTCTCAAGTTGAGGCTAGTTGAGCTGCTTAAGAATATTTATTACTTCATTCCTGCAGCAATTTCAATGTATTCACTGTTCGGTTAACGTTTATAATGGAAAGATTTCATCCTGTGATTGAGATTGATGGGATGAGACGACATTCCTCTCGGCTTTGTTACCCGACCAGATTTACCGACTTGCTGGAGAATGTGAAGTAAAAAGTGATTAGGCCAAAAGCAACCTCCATTATTGTTCGTATCCATCTTCTGAAGGGTCTCGTCACAAAAAATATTAATTTCCTATACCTTGACCTCGTAGGACCTCGTAATATTCTCATTTAGAGATACTTACATACATAGATATTCCTTTCACTTGTACATAAATTTCGGAGTCTCAAACTTTTTGGGAATTTCACAACTCTAATTTATATGATGTCTTGGCTAATCTGAGAGGAAATTTTTTGTGTAGGTCAAGATTCTACATACCGATGGACCTTTTCACATATGTACGTATTTATAAAGAAAGTTGTTGCACCCAACCGCCTCCTTTTGTCTGCTTGGTCATTGTACAATTTTTTAGTGACGAATCCCAGAATAATACGAGAGTGATGAATTTCACCCCATGCATGAGAACAATCAACACACAACAATCGACCTGGTGTAAGAGAATAATTGAAGATTTTAATAATAAATAATTTTAATTGTGCACCCCTTGAAACCACGCATTTACACATAACTTTTCTCATTCATCTCCCCTGTTTAGGAATGGGTAATCCGATCCGACGGATTGATCCGAGTATTTACTAAAGCATTGAACAATCCGATCCGATCCGATCCGACCATTTAAACTCGGATCGGATTACCCATTCCTACCCCTGTTAAGGATAAAAATGCTCATTTCAATTTTAAATTTGGATAATAGTCACCCTTTAAAATATAAAATGGATATAATGCTCGGCTCCTTTTCATATTATTTCATTCTCTGTATTTGCTTATTGTGGGATGATAAATCGTGTAAATTTTGATTTAAGTGACCAGGAGGCCATTAGATGATACTGAATTGTCCCCAGGACTGACTGCTCCTTTCATCCGTCATCCCACATTAAATTTATGTATGCTTTTGCTCCGCTTTATTTATTTTACTAAAATATCTCCCTTGTGACAAGCGTGTAACCGTCTAACCCACTTAAATCACAGGTGCGTGGTGGTAATTTACTTTCCTCCTTGGACAAAAGACTTAATCGCTGGGAGAAAAAGTTTCGTTTTTAATTTTACTGCTCATTGTCAACCCACTGACTGAGGAGTGACGCCACGGCGATATCATGTCTTTTTAAAGCCATGCGATGCAATGACTAAGGTGGGAGTGTTATTATTGCGATGCGATTGTTGTTCTGTTGACGAGAAAATTTCGGATCTTTATTATTATTGCTCTCGTTCCATTCAAACGATTTGCATGCAGTCATCTTTTCTGGCCTCGAATGAATGCACATTTTGGGATCCGTGTCATTCAAAGCACGGCCTATTTTTGTAAAACTATGCATAATACGATACACATATTTATAAATAAATAAATACATAAAGTGAAATATCACGATGGGATTATTTATGTCCTGTATATGTATGTATGCAGTTAGTAAGCGAATGTATGTACAAATCTGATGTGTGTATGCATGTGTGGAAAATGAAAATAAATCCGATCTAATTCTTGGTGTGTAATCCCAAAGTCAAAGCCGAGGTTATGCTGAGATTTGGGCCATTTTTGTAAGTGACACCTAAATCTAAAGTTGCATGCTTTCTAGTTTCCTCAACTTACAGGATTTGATTTAGCGGATTTTGGTGAATAGGAAGGAAAATGAGTTATACGATGATATGAAAAGTCAGCAGTGGCCGTGGAAGGGTGGGGACAGAGGGACAATGTCCCCACGGTTATTCGATGTCCCCATCATCTGCCCATCTTATACAAACCCCTCCCTCCTTCATCTTATAAGGTTAGTGTCCCCTCATGTCCCCACAGCTTCTGCGGCCACTGATGAAAAGGCATGGATTTTGTTAAGAAAAATGTAATGTGATTATACTCCTTCTAAACACTACTGTCTGATAGGTCTACATACATACCCAAGAAAAAGTGGTGTACCTACTTTTTGATTTCATTTCGCTTTATTTACCCAAGATTTAGTGGCGAAGTCTTAACAGGATTTCGAAATTGGACGTATATGTTTGCATCTTCACCTATGGGCTGGGATGACTTTGATACGATCGGAGCAACCTGTGGCGTTACTTTTTGGCGTGGTTTTGTTAACTTACTTTTGTAAAGTGGTGGTTTATGGATGACATACAAAATTCTAACCAGGTTGGATTGCACGACGATGATGATTTGGTGGGATGGTCAGCGTCGATTCACTCCTTGTACAAATATTTGTATGATCAGACAGAGATGAAGATGATGATGAGGTTGAATGGTTGTCGGAATTTGTGTGTGTGTGAAATGTGAAATGTAATCCATTCATTTTACATGAAACAAAGCTACCTACTAAACCTTCTCGGTTCTCCTTAATTGCTTTACTGCAGTCAAAAAGTGGCGTAATTTTGGTGGAAAGTTTTAATTCTAGATTTAATCAAACGTATATGCAGTCAAACTTGGTAGGTCGTCAACACTTTTCTTAAAATTCCGGTCTGTCTCTTTTTTAGCATCTCCAACAACAACCTTCATCTTCATCTTCATCTTCATCTTCATCTTCATCTCTGAGTGAATAAATACGTCTCGTCTTGTGCATGAAATATGTGTGTACGCGTAGAAAGTGAAGTTCGAACAAGAGAGTCAAAAATTCAATCAAAATTCAGGTTTATCTTCCTCTAACGGTTCTAACAGGACTGGAGGAAAACAGTTGCAAAAGTTGATAATTAACGCCCATCTGCTGGCTCTCTGTGTGATCAAGACTGCTTAAAGAATTTGAGACTGAGGAGTAAATGTTTATGTAAATTTTGATTATTCGGAAGGTGCAATTACATCCACATATCCATCCATCCATCCACCTTCGTATACATGTCAGAGAACTCACACATGCATAAATACTACGAGGATCAAGTATGAAAGCAAAGCATCATATCAATTTCTTATTACGGTGACTTGTTGGGGGAGCAGCCCGTTAAAACATTACATGTACAAAGAAGATGAAATCAAATCAAGTAACAAGGGAGGTCTCCCAGCGGATGCTCTCCGATTTTGAGGAAACTTGTGTGAATCAATCACAAAATTAATAATATGAAATTTGCAAATAACATTATTTGCCAATACGCACGTTTGGCAGAGATATTTGCATCCGAATGGAGAAAGCGCACCCTAAAAATGACAAATTTTACACATTCCAAATTTACTGCGCATTTTCTCCTCTTCGGATGCAAATATCTCTGCCAAACGTGCCCATTTGGAGGTCGCGTCTTCTGCAAAAATACCAATTAAATTTTCGATCGATGCACACTAGTTTGTTCAAAAATCAGAGAACATACGCTGAGAGACCTCCCTTATAAATATAAGCAGTTAATAGCAGTAAGTATTTAACTAGTAGTTTGTTGCTCATACACAGCAAATTATCATTGCAAATGCCAAACCAAACCCTGTTGCTCATCGCTCAACCATTTATTTGATACCTGCTGCCAAAAAAGTCCGGTCCGACCGAGGACGTGGACTGTTTAAACGTTTTCGAGGGAGGGAGTAGTAGGAAGAAGAGAGTGGAATTATGTATGTCCAAGCCAAGCGCAATAAAAAGAACGGGATACAATGTACCTCTTTATTAATTCAACATTCATCATTCAATCCTCAACAATAGCCATCCCGGCAGCTCCATCGTGAAACATATTCATATTTAAAACATGTTGCTGTTGCTGTTGCTTTCTTTCTTCGTCGTCTTGATATCTTTGATGCGTCTTCTCCGCTCCCCTGAAATTCCCGACGGTATAAATCTTCACTTTTGTGCTAATAGGAAAGGTATGCCAGCCATGAAACCAAAACCAGCACATACTTACTCTCATATAGGAAACAACCGGTATCATATATTATTTTGATGGTGGATTGGTTCCTAATAAAACGCAACACACATTGCTCGGTTGTTTGTGGCAGGTAGTACATGTACATATTACTCTAAAGGTAATATGGTCGCCAGTTCGTTATGTTATTGTGTTGTTGTGGCCAGTTTCGGAGAGGAATACGAAATGTATACACCTTTCCCTAAAATGAAACACATTGGTTGCCGTCCCAAGGAATGGATAAAACCCAGCCTTTTTTAGCCCGAGTCAGGTTTTTACTAGACAATAATTAAGAATGCCACTTTTACATACATTTTTCCACACATTTTCCAATTTGATTCCGAATTTTGCATATTCTACGAGTATGCAAAATTTCAAGTCGATTGGATAAGTTTTACGAGCGTAATCGATAGATAGACAGACAGACAGACAAGGATGCCCGGTACATAAGCCCTGACTCAAAAAGGACGTAGAGGCAAATAAGGAATGAGAATGAATTATTTTGGCCTGGCATTTTTTGGCTTCTTTCGTTCCCCCACGTAGTAATGACTAGTAAAAAAGTGAAGCTGGTAAAAAATGCCTTGTTTTCCAAGGTGCTCGTACATACATACATAGCATGCAAATAGTCCCCTGTCGCAGTAAATCAGTACAGGATTTGTAGTTAAGTACTCTCGTCAAGCATTTCCCTCCCTCCCTTCACCCACCGGAATAAAGAAAGATACCCTCATCATGACATGATCCTTTGTGAAAACAATATTTTTTCTCCATTATGTGCACTTATTCATGTAAAATACATGTTAAGTTGTGAGTGAGCATGTTAGTAATAAGTAGCTCCATACGTATGAAAATCTCACGGGAGTACATACAGGGACCAAAACCAAGCCAGATATTCGGCTGCTTGAAGAAGAAGGAACTCAACAATAGAGCTCTTCTCAGGTGGACGTGGACAGGTGAGTGAGGTAGATAAACCCTGAGGGAACAGGAATCTGGTGAATCCACGTAATAAATATGAACGCCTCCATCCACCAAGCCAAGCAAGCAACCTGTAGAATAACCATGTCTTCATTCTTATGTATGCTCCACCATCTCTAAACCACGCTAAGTCGAAATCCTTTACCTTTATTTTCTTAGGGGGATGATACGACAACGATGCTCAAGCGTCTCGTCGACTATCATTGACTTACTTGGTTTAACCAGTCAGTCTACATTTTTACTCACAGGTGCACTTATCCTGGCTCGTCGCTGCATCTCGGCATTTTAGACACTTGGAAAACATTACTTACGAACTTGTGTGTAGTAAAGTAAAGTGTATGACAAAATTTCGAAAAATATTTGGATTCTTTTCTTCTTTTTTGGAAAAAGTATACCCATAATTTTTTCAGCGTAAAGTGAAAGCTTTATCAGTTCACGAGTGAAATCTGGAGCTTATTAGGATACAAGGAAGAAGAAAGTGTCACACCACCGGCATTTGTTTCGTGTCGAAGGAGGAAAACCAGTGGAATTTTGTGAATCTTTTGTGAGATTGGTTTCTTCAGGGGGTTATTTACATCTGAGATTTCGACATAAAAAAGTGAGACGTGCCTTTGGTTGTTGGTGGTTTTTTGTACCACATTGATCGGATCGTCGGAAGGATCATTACGACGACCAGTACAAAAATAATATGAACTCATCCCTCATCGTATTATAGAAATAGTGGAACTTAGTTTTTTTCAAGGTATGTGACATCTCAATTTTCGAAATATTTGGTTTAAGGAGACGAAAGTTACTGTCGCCGTGCTAAATAAGAAAAGTGTGTGCCTTCTTCTCGACAGTTTATGCATTTAAAATAGAACGTGCTACATTATTGCCTTACACTTTAAGGATAAATGTATATGCACAACATTCAACATTAAGATCTTAAATTGGTTGAGACGGTTTGAGCTGAGCTAGATTCGTTCGTTTATCTGTATATTTTATTGGCTTGAAGAAGAAGAAGAAACAGTTAGCAGGCAGATACATAGATACAAACAATGCCAACAAAAGAAAATATGCTGCATGTATGCCCACTGAGAAAAGTATTATTGTAGGTTTTCGAGTTTGTAGGTTGAGAGAGACTTGAGATTTCCGAGAATTATTATTGCAGGATAAGAGAAGAAAGAGAAATATTACGAATTTGTGTAGTTGGTCCTTGTTTTCTGAAGAGGGTTGCTGGATTTGATGGTCATAAAGCAAACCTTCAATTACCTTAAGTTTGCTATTAGGGTTTGAAATACAGACACTTTTGCCTCCTTGGGTAAATAATTCGTGTGTATGTATGTATACTTTTCCGTATATAAAGGTGTATCTACGTATCTACTTGTGAGCCTTAACAGTTACGGATTCTCTAGAAGGTGCATACATGTTCCAAGAAAGTGTTTTTCAATTTATGGCAAAATGAATAAGGCGGAGTGGATCCGGTCGCCCGGTGTGCATCAATGCAATAGGGTCAGTTTATCTATAGAAATTCAGTCTTACTTTTGGCCAAGGTAAGTAAGCAATTTGAGACCAGAAAAAGGGACTCGGACTTAAATGTGATGGATTAGATTGGAACAAAAATTGGGAAAGGCCAGATTTTCAGGGCGATGTTATCCTTGAAAAACATTTTCGTCAAAGTGCTTAAATATGTTGTTACCTTTTTGGTTCTGGAAATACTGTGATGGAATTTACGATAAAAATTCTTTAAGAGGATAAAATAAGAATTTCCCAAATCTTTAAAAACGAAAAATGATGTACCTAAAGAGATTTTTTAAAATCATTATTTATGTCTCATTTGGAAGTTGGTTCATTCTTTTTAAAAAATGCAAGAGTCAAAAGTGCATTTCATGTGGAATCAGTCATAACTACGGTTTCATTTGATGACAGCTCACAGCCTCGATTTGAGGTCAGCCGTATGTATCATCTCTTCTCAGGCTGAATATCATCATCCATCACGGACCAATCTTGACCACGATTCAACGTTCGTAATGGTCAATTTGTATTTCTAAAAATTTTCCTCCTCGTTACAACCAAATCTATGATACAAAGTTTAGAGTCATGTATTCCGAATTTCAAAAACTCGATGCCATACTCTACTCGGGTTTGAATTAATTAAATCGTTTACTCTTTGCGTATGTAGTTTCTTCTGACTGAGGATTAACCCACTCACACACAAATTTTATATAAAAGTCAGAAAAGCAGATGAGTAAGGTGTTCAATTGGTCCTTTGTAGCCACAGATGTTGCTAACCACTGTTTTTTAATCCGCCATAGAAGAACCTTTGCTGGGTCTTTTATTGTCACAATTGTGGCTTCTTCGAGAGAGAGACGTCGTATAAGACCTGCATGCAATGACAGGTAGAGCAATTCATTAAAAATAAATATAAAGTTGTTCTCATGACGGGACGGGAGTGCATCTTCTTCTTCTTCCCCATAGTTTAGAGCTGCAATAACATAATGGCAAATTCCGTTAGATTTTAACAGGGTTTTTCTTCTTTCCCAAGAGTTAAACAACACGCCACTTATAATATAATTCATCCATGGATGGCGCATAATAATAATCCCCGAAATGTATGTATGCAGTGCTAAATAAATAAAAGCCACCCTGTTAAGTTAGATAGGTTAGGAAAAATTCCTATTTGCTAAATTGGGTTAAGTAAGTAAGTTCTCGAGTAAATTAAAATATTTCAATCCTGTTGTTTTGACACGTAATTGCTAATTGTTTTGCACTTGGTGGATGCATATGTATGCTGTCAAATAAATGGGGTGGCAGAGTCTGGTGTCATTATTTCGTTTACGGCACACTAAATTATCTGGAGGACTAAAATTATATAGCAGTTAAATGAATTGAATGATGTTGACGACGTTTTTGAATTTTTATACTGTTTTGATTTTGTGTATGGGTAAATTTGTGGAGTGGTGTAGCTTAGGGGTAGGGGTGTTTCTTCATCACGTTGTTTCAACACGAGTTCTCAGGCGATAAGGAAACTGACCTCTTAAGTAAATACCTAATTACTTACGAGTTGCATATGGTATGCATGCATGCGTAGTTATGTATTTGTAGCGTATAAACATTTTTATTGTTACACATACACACACATTGCATTATATACTTGTAAACATGGTGTGATTTAGTTTTACAAATTTTATGCATAACACTTTACAGTTTGTATACCTAAAAATAATCTTAATATCCATGCATTTGCAAAAATTCTGCTTGAATTGAATTAATTTTTACCGGTGATTTAAATCCCTCATTTTATTTTTTATCCCTAAAAAAAATTGCATTTTTATAGGATTTAAATCCCTCATTTTAACATATTTAGCTCCGGACAAAAAAATAGAATTTTATAGGTAGTTTCATTTTCAATTTATTTATATTCCACTTTTACCTACTCTGCTTGCGATTTAAAAAATGGGGAACATTTTGCAATCAGGACAACGACGAGCGAGCGGATAAGCAGCATGACAATGTTATATGATTGTAAAAATGCATTTTTTTAATTTATAAGGAGTAGGAGGGAACCAAGCCTTCTTCGCTATTACGATTGTGAGCATGTACATCCTGTCTTTTTTATGAGAACATTTCCCACACGTTCTTCTTCATTTAGATTTTACATCACTTTGATTTGTGCTGTTTCTTCGAGCTAAAAGCATACAAAATGCGTGGTTGGGTTTGGTATGCCATACAGTGTCAACTCCTCTAATCGAACCAATGCTACCGGTGTTATAAGTGTAATTTTATCGCAACTTGAAATCCGGCTTCAATTAATCTCGCAATCTTTTTTGATTATCAGTCTTGTTTTCAATACAAATATTCCTCCCTTCAAGTAAAAGTAACTTTTCTTAATATGGCAGCAGCAGCAGCAGCAAAAAGTAAGAAACTAAAGCGTTTCAGTGTGTCATTGTTGCAATTAATTTTGACGTTACCCTTCTTTTTCTGATGCTGCTAAACACGTAATTGATGACTTATTAGTGTACACACATAGTTCACATGGCTGGAGCTGTATACATAGATAAGTAACTTATCCATCTATTTATAAGAAGTTCCCACGTTTCCATATTTATTTTTTTAGGCCAGCAGAATTATGATTTGATCGGAAAATACTAAATGACGATATTTCATCTTCATCCCGGAACAAAAGGTTTTTAGACCGACCGACCAATGTACAAATTTCCATTCGATGTCATTGTCCGGTCTGCCAATTGCGATTTCAAATCAGCCAAGCCCGTGCTGCTAGGGGAAGATAACAAAGCGGAAAAAATAATAGACAATGGTTCACGTATCTATAAGAAGAAACGAATTAGAATTCGGCTAACAATGCAATGATTAAAACACACCTGCAATTCCATCGACTTTGTGATGGAAGATACAGTCATCATCGTCCACCAATTTTAGACTCAACGTTATTGTATATTGATGATGATGATTTATTATTTACCGGCCAGGCCAGACCACATAAGCATTTATTTAGATAGTAGTAGCCGTTTTAAACCGTTCTTGTTGCATTGCATGGCCTATCCCATAAGAAGAAAAGACAGGAATGAGATTCTGCCGTGCCCACAGGTTTTGTTGATAGAAAGCCAACTAACTAACCAACTAAATAAGCAAGAGTCCAATAAACTTAAGTTCTTATGGGATTAGTCAATGGACTGGACTCACACACAACGTGGAGATACATATGCACACTCGCAATTTACTTACTTACACTTGATAAAGCTGCAGTCACTGTACTCTGAACGAGGTGGTGTGCATATTAATTAGTTTACAAGAAGTTAAGGATGAGTGAAAATGTAGATAGATAGTCGTCGTCCGAGAGTGTCGTTGTTCTTAGCGAGCGAGATGATGATGACCAATTCTCGGGATAAAAATGAGTCTGATTCGTCTCGCCGGGTCGATTTTTACGCAACTTTGCTTACTTTCTGCATACAATATTTGGCAGCATCGACAGATTCATCATACGTTGAAATGATGCAGATTATGAATCCCGTCAAAAAAATTCTTTAGAAAGGTGAAACCGGAATATTTATATGACGCCGAAATTCTCATCGGAATTAACCGTTCGGTTTGGTTGCATGTGCTGAATATTAATCTAACCAAAACGAAGATGAGATGGGATTCCTGTCCACTTTTGACTTTCAACTTCTTCTTCAATTAAACTTGGCACTTGTTGTCTTGAACATAAAGGAATTACATAATTCAACGTATCCACTTGACAATGTACGACCCAAGCCAACAATGAGTATGTATGTATGTATGTGATGCCCAATTTAACCTCGACAAAGCCACACTACAACCTCATCTGCATGAATAAAGAAGAGGAAGTAGGTTGTTAAATGAAATAAGTAAAGGATTGTTTATTTTCCAAATCTTTAAGATGTAGATACAGGTGGCTTTTTACTTTACGGTTAATATTTTAGTAAATATGAAGTATTGTGAAGTGAGTAGATATGATCAATACTTGTCCGATTGGATGCACATTAATGTACAAAAACAGGTAGTGGCCGCGGAAGGGTGGGGACAAGACAGAGGGACAATGTCCCCACGGTTATTCGATGTCCCCATCATCATCTACCCCTGGTATATAAACCCCTAGCCTACAATGTTAATGTCCCCAGATGTCCCCACGGCTTCCGCGGCCACTGACGTACAGCGTTATATAACACGTAACGTCCGCCATGAGGGCAGTCAAGTTTAAGAAATTAGACTTTGAGTTTGAATAGGACGACGTTATTTTTTTTCCTTGTGGGAGCTTTGTTGAAAAAATGATGCCTTAAAAGGACACGTATTGTACGAATGAATACAGATATGCACACGTTATGTAAGACCAGCTTATTTTACTTAATAGGATTGCACCAACCTAATTTAGATTCCTGGTATAAAATCGGGATTAGTTTTTAGCGGAGTGATTGTGGAATTACAAACCAATTGGTGAGCAAGTTCAATGTGTATGTAGTTTCTAATTATCATCTTTACATGGGGATTTAAATATTGGGTTTCGTCCCCTATAATTGAAAACGTTAAAAACATTATAATTAGTGAGAGAGGTCTTTTACTAGAAACTAATTGTATTATCAAACCGATCCTACAACAATAAAGTGCATTTTTCTACATATGTACGATTTGAGGATCAAAAACCTACAGTGCAGACTCCATATAGCCCGAGTCAGGGACAGAGTCCCTGACTCCTCCAGTGTCACTCTGGTTAAAATTTGCTCACTTCATATCCTTTCGTGAGAAGCCATTAGGTATGACCGTGCCGGATTTAATGTTTTTAAAGCAATTTCTAAAACCGGGTATGGGTCACCCCATAGGGTCGCTCCAGATAAGAATTTTACCAATTTCATGTCATATTCTTCTATTAAGACCCATTAGCAACCTATCTACCAAATTTCAGCTTGGTATGACGATTTTGAAAAATCGGTATGGGTCACTCCGTATGGTCCCTCGAGATGAAAATTTTTCCAACTTGAAATCATTTTTATCTATTAGGAGCCATTAGCAACCTCGGTACCAAATTTCAGCTTTCTATGACGATTTTGAAATTTTGGTGCATAATACCCCACCCACCTAGATGGTCAACCTGGTTGGCACTGGTCAACCACTTGACCGATTTCGCCCATCTTCGAACTCGTTTCCTAATTTTGTCCAATACGCATATGGTAAAAATTTCAAGTCAATCGGTTCAGCCGTTTTGGCTCTATCGTGCCGGACAGACGGACGGACGGACGGACATGACGGTTCCATAAGCCCTGACTCGGGCTAAAAATCCAATAAATAATCGGTAACGGTAAAAGTTGCACCTTTTTAAGTCGTGAGACCCGACTTTTTCGCCTTCTTACATATTATTCTCTAGTTGGCAAAATTAATTAATAGGAACGAATGATCATCATGCTGTATAGCAAAATTGTTTTCATACATAAACATAAGTACGATTTTTGTATGATTATACGGAGTGAATTGGAGTAATAGGGAAGCGATCAAGTTTTATAACTCTTGAGACCAAACGGAATTAATTGTATCAAACGAAACAACGTCCACAATTCCGGTTTAATCGATCAACACTCGAATCCGATTTGATTGATAAGAGAAGGATTTGAGATATTATCGCTTGCCCTCTCGGTCAAGTCAAACTCGGTGATGAATCTGGCGTATCTGTAGCTTTTTACTTATTTGGATGGATAAGATCTTACGCATAATGGCCACATTTCGTATTTTAAAAAACGGTCGGATTTACCATCCTATTAATAGAAGGGCGATGTCTTTATTCCGAAATTATTTAAGCTTACCATGAAACGACACTTCTCCTTCAAGCACCACCCACTCTTGCACTCGAGAGAGATGATGCATCTCCCAAAAAATCCGTCGCCACCAGGAGTTAGTCAGTTCTTTTTCTTGTTTAAGGTCAACAATCTACACTGACCCCATTGTTGACTCTCAACGTAGTTTTAAGTTGTCCCATTATATTCACAATTCACTCACGGGTTTAAAAAGTGGTCAAACCACTTCTCTCTCATCCCCACTTTCGGGGATTCTTCTTCTTCTCACATCACCGTATTAATGTGTGTATGTGTACTATGCATGCATGTAGAAGTAGTGGACCATGTACATATGATTTCAAGTCGAGAAGATCATCCCTCCTCTAAAGACGACAACGTTCTCGTGTATTTTGCTACTTTTCATCAATAACTGCAATATTCGTAGATACATCTCGAATATTATGCACTATAGGTCATTCGTTTGAGTGTGTGTGTATCAGCTTCAATCTGGAATGGAATCTTGCCCTACCGGACCACATCCACATTTCGGTACTTCTGGTTTCTTCTACGACGAACGAACGAAGCCTTCTTCTTTTTTTGAATGGATTAGCTTTTCAAACTGAATTGATAAATTGACCATTGACCATCAACGAGGAAGGTGAAGGTTGTTTCGGAAAATGAGATAAATAACCGAAACAACTGCTTGATTATTACCAACCAACGACGCTTCCTACTCATTTCACTAGTTCTGTCTGTAAATATGTAGTACATTCCTTTCACAGTAAAGGTCATGATCATGGTTACTTACTACGTCCCATTACGGGATTTGGTTCCATCCAACCGACGGAATGGAATGGCGAAAATTAAATATTCGCTTCGGATTTTTTCTCTCTTTGCGATTTATTTATGTGGTCGACTTTGAGATGAATAGGAGTAAAAATGAAATGGGTTCTCGTTTCGATACGCCTTTCATTTCAGCTAATTTTTACATTATTCGTGACCTGATTGAACCATTTTAACTGCATTTTGTGTAGGAACAATTTCGATTTTTTTTAGTGGCAAGGACAAGAAAAATATGAATATTAGAGATGGTAAAATTCTAACAATATCGTCAAGAAGGCGCACATTATTAGGAGTAGTTTACTTGTGGTTTTGAGGAAATTTCCTGTACTGTTAAAAAAATCCACGGTTAATATTATTGTCTTTTTATTATTGTGTTGAATGAATTGGTATAAATAATTTTTATTGAATTTTTTTCAGATGTGGTCCTCACGGAGGACTGCGGCTTCGCTTTTAGCAGCCGCCTGTACTGTTTTCATAAGCCTGGTCAATTCTCAGGTAAATTGAAATTAGCCGAATTTAAATATTCAAACAATTCGATTCATAGAAAATTAATTATACGGTTCTAATTTTTCTTCTTTTTTTCTTACAGGAATCATTATTTCATTGTCCCAATGGTAAGAAATTAAGCACACTTTCGAACATTGTAGTCGTGAAACAAATCAATTTCTGAGAAAAGGTTGCAAAATTTCGGCCAATAATTCGCAATACTATTGGAATGCACACTTTCGAACATTGTAGTCGTAAAACAAAGAAAGTTCTGAGGAATTATTGCAAAAATTAGTCCAATAATTCGGAATACAATTCAAATCCACACTTTCGAACATTGTACTCATAAAAAAACAATGAAATTGCTGAGGCTGGCTTGCAAAAATTCGTCCCTTGCAATTCGAATTATTCGAAACAGGTACTCGTCATCGTCATCGTCATAAACCTTACCGATTGCTTCACACCCAAGCTCAAACAATGGCCAATGAAGGAAAACTACTCGTAAAGTCCTAATCATCTTACTGATCATCGTCATCATCATCATCCCTTTAAAAACCATAATGGACGAAGAGTTATTACGACAAAAATTATTTATTATCACCCTTTATTTATCAACCCTTAATAATAACTCGCTTAATCAAGCGCATATTATTGCATTTTGTGTTCATACACAAACAAACAAACGAACGCAATAACATTAACTAATCTGATTTCGTTTCCATTCAACAAATCGAATCAATCATGACTCACTTGATGAATCCAAAAGAAAAAAATTTGTTTAATTTTTATTAAGTGACAGCTTTCGAAATTTCGCAATATTAATTTTTCCTGCACGCACTTATAAACAAATACAATCAAGGAATGATTGCTTGTAAAGCCGGGTTTGATTGTATGCGATTGTGAAAAGTATGATGTGTCCACTCGTCATCTTTTATTCTTTTATGTGTTATCAACCCACACCACTTTTCAGCAATTCTATTCAACCAAATGCCTAATCTTAATTGTTGTGGGGTGGCTAATCTTTGTTTCTAATCGGTTGTAGCAACCTAAATATGGGGCAGTTTTAACCATAACCATGCATGCACGTGTGACCAAGTAAGCAGATTATGCAAGAATTGCAGGCAGGCTATTATTGGCAAGCTAAGTTAGTTGAGTGAGAGGGTGAGAGTGTGGGTGGTTTTGCATGGCAGATAATCACACCACAGTGGCTGCAGAAGCGGTGGGGGCATTTGGGGACATTGCCATTGTAGGATAGGGGAGGGAGGGGTTTATGTAATATGGGGAGATGACGGGGACATCGAATAACCGTGGGGACATTGTCCCTCTGTCCGCGGCCACTGTACGTGCAGGGCTATATTATTCGCGTTATAATGAGTACTAAACCAGTCTCACGAGTTAGCAGATGAGCCGTAGAATGAAAAAATTATGCACTAAATTGGAATTGGTCAGGCATTTTTAGTTCCTGATTAAGCACATTCCTTCATCCTCATCGTCGTCTGGTTATTGTTTACTCATTGTTTGCATGTACATAAGTACGTGCATAAGGTAGGTCATCATCATCATCATCCTCATCATAATCGTGAATTGGCAGAAGGATGTCGAACTCTTATTGTGGATGGGCTTAAAAGTGAACTTGCTAATTGCTGACGGGCATTGAGCAGCATACCGTTACACCCTAAACCACCACCACCCTGATTCTTTTCGTATGAACAAATACTTTAGTAATTGACATACATTGATTTTGCACAGTGATTGGTTTCGAATAAGGTTAGTGGAAGAAGCAGAAACTGAATCTTAAATTTCGCCTGGGTTTATATTAAACAAGCAAAAATGCACAATTCTAATGATAGTCGTCGTCTCATTATAATCAGTGGAAAAAATTCGCCAAACGGTAGTTTCTTCCATTAAGAAATTATGGAATTAAGAAACTGTAAATTATGTGTTTGCATTTATCTGACCTGGTCAACCCCACGTGTAAATCACGCTCAACTTTGAACCACTCTAATTATTGGTTCATTTTGTCCAATTTATTCACAAGTGGTACACTACACACAAATTGGACTACACTCACTATTTCATTTATCTATGTATTTACCCACCACCACCACCCAAACACGCATTGTGCTCAGGATTGCATTGTTCTCCCAGAGGCGAGACGTACAAATTCCATTGTTGCGAATAATACAAGATGTGCTGCTTGCTAGTGAACCCTTTATTTTGTCCCAATAGATTATTATTACATGTATCATGAGAAAAGTCACCACTTTTGCTGTATGCAAATCTTTCTATGTAAAGAGAAGCCTGCTAATAATAGGATTCGGAAAAATGATTTGATTTTACAAGTCAGAAATTGCCATGCATGTCGTCACTCAAACCGACCGACGGACTGTCCATTTAGATATGTATTTTTTTCTGCCTCCACATTCATTCGTTATCAACAAACCATTCTTCATTTGCCTTCGTGCTGGGTTAGATTTGCAATGGTGATGAGGGAGTATTACCAGTCAGTCGTCGGAGGTAATGAAGGTGCAAAAACTCACGTATTTGCAAAAGTAGGTTAGGAAGAAGGAGTTGTTACTCCTTGATTCATTCATGTTGCATTATACGAAAGGACTCGTACTTACTTATTCGTCTCTCTCTCTACAAGTGTGGATTGGATACTGTTATGTTGTTAAGTTGGTTGTTGATGTATAAGCCATAGAAATAATTTGCCATTATCATCATCTACTTACAACAACGTACATAGGGCATCATCATAAGTGTTGCTTTCGAAGAAGGAGTAGCGAACTAAGCCGATATCTCAAATATTATTGCAAACTTGTCTTGCATTTTTTGCATATGACGGTGGTTTACCAACCAACTTGTACCAACTGTAATGAGTCTTATTTTTCAAACTGACCCAGAGAAGGTATTTATTAGGAGGATTTCTGAAGCTAAAAACGCGTGAATGAAGCACATTACGACTCGAAATGACATTTAGTTGAGGGTGGTACCCCCATCACCCACCTCCAATTGTTGCACTTTCTGCTTCTGCAAATGGAGAAAATGGCAAAAAGTCCATTTGTGAAGTGTGCTTGCTAGTAGAAAATAGTTCATTTCTTCTTTAATTGAGTCTCGCTCTTTTAAATGGAGCCCAGGCAATAAGACAAGGTTGCTCGCAATTAGATTACTACTACTTAAATGACCTTTGAAATGACAACGCTTTAGCAGCAGTATCAAAAAACTAATTCAATGGGCTGAATGTCGGACATAACAAAGAAAAGACTTGTGTTTCATACGAGAATTTGATCGCGTGTGCACTAAATACATGCATAAGAGCAAAGCAACAGGTAGGAAAATATATGTATAGGCCTGAATTTAGCCATGAGAAATTGTACACGATTATATTATGTCATCATGACGCTGGCTGTGTGACACTGAGCGATTCCATCAAATTTTTCGATAACCCTTGAATTACTTAAGTATTTAAGAGTGTTATTTATTGTTCTTACTTAAGCCCAATTGCCACCACTTTGCTGCTGCTTCTGTTTTAAGAGATATTATCAATCATTTCAAAATTGCGGGTTATAATCATCATTATTGAGCACTATCTTATGCATACCAAGGCTGCTTAATTTGCAGTGTCGACGGTGTGATAAATGTTCCATATTATGTACAAGATTACGCAATCATTTGTACGTGTTGGAGATTTAGTTAGGGGTGGGTCGATTTTAAATGAGAGAAGAAATAAATGCATTATTATTACAATCCTGGCTTGAATGAAAGGTAGATCGTTGGAATGTCATTTGTTGCACGGCCGAGTGCTGTGACACAAGCCGGATTATGCGATGCCATCCATTCACTCGTTGTGTTGTACAGTAATTCAAATGTCATGCATATACTTTATCATTATTGCGATATTTACGATGATACAAAAACAAACATAATTTTTGCCAATATTTGGAACAAATAGCTGTGGGATTCTTGTAAAAAACTGAAAGCCCTTTCGCATCCAGCGTATAACACTCTGCAAGAAGTCGCTGCTTAGTCAAGCATGTAAAAGTAATGATTTGTTTGATTTGTTCATTCAAGTCTTCCGCATGTTTCGTACAGTTAATTCAATTGAGGCAACAATTGGCTTCATTAATATGTAAGTAAGTTTAACTCTTGAGATCATTTCAATTGTGAGATCAGAAGAGGCGTGGGTGTGGCACGTTAAAGCCACTCTTCTCTCATAAATGACTACATAAATGACTACACTATTACGCGACCTCACCATTTGTTAAGTTGATAATGACGGGGATGGAAGTGCATACATATATTTAAAAATAGATAAATAGGAGCAGTAAATCCAATGCAATGGCGAAATAAATCAGGAATATGACACTCCTGCTACATATTATTCTGAACGTGATGGCATTATTGTTGCTTAAATCATAAAAATGTGGGTGAGCGTGGGCACGATGTTTTTCCTCGAATTGGCGTAAACCTCTCGTCGTCGTGAGAGAGGAATTGGGTGAAAATAATTCAGATTATACATTGTTATGCGTATACAGATTGTGATAAGCTTAACTTGGTATAAACAAGTATTGCGCTGGTAAGTGTGGGCTAGGATTTTTAAAATTGCTCCGTGCCTTTTTCGATTTTTGGCAAGTTTTCGAGAAAATTATACACTGCAGTTTTATACAATTATTTATTTACCTACCTTTAATTAAGAACATTTTAATAAATCATTTCCCATTTGACACTTGTGTATCCTGCTGATTTGATAAAAATCCTGCTTTCTTCATTATCACGGGCGCATAAGACGGCGATTTAATATCCATAATATGTTGGCTGAATTCATAATTGAGGAATAATTCAAAGTAAAAGTTAATAAATCTCGTGATTTTACTTATACACACTTGAAGAGATTTTTTTAATGTTTCAGGAAATGCAGAATTTCTGCACAAAGACAAAATGAGCAATTAAGAAATGGTTGCTGGCTGACTGCATATTTTATGAATGAAGAAAACCCACAAAAATGACGATTAGAATACGAACGACTCTACGAAAAGAGAAACTATGTAAAGTTTTATTGAAAATTCAGATGGATCGTAATTTCATTCTTAGCTTCGAGTTAGCTCATAAATAAATCCTGTAAAAAAATTTAGAGACATATTTAAAAGCAAGTATATTTTTCTACCAGTTTTGTCTCTTTGATTGTAATTGAACCTGGTTTACGTACTTTACGAAAAGGTATTAAAGATTGATGCGGCACGTAATTCAGTTTTACCTGAAAATCATGTCTCTCTTAATGTGACTCGCCAATCGTCACAATCAAACGTCTTTTATCAGCAGGTTTGAAATATGTTATTCTTGACTGAATAATGCACCACCTACGTTTCATTTGTAAGTGATACATTGCAGAGAAATCAGCAGAAAGGACTCGTTCATGCAGGTGCATAATATTGCAATCAGACGACTGATTGTGTGATAATCACAGCGTCTATGTCTACTAACGATATTAGTCTTCTTGAAGAAAAACCTGACCCTATGAATGTATGATAACTAATGGCTGATTTTATGAGCCTGATAAGCATTTCAGCGTAATTTTAATTGTCAGTACAACAATTGATGAATGAACCAATTTTAATCCTGATTTATTTATTTATGCTTTCGATTCTGATTGCAGGTTGGGAACTACATGGACTTCACTGTTATAAGTATTTTAGTATAAGACACTCCTGGGAAAGAGCTGCTCACCTGTGTCAAAGGTAAGGAAAAAAGGCTTCCAGAGTTTTAAATTTTGCAAAAAAAGCTTGGGTTTTGGAAACCAGAATTTTTGGAATCGATTCCGGATTCAAAACTTTGGTTTTCGGGCTAAAAAGAAAGCTTAATACACTTTACTGCAACTGTAATGCTGCTTTTTTTACACAAAAATTGATGTTATGCACAAAATTGCGTTGTGAATATGCTTTGGGAATTATTACACCATTTATTTATTCGCTTCATTGAATTTTTACAAGAACAATGAGTGACAGACGATAATGCGCGGTGGACAAATTCCCACTCGTGGTAAATCCTCAATATTATGTAGTAGGTAAGATTCCCAAGTAATTTTTCGCATTCCCAAGAGAATTGCGAACAAATAATGCACGTCATTTCATTTTACATAATTTTGCTGTTATCCCATTACAAATTTTCGAGAGGATTAAGTCACCGGCATTTCCTGAAAGTCAGATAGATAAATAATTTCGTGCAAAATTTTTGTCATAATTTGGAAAGCCAAAAATCTATGAGATGCTTTCTTTTCCGTAATTAACGGCTCAATTCAATCGTGTATTTTGAAAAATTTTGCACAGAAAGGAAATTCTCAACTCATGTCATGCTCTTCTTATTTTGGTTATGTGTACGTAAATAAGTGCAATATTATTCACTTTCATACAGCCGAGTATGAGTTACAATTGGGACGTGTTGTTCGTCTTACAAGGAAGAAAACCGCATGACTTCTTCGTCCATGTGTCATGTTTTGAAAACTTTTGCTCTTGATTTTTGCTTATTTTTCACACACATGAATTCAATTCTGCTCGATGCGGATTAAGCAAAATCACTTTTCATCCCGACGCTAGTAGAAAATAGAAAATTGGATCATCTTTCCTTTCTCTAAATTTAATTTACGACCATGTAAAAGATTTTTCTTTAAGAGTAAATTTATCTCACTTTTAAACCACAGTGACGTATCAAAAATTAGCAAATTTTTGTTTATTCCGCAAAATCACGGGGTTTTTTAGAAAGTGATTTTGATTTTTAAACGCTTGCACGTATGACTTTTTTATATTTTAAAAATTAAAAAAGCTTGACAGTTTAAATGGCATGTGCAATTTCGGGTGATAATAAAAACGATCGTGTCACACCATGACGTTATCTGTGATAACGAAATCTTCCTTAGTGCTTATTACGTACATATTTGTCTATTCATACATAAATATGAATTTAATTGACGTCGAGTTACTCGTGTCATGCGCGTGTTAGGACGTAAATTATTAAGTATTTGACGATTGATAACGATCGAGTTCCAATAACGAGTTATTGGAATATTGAGGATTTCGAAGTTTTGACAAGTTAAAGGAGGATAACGCGAGCCTGATAGTGACGACTTTTTGACAATAAATTGCACAAGATACATGTCCACATGCATCATCTTTAGAGGTGATTTTAAGATAATTCTTTCCCAAAGATATCAAATATCAAATAATTTTTGATAAGTTAATGATTTAATAATTGCACATGTTTATATTCTGCGAGGATGATAGTGCAAAATCGATTATGCAAAAATGTCAAATTATAACTCTTACTTTAATAAGAGGGAATTATTATGTATTATGTGCATGTTTTTTTTCTTGGTTTATTCTGGGTGAAGAAGAATTTTAAAATTTCCATTACAATTTCCATTACTCTTACGACGACCCAACTTAAAGTCGTGATCTGCACCGCATAAATGTAAAACATTGTCATTTATAACGAACCATACTGAATTTTGATGCGAGTTCTGCCTCATTTTTCTTATTAAACGAGTTCACCGTTTGAATCATGACTGGAAAATTATACTAAAATCTCGTAAATAGTTCTTAAACATTGCGGAAGGAAATCGAAAGTTTTTTTGTGAGGAATAAATAAATGAACGAGCTATTTATGTCCTAACCACACCGTAATAAAGGGTGGATGGTCATTAAGTGCGAATAAATGATTCAAATTGCCCAATAACTAGGAAATTTTTGCACTTGTGATTCGCCACTAAATTTGCCCGCATTAGTTCCGTCGATTTACTATTTACTAACTATTTGTTTGTGACGAGAAGAATGAGACAGAGTCGTAAAAAAAGTTTTCTCTTTCCATTGTGCATCACCATCTGGAGTTGGTGGTCATTTTAAGCCAACAATGATGATTTGACGACTAAAAGGTTAACTAAATACAGTTGAACCAATGCCCAGTTTAGGGTGTAAATATATTTACTAACACGCAAAAACAATACGGTTCAAAAACCTATTTACTCTTCATCGGCAATTTATGTATGTATGCAAATTCGAAATTAGCACTTGAAAATTGCATATGTCTATAATAAATACTTAAAGTGCACAAAAGGCGGTGTGCATACGTAGTCTTCTCCTCCTTATTAGCACCTCTGACAAAAGCTTATCATTGTTCTTCCCTACGTACGTATGCATTCTTCTAACCTTTTGGAAGCTGAAGGTAAAAGGTAACGGTAAAGTGATTAGTTGAAAGTATGCAAGCAAACCCCAGCCAAACTGAATTGTTACCATGTTGCATTCAAACTGGACTAAATTCTCTGAATGCCTAATAAATAAAGTGACTAACTAACGAGCTACGCGACGACGACGACACTACGTCGGACGGAGAATGACTATAGTAATCATCCCTTGATTTAATTTTGTCACTTGACAAACAATTTAAGCAGAAGTGGGCATGGCTTTAAAAAGAAAGTTAGTTTAGTTTTATTGTCCGACCATGTAAATTTAACCGTCTTTTGTAAACGCACATTTGTACGTACTCGAAATGTGTGTGAATTTTAAGGTTTTTGTTATATGCAGACTTTCATTTTCGGTTTAAGAACATGTAGTTCCGATGCTTAAAACGCGTATAAATCTCCCTCTGTTAACTTGACAAGAATTTCGAGTCAGGGACAATTTTTATTTAACCAATGACACGAAAATTGAATGGAATTTTTGTGGATAACGCATCTTTCTGTAACTCATCATCTTCTTCATCGTGACGTTTCTTGATGTGATGCATATTGCATATTATGTATGTATGTATGTATGTGGATAGATTGAGAGACTACTCGCCGGATCAAAAGCCGCAGGACAGGTTTTGGTCCTGTTTTTTGGCAAAAGACCCAAATTCGCCTTCGCAAGTTCACAAAGTTCACCAAGTCAAGTCGTCCAAACGCCAATGATATTGATACAAGGAAGCGAATTTTGTTACATTCTGCTACAAAGGGCAGCAAATTTGTAAATCGTTCTTCTCAACGTTGTCCTGCTCCTGCATTCTTCTTTCTTCGTGTGAATTCGCCATCCACATTTCATCCTCGCACGTAATCTGAGTTTTAAGTGTGTAAATGAATGACGACAAGAGTGAGGTTGAACCAATTTCTGGGTAATTTTTTTGGGGGTTTGTAATCCTGTTATCGTTGCTTGGTCATTATTTATTTCGCCTCTGCTCTGCGGGAACCCTAGTTTGATTATTTTACCCTAATTTATAAAAATTGGGTTTATCTATCATTCCATTTTTTCATGCGTGTAATTTTGATTTATTTACGAGGAGCAATTTGCCGCCGAGTGACTCTGCTTACGAAAAAATGGTTTTGATTTAAGCTTAAAGTTTATATTGCTTATCGGAATGTGTGAATCACGTGATGCAATGATAATTAAATGCCAATTCGTTTCCGACATGACGTGCGGAATGGAATGCGAACTGAATCATCATAATTTTTGCTAATGCTAACCTCTAACACAGTTGGACACCGTTATGTTTCAAAGTGTCCAATTTCAAGCGTAAAATTTCAAGCTAATTAATTAATCACACCTAAAAACTTAAGAATTTTATTGTTTTGTTAGTAAATTACTTATGTAAATTATCTATGTATCTTACGCAATAAACTTGGAGTATGTAGTTGTCAACCGTAGAAAGTGAGGGTCACTTTTTACTCGACAGGGGAATTGCTAATACTTATTTGATCAAGATTTGATAAATGTAAGACGAGGAACACGAGGTTTAAACTTTTTTTTTTGCAGATTAAAATTATGAAATTGTCATTTTGTTTGTTCGCTTATCTGTTACGAAACCAAAATAAAATACCTATTTGCTCGTGGCCGGTTTGATTTGGGGCAATCACTTTTATATAAAGTTGTCAGTCAGTAGGTGGACGACGATTACGTTGTTTGTGGACTTGTACCTGTTGACAAATGCCTGCATGAATTTATGGAAATAATGCACTAAACATTAGCGCATCATCTTGAAGAGAAATGCAATTTATTTTTGGATTTGTTTCGTTATGACATAATAAATTAGAAAAGGTTGCACAATATGGAGCGAATCATCATTATCGTGTCACTGACATGTGCAGTGCGCACCTCTGCAATTAGATTTGCAAGGTTGCACTCCCCCGTTCCCCAGATAAATACTTGACATTTTTTATTTTTTTTCGTCATGAATGGACTTTATGACTCATCATAGGCTAACGTAATATGTTGCAACAATGGATACTCAATCACTTGAAAAATTCTGGTGCTCAAATAATTCGTCAATAAAGGGACAACTACATAGTTTGCCCTTATTTGGCCCTTGTGTGGTTTGGTTTATTACGGATTTTTTATATCTGATTTGAAAACCTCGTCGTCGTTAGAAGTCAATTAATTCAGGCAGCAGCAGCAGCCACGCCATGATGGTGTGGTTCCTACGTATTTACTAATGAATGCGGCACTTTGGTTTGTCTGGTCTGCTCCATAAAATGTCGAATGGTAAATTGTTCCATTTTTTTTATAAACACCGTCTTCAACCTTACTTTGGATGGAGGTTAGCGTAGAAAAAGAACCACGAATGACGACGACTATGGTCAGCGTTTAACGGTAGGAGATGGACGCGAGAACGGTGAGAAGCTGGCTACTCGATCAAATGACCAAAACCAAAATAAATGTGTGGGAAATGGATCACCGAAATTCACTTGCTTATCTGATTTTCAAAATTCGTCGATTTTTCTCTGACACGAGATTAATTTTTTCGTAAAATATTTAGTGCAATCTAGTTTATGCATTCTGACAGATTAATGATGTTTTATTTAACTCGTGTTGAAACGCAAGTCTCATTAAAGTCTGGTGTGCATGTAAAGAAGGTGTTCATTAAATCGAACCCAATGATCAAAACTCAACGTGACAAGCACAATAGGCAAGGGAATTTAAGAAATACGTCAAATCCAGTCACGACGAGTGACAAGTTCAATCCAATTCGTAGAGAGGAATGTTGAGCTTAAAAGTTGCTCAAATCAACTTAATTTTCAAATCAGCACTTTAAAATCAGAGATACCAACCAACTGACAACTAAGTATGTTCTGAGGTAGTAGTTTGAGTTTGAGTGAAATATGTGCCAATTCTAATTCACGAAGGACCGTTTAATTCATCGCGTCGAAGAAACAACGACTTTTATTTATTGTTTGCTCACTCACAAATAGAAGAAAAACAGCAATGAAGCAAAACATGGTCAGAAGAGTTTTCTTCTCTAGGCATTTTATTGAATCCAATCAAATGGTTTATGATCTACGAGATTAGAGTGAATCTTTTGTTTGTCGTGTTCTAAATTCATTTAAAAGTCAGGCAGGCACAGTCACCCACACTGCTGCTGTTTAGCGTTAGAATTGCTACCACATATGCGGTAGCTGAATGAGTGAGTAATTAAGGAAAAACATGATTGACAGGGTATTAACAAAAATTTAGCCGTATTTTACTTATTGCGAATGCAATCGCGTATATAGTCAGATCCGCATTTTTGGTTTGTTTTAGCCTAGTTGTTGTGTGGTGGTTGCCATAAATTTGTTAAAACTCAACATGATTTCATCCTTTAACTTTTGGGTCTTCTTTGTAACGTATCAGGTTAGAGTCAAAAAGAGAAATGTGTGTATGCAATTCAGCGAGAGTGGTATGGAATGGTTAGTGACCCAAAGATTCTATTTGGAACAAAAGCTTAGAAATTTTAATGATCTTTGTTGTTAAAATAAATACTTGATAAGATGACATTTAAGTTTGTGGTCTGGTCATACAGAAAATAAGTCAAGTTGTACTTAATTAACTATTGTTCATTGTTCACTCTCGTTTATTCGAGTGTTGGAAATTTACAATTTTAGTAATTATTCCAGCCTAATTAGTAATTAAAATGGGTAATAATGTCCAATAGTAAAATCTCTAGTACTGTCCAGTCACAATAGATTCAAGTACTCGAGAAAATGCCCATGAGATAGATTTAATAGCTACTTTACTTGTAATTGTATTTATTACTGAACAGAAGAAAACTGACCAGAAAGTAATCTTTCATTAACCATAAAATAAACAATTAAATTCAAACCACTTTCAAATGTGTAGCACAAACAATAGATTAAACTCACATTTTATAGCATATTCTAATGGGAACATATATAATCCTATCAGGTTTATCGGCTTAATAATACGGCTTAATGTTTCTGTAAGAAATTTATTTTCTATGTACATACGACACATTTCGTACAACAATTCGGAACGAAATGGTTACACATAACTTCTAAATATAACAATTTCTTCTACAATTTCATGTCCTAAACCTTTTCTCGAAATCCAGGTGAATGAGATATAGAGCAAGAATGAAATGACAGAAATTTCATAAAAATCCTAGCCAAATGATTTAATGCAATGTGCCTCCACTACTCCATGCACAGTTGTAGAAACAGTTAAACATTGGCAGCGAAGCGTGTCCTATTTTTAACTTTATCAAATTATGAGCATTTATCAAAACGGAAGTCCATCTCAACATCTGACCATGACAATGAAGGAGAGGGACGACGGACGACGATTACCAAGGAATAAGCACAAGATATGTACGTATGTACATTCAATTGTTTGGTCATTGTTCACCCGTGAGGAGATGCTCCTTCGTTGTTTCATTCACCTACTTTTTTTCTTACAAACGTTTAATTACATTAATACCTGTCTTCTTCCTCAGTGGCCAGAAAAATGCAGGGGATGAATTAATAAAGATGCACTTTTTTTATTTACGGTTATGCATTTTATCTCGTATTCATTGATTACGGGATTACGCAATCGTAATTTGCGTATTAATTTAATTCTGAATGTTGTTCCAGTAAAAGTGCATAAATATTTTGCAGCCCTTTAAATTCTTAATATTTAGGATGAATATTTATCTTATTGATGATATATTTGCGAAAATGAGTCAAGGATTAGTAAAAATGAGTCGTAATCTCATTAACATCTCGACCTATGCAAAGTTTCAGTACGACGTTGAAATACATAATTTTACCTCCTGATCAATCATCTGAGACTTTGATTAATCAATTTTCTTCATCAAATTAAACCATACCAAATCTAAAAAACTGGGAGTTGGGATAAGTTCTCGCCGACTCTGTATGTAAAACAAAGGGCACAAGCTATACTTTTTATTCAAATACTAATGGATGGTGGCACCAGGTTATTTAAACTCTGTTTAAACAAAACTATACAGTGACAGATTTTGATGGTCGCATCAAAACACTCAGAAAAAAAATCGTAGTAAAAAAACAGCTCAAGGTGAACTATTTCCTTTTCATGAAATTGAGATTAAATCGGAATTTAGTAGATTTGCCGATTCTTATATGTACTCATTTGCATAATCGTGAGTGGCTCAAATGCATTTGACATTGTGTAAAGCAAAGGTTCATTATATTGCAAAATGTAAATTTGATACTGATATCACACTTGTAATCTCGAAATTAAAAATTTCGTATGTATCTACCTGGTCTTTACGTGTAATTGAATTTTTAATGCTTTTACAAACTGGATTTTATTTATGCCTTTAAAGCTTTTAATTTTCCGGAATGTTTTATAGAAAATATGCGAAACTTGTTTGTAAACAGTGTTTTATTTCTTGTCAATTTGCAGATATGGAAGTTCTTTAGTAGAAATAGATTCGTGGTCGAGTCACAACTGGACGATCGCCCTAGCTCGGCGATTTTCTCACGGCGACCCCAATTTCTGGTTGGGCTTCAACACCTTTGATGATCTTAGAACAAATACGCTCGACTCGTCGAGTGGTTCGCTGATTTCGCAATATGCAGGTGAGCAAAAATATTATTAATCAATGTTCACACGTCATTAATTAAATGACCTCGCGACGCATTTACTTATTTCGATATGTTTCAAGATTTCATAAAATTATGGAAGTTTAAAATTGCCTTTAACAAAGTCTGGCTGAAAAAGCAGTGTGTGTTTGATTTGCAAAGACCTGTTTCCTTACGAGACGGATTAGTTTGGTCAAGTAACGTACGTGACGATGAACGTCGTCATCTATTCTCTATTAAGATCAAGTTTTGCCCCTTTGATGCAATTGTGTGAATGCGATATCGTATGAAATGCCACGTCAATGAATCAGACCAGAAGGAGGGGAGAAGACCAGAAGAAGACACCAGACGATGAGACTCGAGGCATAGAAAGGAGTAGGAGTTGAATGATGTGCAATGTGACCTGGATTTTACAAGTCTGCGATTAAAACAAATCTTTTGATAAGATAATAATGCAGATATTATGGCGTGGATCGCTTGTGAACTGATTTACAAAATGTTTCCTCTTCATGGCAATAATGGTTTTTATGAATTGTTTTCAGGATTTTGGTCGGAAGGACAGCCCAACACGAAATCTGGGAAATGTGTCCAGTCCTCGACGGGCGAGTCGGTGGGGGCAGGACTCCAATCCTGGGAACTTACGACGTGTGAAACCCTTCTCCCATTCGTGTGTAGAGCACCTGCCTGCCCGGAAGGTACATAATTAGTTGTACATAAATGGATGCGTTTAGTCAGAGGTAGGTTGAGATGTAGACTAATTTTCACCCACTTTCTCCCCAGGAACGTTCCTCTGTTCGAACGGTCGATGCATTAACAACGCCTTCAAATGCGACAAGCAAGACGACTGTGGTGACGGAAGTGATGAATTGGATTGTCCAGATTTATGCCGATATCATAAAACATCCGTTGGCGCGTTTGTCGAAAGGTGGGTTTTCAAATCTTTAACTAGTAATTGCTTTCATCATTAAAAAAGTTTTTAATTGCTAACTTTATTCATATTTTCGTTTCGACAGTCCTGGATTTCCACAAAGATATCCATCTCTCTCGGACTGCAAGTGGACTCTTGAAGCCCCCGAAGGTAAGTTTTTTTTATTTGCAGATTTATGCGAATTTCTGCCCAAGTGAAATATGCAAATAATGTGCAATCAATCATTTTGCATTTTTTTTACAAGGTCACTCCATTGTACTCCAGGTAAGGAAGTGTTCATCTCAATAATACGCTTAAATAACAAACTAGCCCCCCTTTCAAAATTTGTTTATTGTCTTTTAACCCGGTTTTCACGGTCAAGCTCTGAATCATTTTAATTTATAGAGCTTTTATTCCCCATTCTGACAGCAATAACTTCTTTTCTGTTACAAAATAATTGTAAAATTGATGACCGTTGGTTAGCCCTTGTAATGCAGAAAAAAAGACTTGCAATTTTCGATTTTGCATACCCCACTTTAATCTTTATAAATAGTGGCAAATGTTGGTCTTGTCATTGTTGATTGTTATGTGTGGATGGAACAGAACCCTTTGAAAAAAGAACTAGACTGCTGCAGACAGTAATAATAAATATAACGCAACAATAGCCCCGCTTTCAATTCTATGCATGCATTGATTTCTTACCAGAACTGGGCCACAGTCTAATTGAGATGTTTATTTAAACGAAGACCAATATCATTACGAAAATATATATAATTTTCCTGCTACTAAAAAATTTAAGATAGTTGCCAAAATAAGTGATGACTTGCAAAAATAAAAAATTGCAAAAACTTTCACATGCTTCTTTCGTCAGAATGGAACTTGAAATGTGATTTTGGCTCCTATAAATTTCAGTTTTCGGAATTCGAGACAGAAAAAGGATTCGACACGGTGCAAGTGCTGGGTGGCGCGAGGACGGAGACGGCCGCCGTCAACGTGAACACGATCTCTGGTCGGTTGAACTCGTCCGCAGTCTTCACGTCCGCGTCCAATTTCATGATTGTCAAATTCCGATCTGACGCCTCAGTTGAGAAGAAAGGATTCCGGTAAGAAGAAAGAGTAGACGAGGAGTTACATAAGATTTTGCATGCATTTTTTTGCAAACGTAATCATACGCATTTGCCATTTTTATTTGACACGAAGCATGTACCGTTTAGCACTACATTGCGAACTTCCACTCCAGCAACATGTATGTATTTTGCAAATATTTCACGACCAGCAATTACCTTCATGCGTCGTAAATAGGGATTTTCGTTGTGTCTCCTTCCTCGTTAACTTGTGGTCGGTCTGCGCCTGTGGCTGCACGCATTAAAAAGATGCATTTGCCCACTGACTGCAAGGATCTCAAAAGATAACGGAACTTGGTTTGGTTGGTACCATTCGGTGCTCAACATTTTTTATGCAGTGTTGGCTAAGAAAATGCGAAATAAATAAACGGCGATGTGCCTGGCGTCTTCATTGATATTTGCAACACAAAGTTGCATTTGTGTGTGCATATGTTGTAGTAGATAATTTACAAAACAATGCCATTCTTCAGCCACAGGCAGTGATGGCAATTGACCAATTTTTATGGGAATACTACTTGCTCATTGATCCTCTCACATGTAAAATATCGAGTTTATCGTAAAGAAGAAGAATAATCTTTGCATTTAGATTGTTAGTTATCTGAGAGAGGAGAGGAGGTTAAAATGCATGCAAAGAATTGGCTAATGTCCCAGATATTAAAAGATATTCTTGGTTTTTGTGTGCACCACTAAAGATATTAAAATGCAACTTTCGTAATGATGCGACTTAATTACAACGAGCCGATTGATATACTATCGTCATCATCGATATGCTAATAATAATACGAGTTTTCGTGGTTTCGCGAGTTTGTTAAAGGAGAGTAATTATTATCCCTATGTGGCTGGCTGGCTGGTTTGATTTATGACATTTATTAAAATCATGGCGGCTTTACGAGGCAACTTTCAATTATATTTTGCCAAGTATTTATGTATGCAAGACGTAATTTCAGTGAGATGCATTTTTCATATATTTTGCGTATTGTTTTCGTCAATTTATTAGCATATTAATTCACAGGGTGGATATGTATTTACGAAAAAGAGCTGAAATTTGTACTTCATATTTAGGAAAGAACGATAAAAATATTTGCGAAATATGTACGAAAGAAACTATAAAAATGAAAATGTGCATAAAATTTTTTAAATTCTGAATATCAAAAACCCTCGGGATTTTTTGTAGTTTCTTTGAGCAAAAAAATTTGGTCTCGTATAATCGAAATGATAACAAAAAGTATTTTGAAATTTTTACCTCTATGCGAAACACCCACAAAGTTTGACTGTCGGTCGTTATTCATCAAATGAGAAAAGTAGAAAAATACATAGCCGTCCTCTGCATACGTATCATTCTAGTAGGTTGTAAATTTTAACGGCAAAAACGTACCCACTGACCGCCGTCATGTTGTGATGATACGATTAACCCAGATTTATCATTGCGCAGCCATAATTTATTGGTATTTTGATATTTAGAGCGACATGGAAAACTGAGCCGCAATCATGCGGCGGTACCCTCCGGGCGACCAGCCACTCCCAAGTCCTCGTCTCTCCCGGCTACCCCAACTCTTATCCTGGAGGACTGGAATGCGTCTACGTTATCAATGCCCCCGCAGGAAAGCTTATCACGCTGAAAGTGGAAGACTTCGGACTTACTTCTCCCCGAGACAGTCTTCTCATCCGAGACGGAGATTCACCCTCCTCACCAAAATTGGCCTTGTTGACGGGGTCTGCGAGTGAAAATCCGAAGTTCATCACCAGCACGGGAAGTCAGTTGTACTTGTATATGACCACTTCCGGAAATGGAGGAGTTCCTGGTTTCCAGATCAAATATTATCAAGGTAAAAAAAAATTCTGTAAAATTTCTCTACCAATTTCATGAGGATATATTTTTCGATTCGCTTTGTTACATGGCTTTGCACACTTTTTTTTTGCCCTGAAATCAATTCAGCTTCCTCTATCTCGATGATAAGTAATTGACAACCATGCAAATTGTTTGCACTTGCTAACAAATCGTACATACTGTCCACAAAGTGGCCGCTAACTAAATTGGGTAAACATAACCCCAAAACCACCTTTATTTTCGACCTAGTCATCGCATCACTTTACAAATTTATTTACAAGACCAATTACACCATACAGCACTCTCATTGTTAGTTGCGCAGACCTAGGAAATGATAAGTATGTAAATATCTAAGTAAGAGTAAAAATTGGTGATTGCAAATTGCTGCAACCTTTTAAACCTTCCTTGCAAGATTGTCTGACGAAATAAGTAGGTGAGTGGTGATATACATAAATACACGAGAAAAAGCAGGTAGGCAGTACATACTTTAGAGAAGCAATACTTTGTTCAATTTTGTGTCGTTTAGTAAAATCAGGGTGGTTGATTTGATAGCTTGGGGCAGATTTTTCTTATAATTTCTTCTCAAATAAAGTCGAGTTGTTTGCAACAGCAGAGAAGAACAGGTGCAGGCAGAGAGCAGACGGGAATTCAGTATGGATTAGATGCAATAAGTATCGACTTTGATTACCAAAGTTTTTCCCATATGCAAGAAAGCAATTTATTCATTTCATACTTAGCTGCACGACGATCAACTTGAAACTTAGGAGAGGTTTATTGGTTATCTGGCTGCAGTTAAAGAACTTGCTTGACTTGGCTTGTGTGCTAATTTGCATTCGCAGAATCTTTACGTAGGATAAGTAGTGGTTTGCAATAATGGAGTAATATGGAGCACACCCTTCGTATATCGTATGTACTTTTCATTGTTGTTCATTGTTGGACGTCGTCGTGTGATAGTGTGAATTACTCGAGCTGAAAATCTCACGTTTATTTATTTACGTACTCGTCCACTCATTCATAATAATGATAATGAATCATTAGTAGTTAGTCAACTTGAGGAGGGACTTTTTTTTAAGATGGAGTTTCCCCTTTTAAAAAATTCAAGTAGTGTTCAGTCAAGATTAATTCTTTTTTTTGTTTTATTAAATTCGAGAATTTTTGCAAATAATGAATAAATAATAAGAATGGTGTTAAGGAAGGACGGACCACTCCAGAATATGTAGTAGACAGGCACCTGATAAGAGGTGAAGATGAGAAATCGCTTGCAGTAGTCGGTCGGAAAAGTTTTCAAGATAAAAATTCTAGGCCATCTTTCAAGATATGACTTTTGTAAATAATTTATTAACACCATGAACAATCAACAAGCGGCTTGATTAAAGCAGCTTCATCATATTTAAGAACGCGAACGTGGATGGATGGATGGATGGATTAATAAATCTTGAAGGAGTGGAGGAGAGTTGCAATTCCTGTATTTGAGAGGTGGCTTCTGAACATATGTGAAGATTAAAGTAGGCAAAAATTAGTTTATAATTTTTAATTGTAATTTCAAAGTAGCGATAAATTTAAAACAGACTTTTGCACAGATTGATCAAAGATTGGCTGAGAGAGGGGATCATATGAATGTAAAAGATGCGGAAAACATGGCAAATCCGCAATGAAAACAAAATTCTCTGTAAACTGCAATGAAGGCAAAAAAATATGTGTGTTTGTATGTATGTGAGACAGGTCGAAGACTTAAAAATTTGGAGCAAGTGCGTATCAACAAATTTACGATTATGACTCACACTCACGCATTAAATGAATTAAAACTTTGGCAATTAACACAATGAATGATAAACAAAAGAGCAAAGCGAAGAGATCAAGCAAATCTTGTTCCTCTTCTTGTGCAGCAAGACGATAAATAATTCCTGCTTTCACTTCTTAGCATAAAGCGAATATTTAAATTTGTAAATAATTAATTGGGGGTCGGGACCTGTGAAAATTAAGAGGTTACGACAACATTGAGCAGAGATCTGTGTCTCAATATTTGCAATGACTATAAAATAAATCGGCGATTAAAGATGCGGTGATTTTTATCAGAGATAAGATCAATTCTATGCTTGCTTGCTTGCATACTTTACTTTGCATACCATGAATGTAGTACATGCGATATTTTACATTTATGCACATACTTCGACAAAATCTCGTCTCTTTTTTGAATATTTGACTAAAATTCCTCGATTTTTTTAAATGTTTCAGGATGTGAACAAGTCTTGTCGATGTCGAATGGGTAAGTTTTTCAACAAATTAGCTGAAATTCTCAGATAACCCGGTCAGATTCGATTTCGAATCAAAATAAGTACAGCTATTCATGATCTCTTCCTGTCATTTCCAGATCAATCTCATCCCCAGCGTTTGGGCTCAGTCCGTACCCCTCCAATCAAGAATGCACCTACTTAATCAAGCGACCCAAGGGTGGTCCACTCTCCCTCAAATTTACCAACTTTGACTTGGACGAGGCAGACTTTGTGCAGGTTGGTACCTCTCATTGACACTCATACTTTCTAACGCATTTGCATTATTTGCTCACAATGTCTGACTGGGAAATGCATGTGAGAAGAATCCCCAATAAAATGGCACTGCTTTAAGCAAATAGATAAAGCATGAAACAAAGGCAATTATACAAATTGACAGGACTGGGAACGGTAATTAACTTTGGGCGTGATATGTCCCACTGTTTTTGACTAAAACGATCCCTTGTTTTCCCACCTGTGACACAGACAGACATGGATTGTCACTCGTCGTCTGCAGAGCATTGTAAATAAGCAGACACAATTTGTATTGTCTCCCCTTTTGAAATGAAACTTGCTTCAGAAGGAAGGATGCACTTGATGCTTAAACGCGTAAAACGACGACGGGAAGATGATGATTCCATGAAGGAAATGGGGTTTAAATGGGACTAGGAACTTGTGTAATAATAATAATAATCCTTCCATTTGTGAAGGAGCAAATAGTTAGTTTTGTTAGTCTGCAGTTGCCACCTTGCTGCTTTTATTTTGCACTCAATCCAATCCAATGGACAGGTATGACATGGGCATTTATCATGTAAACAAAAAATCTTCTGTCAGCCAGAAATGATGCGACGCTTCGGTAACCACCACTGCTCGCTACTACTTGACTCAATCGTGGCACCATTATTGCACCACCACCATAAGCACAGGAACCATCTATCCTAAGTCGGATTAAGAGTACGGATTTAGAGCTTACTTATTCCTACTCGATGCCGGTGAAGATGATGATGAGATGACGAACATAAAATAACGGAACTGACGATGAGTTAAATAATAAATTTATTATTGTCACCTTCAAGACTTGTTTGTGTGATGTCATTAACAATGCAAATACACATCAAAAGTTGTCCCTTCTCTGATTGGGGATGACAGTTGGGGATGAATTATGGGGATTTTTTTTTTGTACCTGTAGACTTTTTTTCGGGATTGTTACCAACATATTTTACTTATTGACCGGCCCAACACGACGATGACGACACTTATGTACTTATCAGACATATGTTCTCATGAACGGTCCACCTCTAATTGAATCAGAATCATCAAAAAGGGATGCGATTAACCGGTTTGGTTTGCGAATTTTACCAGTAATTTACCAACCAAGGTGTTGCAGATTGTAACTGTGCAGGTGGATTAACCGGAACTTTATGTGATGATATTGCATTGCGAATTACATATTCTCGAAAAATGTGCACTTCTTTCTTGCATTGCACCCAGTTTTTGAATTTGAGGAAAATTATTGTTATTTTAGAAGAAGAAGGAGCAGCATTATGCAGTTATTATAAAGTCACTTTGTGGGAGATTGCTATTAGATATCACACCAAGAAATACATAAAATAGGGTCGGGTAGTGCATAATCCTTCTCATTCTTATTATTTTTGTGTCTACCTCTGCGTTGACTTGGCTGGCTGGCGGAACTAACAATACTTCTTTAAGAACTCATCTTTTCCCTCATTATTAACGTGTAAAGGTTTGGGCTTGATGTTGATGGACGATAAAAAATGGAGAAGAAGAAGACAGGAAATGCTCACAATTGCCTTTTTAACGCAACTTTGCACTACACAGGAAGGATTTGTTAAACATTGTTTTCTTTTTCGGGTTGCATTGCATCACACTTTTCTTACTTATGGATTTTGCTTTTATTGGAGGGGAAAAAATATGTGTAGCTCGGAAAAAAATGAACAGTATATGAAGGAAAAAATGTACTATGTGGGCTTATGTAACACGAATCAGGGTACAATTTCTTTACCTAAGATCAGTACAAAATCGGCTGTGATCCTAAAAAATAATTTGGTCGTTACATCATGACATATTTAACATTCTTGGTTCAATTTTAAAAGATCACTTACATACATATTTACATTCCAAATATCTATTTGCATCTGGCAAAGATTATTGAAATTTATTCCATGTTCTATGATTTTAAACCACTTTTAAACCTTTGACGTTTTTGTGACAATTTCTAAAATTTGGTGCTCTTTGTCCAAACCACGACCCCCACTGGTCAACCGCTGCACCGATTTTGTACATCTTCGAACTCATCCAGATAACGCCAAGTTGGTCAAAATCCGTTCCGTTGTTCGTCCTCTAGCGTGTCCCAGACACACAGACACACCAATTCTATAAGCTCTTCTGACTCGGGCTAAAAAGTGCATGATATAAATACTTACATTCGCATTAAGTGAATCATAAATACAGGTTGAACGCCACACAATGCGATAAACTGCCGAAATTTTTTTCTGCCAAGTGAAATGTTATGAATTCATTCGTTTCTCGAGTACCGGCATCTAACAACTTGGTTCGTGGTTACGCACGTTGTCATTTTTTTGTGCAAAACTTTTAGATAAAAAGTTATACAGACCAGCAACGTGACATCGTCTCCTCCAAAGAACGAAGGTCTGCTAAACTTTGGGGGATAACACAATGCAGTAAAAATGACGGGACAGGAGACAAGTACCGTTTGCATACGACCACAAGTTTGAAATTAGGTTAGAACTGACGCAGGACATGAGAGGGATTAGAATTACCTGCGTATTTTTAAGCTGGTATTTTAAATTCCGTTTAAATTAAAACTATAGCGCGGCGTGTGTGTGGCTAGTGGCAGGTGGCAAAAAAGTCTGTAATTCCATCAAGCCAATTACATAAAGAAGACAGCAGATAAATGACGCTTACATACTTAAATGTAGTGGTCTCAACGGTGCGGTTCGGTTCGGTTCTTGGAAGAACCGGTTTAGAACCGAGAACCAGAATTGAAGAACCGAAACAGAACCGAACTTTTTTTAGTTGGAACCGAACCGGAACCGGACCAAACCGTGACCGAACCGGCGGTTCGGGTCAAACCGGTAGTGTTATTAATATGCAATAAACAACAAACAATGCTAATTGACGTGTTTCTGATGAAATTTCACATATAAGCCAATAACTTATCTGTATTTAAACAAGCAAATTCTAATACATGTCAACAGCAAAACCACTTATGTATATATTATTGAAGTTAGAAAACAATTCCAAGTTTGGGGTGCAACCAAGTCAAAATTTCATTTTGGAAACATTGGGGGTGTGACCAAGTAAAAATTTCATTTTGGAAACATTGGGGGTGTAACCAAGTCAAAATTTCATTTTGGAAACATTTGGGGTGTGACCAAGTAAAAATTTCATTTTGGAAACATTTGGGGTGTGACCAAGTAAAAATTTCATTTTGGAAACATTGGGGGTGCAACCAAGTCAAAATTTCATTTTGGAAACTTTGGGGTGTGACCAAGTAAAGATTTCATTTTAGAAACTTTTGGGGGTAAAAATTTCGTTTAGGAAACTTTGGGGGTGAAAATTTCATTTTGGAAACTTTGGAGGTGTCATCAAGTCAAAATTTGGTTTTGGAAACATTGGGGATGTAACCAGGTCAAAATTTCATTTTGGGAACTTTGGGCGTGTCATCAAGTCAAAATTTGGTTTTGGAAACATTGGGGGTGTGACCAAGTCAAAGTTTCATTTCGGAAACTTTGGGGGTGTGGCCATGTCAAAGTTTCATTTTGGGAACTTTGGCAGTGGGGCCACGTCAAAATTTCATTTTGGAAACTATGTGTATTTCGGGAAATTCGTAAAACTTTTTCGAAAATATGATTAACTTCGCTAATGTATTTGTGTATGAAGTTCGGTTCAACCCGAACCGGCCGGTTCGGTTCGGTTCTCAAAGACTTGGAACCGGAACCGAACCGGTAATAAAAGTTTCGGTTCGGTTCGGTTCTCCGTATAAACCGGAACCGAACCGAGCCATCGGTTCCGGTTCGGTTCTATGAGAACCGAGAACCGTTGAGACCACTACTTAAATGAACCGACGAAAATGAATGGGCACATTTTTGGCATGTATTGCATTTCATTCCATGGTATTAACGAATGTACGTTAAACAACAATCAAGTTGGTCGCATCCATCCCATCCCGAATTACAAGTTGGCATTGATGAGATCATTTATGTATCGCTTTCGGTAGGATGATTGCACTTGAGGGGAAAAATACAATAAAACGTCTCGTCTGATCTTTGCCACCATAAAAGCAAAGGACCACCTACAATCAACTAAATCCTTAGTTTCATACTCAACAATGCCATCATAGTAAGTAATTCTATGAAGAAATCAATCCTTCTTGTTGGAGGAGGTTTCTCGGATTCGTTGTAGACATATTTTAACGCAAAGTTTATCAGTAACATAGAAAAGATCTTAATAAAATCAGCTCGATTACGATGTTTATACTTTTTGATCATCATTCCGACTTAGCTCGAAATGCTCATCAATTCAATGCTTAATCGTACGAGAGAATTGGTATTATTATTCTTCACTCACTTACTTTGTTGCTTGTTTGCTGGTTGGTTTGGTTTGTTGCTTTGCTTGCACTCTAAGAAAAGTTCATTGTCCGTGGACAGGATCCACTGGCCATGTCATGAATGACCATTATGCCAAGTTAGACTCATCCATGCGGTGTGTATTAAGTATTCTTGAAGGTTGTTAGTTTCCTTGAGTTACTTACTTACTTATTACGACTGCTACCGGTCCGGTGGAAGTTTTTTGTGCGGAAAGAAATAAGCGTATCATGCCGATGAATTGTGGGAACAAATTAATTAAAACTTGGGAATGATAGAGATCATGGGATGTTTATTGTACGAGTACATATTTCCTCACACATGCCATGATTAATTATGTATATTCACTCACATTACTAATGTCATGTCATTCTTGATGAATCCGTAGATCTATGACGGTCCAACGACTGACAGTTTGCGTCTCCACTCCGGAAACGGATTTAACGGCCGCACCCTCCCAAAATTGACCTTGACGGCGGAATCTGGAGAAATGACGGTGCGATTCAAGACGGATTCGCTCCGATCGAGGAATGGTTTCAGAGCTGTGTTCTCTGCTGGTGAGTGCATATTGCATTTTTAAAGATGAACTACTTACAATGGAGGTGTCACGGCGTATGACCCTGATTTTGACCAAACTAGTGTGAATCAATGATAAATCTAATTAATATGAAATTCGCAATGTATTTGCCAATCTGCAGGTTTGGCAGAGGTATTTGCATCAAAAGAATAGAAAACACGCACTAAAGTTGACCCTTTCCAAATTTATAGCGCGTTTTCTCCTCTTCGGTTCCAAATATTCTGCAAAGCCTGCGCATTGGGTGCGTCTTTTGCAAATTAGTAGTTTGATCAAAAAGGATACGCTGGGAAAACCTCCATTGTTAGCAGTGTTGCATTAAATATGCTCATACAAAAAAATTACTCCTTATTATCCACAGATTGTCCCGTCCTCCGCCCTGGAAAAGGAGCTTTGGCCAGCAATCGTGACATCGCTTTCGGCACCCAGGTCACCTTTACTTGCCCAACGGGTCAAGAATTCGCCACGGGACAGCAAAAGATTGTCACCGAGTGCCAACCGGGTGGGCAATGGTCGGTCGATTACATCCCAGATTGTCAAGGTATGAATGGCGGAACATTTCTTAATTATTGTTGTACGTACACTCACGTCATGTCACGTGTCATCACTGCTCGTCATCTCAACGACCATATTATGATGTGTTGAGAGTCCAAATTGAAAAATGCATGCCTTCAAGCAAGATGAACATTATTTGATGACAATTGATTGATGATCTCTACGAATTCAGAGAGTAAAATTCTGACCGTGCCGTTTCCTCCTTTAATTTGCAGAGGTTTATTGCGGACCTGTTCCACAAATTTCGAACGGTTTCGCCATCGGGTCAACGAATGGTAAGAATAGAATGAGCATAAATTATTTGCATGTGCATATATTTTATTTATTTAATATTATTTCCAGTCACCTACCTCGGGACGGCTACGTACCAGTGCTACGCCGGGTTTGCATTCCCTTCGGCGAAAGCAACCGAAATAATAACTTGTTTGCCGGGGGGGAAATGGGAGAAATTGCCGTTGTGCATGGGTAAGCACTTCTTCTTTAATGGTTTCACTCACAGTATAGAAATATTTACGATATGCAGCATCACTAACCAAGTCGTATTGGAGACATCACATCATTGCATTAAAACGAGTATTAGAATAAAGATGACGCCTAATAAATACATAAGAATGCAGACAGAGTCACCACCAAGATTCGTACAAGTACGAATCTGGCGATGATTACGGTTTTGTGCGAGAGAAGACTTGCCAAATTTGATGGATTAGCTTGTGATCATCATCGCTGAGTAAAGATTTTGTTTAAGGATTATTTATGAAGACTCATTGTCAATAGAAAATGCTGAACTGAACGTGAATCTGATATCGTCGTGGGTTTATTTAATCTCTAAGTGGTTCTTGTAATATTACCAAATTCAATTCAATACGCTTTTCTCTCTTAAGTAATTTGACGTGGTGTTGTTAAACATATGGATGGACATATGTAACCACTTTAATAGCAATAATAACGCAATTTATTTATTGCCGTAATAATATTTGTTCGCGAAAGCTAAGTGATTGTATCTCTTTCTACTCTTGAAATCGTCCTCCAGGCAAAAGTGAGGTCTTCTTATGTATGAACACAACCAATTAGAGTTTCCCGTTATCATCAAGCAAGCGACAATATCCCTGCGGCATGATTTATTATTGTTATTTATTTACCAAAATCAATTAGGCCTTTCATCTCCATATACCACCGATTTTTAAGGACGAAATATGCAAATATGCGATGCCCCACCATGAAATTAATGCAGAAACACTTCTCACATGAGCGTGCCTGCCATGACTAAAAATATTTACAATGGCGATATCCTTATTTTCTTATTACACCCTTTCATAAGCAATATTTGTATTTGTTTTGGTTGGTATTTGGTTACCTAACTTTTAATTTAATGTTTGCACGGTCACGCTTCATGAGTCATTGACCATGAACTTACACACATTTGTGCCTCTCCTCCTCCATGTGCAGATTATTTAACTTAACGAGGAGCAAAACGGATCTTATTGTGTCGAAAGATTTCTATCACTGGTGCCATTTATTATTTTTATTTTTACGTTTTTTTTTCATTTCCTGCAGCATCTCAATGCTCACCTTTGGCGGAAACGCCCAATGCGAAGCAAGCCATTTTGAGTGGGGGAGGTCGGGCGTACGGGACAATTGTGCGATTTGACTGTGACCCTGGCTACATCCGGACGGGACCACCCACTCTGCTCTGCATGAGGTAGGAAAATACAGCAGTAAAATTATTGACGGGGTACATATTCAAACACTCTTAAAACCCTGGTATTAAATCATTACTGATCGAAGTACTTTGGTAATAAGGGGCATTACCATTTAGTAATGTTGTGGTAATGAAAATTTACCATTCTGAAACAAACTACTACCAATCCGGTAGGAAGTTATTACCAAATCGATACCAGAACGGAGTGTATATCTGACTCTACCAGATTTTTAACTGTATGTAATGGGTCAATCTATTTAATTTTCTAGTAATGGAACTTGGTCCGGAGAAGTGCCCACTTGTGCAAGTAAGGCTTTTAATTCAGAAGAAATCGAATGGAACGATTGTTTAATTCGGAAATCTTGATTTTTTCCACAGGGAAACAATGCTTCACCGTTCCAAAAATCAAGAATGGTTTTGTCGTGGATTCCGAGCGTGAATACTTTTTCGATGATGAAGCTCGCGTAAGTTACTTAAAAATGAAAATGAAGTCTTTCTTAGTTATCACGAAATGTGAAATCTATATTTTTAATGTAGGTGCAATGCCATCGTGGATATAAACTTTTGGGTCAAAGTATTATCAAGTGTGGTCCCGACCAGACGTTTGATGACCTCCCGATTTGCGAAGACATTGGTATGGATTTTAGCATTGAAGTGATAAGAAGAATTGGTATGATATGGAATTTTTGATATTATGTAGACGAGTGTGCCAATTCCCAGTGCGACTTGGCCTCCACGGAATGTGCTAATGTTGCAGGATCATTTTACTGCAAGTGCAGGTAAAGTTCAGAGCACATTTTATTCATAAATATCAGTAATGAATTTAGTATTTGACAAAATGTATTCTTTTCAGGACTGGATTTTCGCCATCTTTGGATTGCAGAAATATTGCGGATTTGGGACTTGCCAGCGGTGGCATTCCTGATCATGCTATCACTGTTTCTTCCGCGCAGGAAGATCATCCCAAAGAGGTACGCATTTTAATATGTTGGGTTGATGCATACTATTTGAGATTATGCTAATTCCTATTTTGTGGCTTAGTTTATCCGACTTGGAAGTTCGGCTGGCTGGTGTGGTGCCAACTTTGCGAAGGGAAATAACTGGGTCTTGATTGACTTGAAAGCTCCAACCGTTGTTCGTGGATTTAGAACTCAAGGCGTTCACAAAATCGGAGGAGGTGTGGCGTACGCTTCAGGAATCAGGGGTAAATAACGTCAATACATATGGCACAGTATCCAAATGAGCTATATGTATTAATTATGCATAATTTATTTTTTCGAGCAGTTCAGTACACGGACGACCTTACCGACGTTTTCAAAGATTACATTAACCCTGACGGTTCTGCCGTCGAGTTCAGAATCTTGGATCCCAGCTTATCCGTTTTAAACCTTCCAATCCCAATTGAAACTCGTTACCTTCGTCTCATTATTCAAAACTATGTCGTTTCGCCCTGTCTCCAACTGGAACTTATGGGTTAGAATTTATTTGCATACATAAATATAGAAATCGTTAAGTTCACACGTTAAAAATCTTTAATTTTCAGGTTGTACCCGAATGGAGTGCAACGATATCAACGAATGTGGAACGAACAATGGTGGATGTCACCAAAAATGTGTCAACAGCCCGGGATCCTCTTCCTGCGGTTGTAACGTCGGATACGACCTTTACAGTCAGAACGGAACTGCTGGTTTCTTCATTGAGGGGTCAGAAACGGGAACGAAGGACGGCGACACGTACCGATTAAATAAAACTTGCGTTCCAAAAATGTGCCCACCTCTTCAAAGTCCAGAAAACGGAGTACTTTTGTCCACCAAGGATAAGCACCACTTTGGGGATCAGATCTCCTTCCAATGCAACTTTGGTTACGTTATTGCTGGAAGTTATGGACTGACTTGTACTTCAACTGGGACATGGAATGGAACCGTTCCAGCTTGCCAACGTAAGATTTGATAAATTATCATAATTTCATAATTGCCACTAGAAATTCCAACTAAATTATTTTGCTATTTTTTTGCACAGCTGCGAAATGCGTCCCCTTGCAAGATGAACCGACCGAAGGGCTCGCCGTTATTCGACCGGATGAAGATATCCTTATCGGATTCCAAGAAAATGTGACTTTCACTTGTTCCGAGGGTGGTCGACCGCTTCGAAGCTCAGTCACCGCGCCATTCAGACAATGCGTGTACGATCCAAAACCAGGATTCCCAGATTATTGGCTGTCCGGAGCAGGTAAAAAGTCACATTGTTTTACATTTAAATATCAATTATTACAATTTATGTTTATATTTCCAGCCCCCGAATGTCCCAAAATCGATTGTGGCTTCCCTGTCGAGGCGCCTGGAGCGGAATATGGTCGCTTTACTGAAACCACTTTCCAATCCTCGTTCTTTTTCGGATGCCAAGAAACCTTCAAGCTGGCTGGTCAATCGTCCCGAAACGATAACATTGTCCGGTGTCAGGCTGATGGAGTGTGGGACTTTGGAAACCTACGTTGTGAAGGCCCAGTTTGTGAGGATCCACTCCGACCGCCAGGTAAATATTTAAATAATGTCCAACTATTTACAAGCGCCATAAAAAATTACAATAAAAAACAATCTAATTTTACATGAATATTAAATTTGCTAACATAATTTTTGCAATATTTTAGATGGTGTCCAGATTTCTCAGACGTACGAGCAAGGTGGCGAAGTGATGTTTGATTGTGGACGACCTGGTTACATTCCAATCAATCCGTATCCCATCACGTGCCAGCGTAATTCTGAATGCCGTGTCATCAAGCCGATCGGAATTACATCCGGACTCATCCCAGACTCTGCCATTAATGTTACCACGTACCGACCAAATTATGAAGGGAAGTTCATCCGGCTCAACTCTGTCACTGGATGGTGCAGCATGCAAGAGGCGTTCCCCTACGTGACGATTGATCTTGGAAAAGTGCACCGCGTCAAAGCCATCTTGGTTAAGGTGAGATCAGATCAAAATTAGTTTGTATTTATGTATCTACGAAACAGTGTGAAATTGAATTTCACATTTCATTGAAATTGAAATTAAAATAAAAATGAAATTTTGAAGCATAAATGTGAAATGTCTCATTTTCCGTTTGTAGGGCGTCATCACGAACGACGTTGTCGGACGACCAACGGAAATCCGATTCTTTTACAAGCAACAAGAGTCTGAAAACTTTGTCGTGTATTTCCCCAACTTTAACTTGACGACACGAGATCCCGGAAATTATGGAGAATTGGGTAAATTTCCTTGAATTAATTCTTACCTGATTGGAAAAACTAATCTTGACAAACTATGTACTTTTTTTCCACCAGCCATGATCACCCTGCCGCAATCGGTCTCTGCTCAATACGTCATCCTCGGCGTGGTCAACTACTTGGAAAACCCATGTCTCAAGTTCGAACTGCTCGGGTGTGAAGAGGAGACCGAAGAGCCAAATCTTCTAGGATGGGATTCTGGTTACCCAGTCTGCGTTGATAACGAGCCTCCCGTCTTTGAAAACTGTCCCGACCAGTCCATCGTGGTGCAGAAGGGGATCAACGGCTTGGAACCGGTCAACTTCCCAGAACCAATTGCCACCGATAACAGCGGAATGATTGCACGTACGTGTGGATTCCAATTCTAATTTCATTTCATGTCAGGACAGACTAATTATTTTCTAAATATTTTACAACAGGAATGGAAATCCGACCGACCGGATTCAAAATGCCACTCCACGTCTTTGAAGATATTCTGGTTGAATACTTGGCCTTTGATTTTGATGGAAACGTTGCCATTTGTCACATCAACATTACCGGTAAGAATAAATTCCCAATTTTTTTCGGAAATTTAATTATAAACAATTAATCAATATTTTATCTATTACAGTCCCAGACGACACTCCACCACAACTCAGTTGTCCACAGAGCTACGTTGTCGAACTGTTGGATAAGAAGGCCAGCTACCAAGTCTACTTCAACGAGACGAGGCGAAGAATTGAAACATTTGACCAATCCGGTTCCGTCACTTTAGATTTTATTCCAGAAAGTGCAATAATTCCCGTCGGTGGATTTGAGAATGTGACCGTCGTCGCATCCGACAAGCATGGAAATCAGGCTTCTTGTAACTTCCAAGTATCCGTCCAACCAACACCCTGCGTCGATTGGGAACTTTCACCCCCCGCGCATGGAAACTTGAACTGTGTCCCCGGACAAGACGGTAACCTTCAATGCTTGGCCACCTGCAAGCAGGGATTCCGTTTTACTGATGGTCAACCCATGAAGACGTTCTCTTGTCGGGAAAAATCCAAGAAATGGTTCCCATCTCGCGTGGTGCCCGACTGCGTTTCTGAGGACACGGAAATGGCTCGTTATCAGGTCGCGTCCGACATCAAATACCGAGCCAACGGTGCCGTGCCGACGAGCTGTCTGCCCCAATATACCGAATTCCTCCGCAGAGGACAAGGCAATCTCAACACCATTCTGTCCCAGAGATGTTCCGCGGTCAATGTGAACATGAACGTGTCCTTCGTCAACACGCAGGCTACTCTTTTGGAGGAAAACGTGGTCAAGTTCACTTACACGCTGGAAGGTACGTTGTTCACATATTCATAAAAATACAAACATCAAATTTAACAATGTACTTTGATTCCAGTCACCCCAACCGTGAAACAAACCCAACTTTACGACCTTTGCGGTTCCACTCTGAACTTGATCTTTGACTTGTCCGTGCCATACGCTTCCGCCGTTTTGGAACCACTCTTGAACGTGTCATCCGTGTCGAATCAGTGCCCACCACTTCGTGCCCTGACTTCTCAAATTACTCGCGGGTTTGCTTGCGGAACTGGCGAAGTTTTGAACATGGAGACGAACTCTGTCCCACGATGTCTTCACTGTCCCGCGGGCACTTACACGTTGGACGTGAATGACGAAAGTCGCTGCGAACCGTGTGCGAGAGGATATTACCAAAGCCGTGCGAGACAAGGGTCCTGCATCAGATGTCCGGCTGGAACGTACACTCGTGAAGTAGGGTCCAAGGGAGTGGATGAATGTGTTCCCGTTTGCGGGTATGGAACCTACTCTCCGACCGGACTTGTGCCCTGTTTGGAATGCCAGCGTCACTCGTACACCGGAACTCCACCTCCAGACGGGTTCAAAGAGTGTACTTCTTGTCCCCCGAATATGTTCACGTACCAGCCAGCGGCTTCAACACCGGAGAATTGTCGGGCCAAGTGTCAACCAGGAACGTACTCACCGACCGGATTATCTCCTTGCGCGCCGTGTCCGCTTGGCTATTATCAGGTAAATTGCTAAATATGAGTATTTATTGCCAGAAAATATTTACTGATGCATTTTTTGTGTGCTTGTAGAGCAAAGAAGGCCAAGTGAAATGCAGCGAGTGCCCGCAAGAAATGTCCACGGCGAAGGTGGGAGGAAAGAGTAAAGAGGAATGTAAGAATATCCAGTGCCCGGACACCTACTGTAACAACGGTGGTCTTTGTCTCCCTCAAAATCATGGACCTACCTGCGTCTGCCCGGCTGGATTCACGGGACGTCAATGTGAACGTGATATCGGTAAAGACAACAATTTAATCTTGGTGCATTTTTTAGTGAGTTAAGTAATTCATGAAATTCCTTGCTTTAGATGAATGCGCTTCTCAGCCTTGTTACAATTCAGCCACTTGTGTCGATGAACCGCAAGGTAACATAATTTACATAATTACAAACTTGTATATAAAATTAACACTAAACTCAACAAAAACATTTACAGGATACCGCTGCGTCTGCGCCATGGGTTATTCCGGCGTGAATTGTCAAGACCAATCATCCAACTGTCGCAACGACACGTGCCCTGAACAAGCCATGTGTAAAACCGAACCTGGAATTGGAAATCACACCTGCCTCTGCAAGAATGGTTACACCGGAACAAATTGCGACGTCACAATCGATCCTTGCACTTCCAATGGAAACCCATGTGAAAACAATGCCAAGTGCATTCCCCTTCAACAGGGCCGTTTCCGCTGCGAGTGTAGTGCCGGGTGGGAGGGTCCCCTGTGCGACGTTAACATTGACGACTGTGCCGAGCTCCCCTGTCTCCTCAACGCCAACTGTACCGATTTGGTCAATGACTTTAGCTGCACTTGTCCTAGAGGGTTTAGCGGAAAGCGGTGTGAAATCAAGGTTGATCTTTGCGGAACGTCGCCTTGCATGCATGGGCTCTGTGTGGATCGTCTCTTTGAGTTTGAATGCGTTTGTGATCCTGGTATGGAAAATTGGAAAACTAACGTTTCAATTAAACATTACACGAATATTTCTTAACTGAATTTTACATATGTATTTCACAGGTTGGAAGGGAGATTCGTGCGATATCAATAGTGAGTCGATCTAAAAATTAAATTATCCTTGATAATGTAGATTCTTTTGCTCAAACTAAAATATTTATTTATTTTTCTCCCAGTTAACGAGTGCATGAACAATCCTTGCCTCAACAAAGGCGAATGCGTCGATGAAGTTGGTGACTACCGGTGCGTCTGTGAAGCCGAATATACCGGAAAGAATTGTCAACATCGGGTCGATGATTGTGCAAATGAGCCGTGTCAAAACGGTGGAACGTGCTCCGACAAGGTTAACGGATTCGAGTGTCTCTGCCGACCAGGATTTGTTGGTAAATTTTTAAATCCCCAAATAACTTATTTAAATGTATCGATGGTTTAACGTAATTATGTATGTTTTTCAGGTCTACAATGTGAAGCAGCAATTGATGAATGTCTCAGCAATCCTTGCGAAGGGGAAGGCACTGAAGCGTGCGTTGACCTCGATAACAAATACGAGTGCAAGTGCAAGCCAGGATATGTCGGAGAGCACTGCGAGGTTAGTTAGTTAGACGAGTGCTTATCTTCTCTAGCAAATAATAATTACTAAATTTATATATTCAATCTAGACGAACATTGACGAATGCGAGAGCGAACCTTGTCTTAACGGAGGCGTCTGTGTCGACGGGGTCAATGGATTCACTTGCAAATGCGTTCCTGGCTGGACCGGCAAACTTTGCGAAACGGACGTGCCATTCTGTGATTCTGACGTGAGTAGTAGTAAATTTAGTGTGCAAAATAGTAACCCAAAATTCAAATAAATACTTTAAAATCAATCTCTTTAATCACCTCAATTCACAGCCATGCCAGAACGATGCCGAATGTATCAACTTGTTCCAAGACTACTTCTGCGTATGCCCATCTGGAACTGATGGAAAGCAGTGTGAAACTGGTATGAAACCCGAAAATTCAATATCTTATTATGAAAAATGTTGCAAACTATTTGATTATGAAAAATGTTCTAAAATCCTTATTTAATCTTCAGCTCCTGACCGCTGCATCGGAGAACCTTGCATGAATTCCGGCAGTTGCAAAGATTACGGTTCCGGCTTGAACTGCACGTGTCCAGCGGACTACACCGGAATTGGGTGTCAATTCGAATTCGATGCATGTGCCGAGGGTGTCTGTCAGAATGGTGCGACGTGCATCGATAAGGGTTCAGGATACAAGTGCATCTGTCCCGAGGGTTACACGGGAAAGAACTGCGATAAGAGTATTCCTCACTGCAAGTCAAACTCCTGCCCACCGACGGCCACATGTGTCGATTTGAGCGACGGTTTCTACTGCAAATGCCAATACAACGTGACTGGAGAGGATTGTCGCAAAAGTAGATAACCGCAAAATTCATTAAAATTGCAAATAAGTAATTAACTAATTTTTTGCATCATTTTTTAGCCATCCAAGTCGACTATGATCTCGCTTTCACGGATGAAGAGGGTACTGGCTCTGCTCAGCAAATGATTCCGTTCCAAATCAACAAGGAATTTGCCGGATTTTCGCTCGGTCTTTGGATTAAATTCACGCACAACGATGACACCGGAACGTTCCTCAACTATTACGTGGTCCGATCCCCAATTTCCACTCGGGAACGAAGACTCGCCATCCAAGCCCACAGCGCAGGAATGCTCGTGTCCTTATTCCAAGACGAGGCTGAAGTGTATCTACCATTCCAGGATTATGCCCCAGTCAACGATGGCCAATGGCATCATGGTACATACAATTAAATAAGAATCATGCAGTGGGTTCGATTTCTGTTTTTTTTTCGAAAAACGGGGCAGAGAAATCTAGGAAAATTCCTACGGCCCGTACAAAACGGATGCGTTTCAACGTTTGCACTGCAAATCGAACCCACGAATCATGCCTTCGTTTTATGAATATGATGCTATAATTTTCTTCTAATTTTTACATAGTTGCATTAATGTACGACAAGAAAAATGCATCCCTCCAACTGGCAACTGATGGGCTCATTGCTGGACGAAGTGAAGGATACGGGAGAGGAAAGGACATACCCGAATTGTAGGTTTTACCCTAGTTTTTTTATGCCTATGTATTTAGGTTAAGTCGAAAATGGGTAAACTAAATTGAAATTGATGTGCCATTCCAGCGGATGGATTTCCTTGGGTGCACCAGCCTCTGAAAGTGGTCGTGCCTTGCTGGACTCTGGTTTTATTGGGAGTCTGAGCCGAGTTCAAGTTTGGAACAGGCCGTTGGACCACACCAAAGAAATTCAGAAGCAAGTCCGAGGATGCCGCACGGAGCCGGTCATTTATCAAGGCCTTATTCTCCCATGGAACGGTTACGACAAGATTTCAGGTGGAGTTGAGCGCATCGTCCCGTCCTCCTGTGGAGACCGAGTCTGTCCCCCGGGAATGACTGGGAGCCGATGTGATGTCACCAACATGGATAAGATCCCACCAGCAGTCACGCATTGTCCGGGAAGTATGTGGGTCATTACGAGAAACGGATCTGCCACCGTGACGTGGGACGAACCCGTCTTCACCGACAACGTGGGGGTCGTCAGAGTCGTGGAGAAACAAGGCTTCCGACCTGGGCAGACGCTTTTATGGGGAAATTATGACATTGCTTATGTTGCTTATGATCAAGCCGGAAATAATGCGTTGTGTCGATTCAAGGTCTACGTTTTAGGTACACATAAAAGCATAATTAATTGTAGGAGTCATATCTCACTTACATATTAATTAATTTCTTTTATCGTTATTTTAGCCGAATTTTGCCCCGCTCTGCAAGACCCAGACGGTGGCAACTCCCAATGCAACGGGTGGGGCCCAGGAGGTCATTTCAAGGCTTGTGAAATTAGTTGTTCCTCTGGACTCAAGTTCTCCCAGTCTGTACCAAAGTTCTACGCTTGTGGGGCTGAAGGATTCTGGCATCCAAGTCAAGATATTGAACGACCACTTGTTTACCCATCTTGCACATGTACGTTTGACTTGTCTCATTGCGAAATTACTGTGTTTTTCAGCGTTTTTGTAATATTTTTTATTTATTTATGATGTTTTTAGCGTCACGACCGGCCCAACGAGTTTTCAAGATTAAACTCCAATTCCCAAGTGCCGGCCTTTGCAACGAAGCTGGACAAGGCGTTCTCCGTGAAAGGATTAAATTGGCTATTGCAAAACTTAACCAAGGTGAGAAATTGTACTTTTATTATTATTTCCGTCAAATTATTGGCAAATTCGTTACGAAATTTAACTTGGATATAGTTTAAACCACAAATACATGACATCTAATACCTTTCCAGACTGGCGATTCTGTGCCACCAAAACCAAGGATGGAGCAGACTGTCAAGACTTGAACATTGGGGTCTTATGTGACAAGAAATCCCAAGCGAGATCTCTCCGAACTCTGACGAAACGACAGGTTGACAATGAAGACTTGTACGATGTGCACATCAGCTTCCCTGCTCAAAGCGACCCCGTCACGAATGTGAACACGAATGAGAGATCCCACATTCACAAATTACTTCAGAGCCTCATCCTAGAAAATGATGCGTTTAATGTCCGCGATGTTTTACCAAACACGGCGGCTGACCCGACCTCGCTAGATTTGAAGTCTGACTATGCATGCGCTCCGGGACATGTCGTCGTTGGAGCGGATTGCGTCCCTTGCTCGGCCGGAACATTCTACACTTCGAACAACTCTTCCTGCCAAGTTTGTCAGATTGGGACATACCAGAGTGAAGTTGGCCAATTGGTAATTACTTATCACTCTTTTTTCTAAGTGATGGTCCACTATACTGAGCAGGTTGATAAATATTTTATTTTACGTGACATTTTTTCAGGAATGCAAAGCCTGTCCCAAGGTATGGTTATCAAAACTTTCCTTGTTTATTCAATTCATTTAAAAAATACAAGAACACGACAAACGTGAAAACAACTAAACGAAATTAATAACAACTTTTCCATCAACACCTTTCTCTAACTGACTAACATCACTCATGACCAGATTAGATTCAAAAAAGAAAGCATACAAAGATTTGAGATCACCAATATTAATAGCACCTTCATAATGATTCATCTGTTTTGGAATTCCCTTCACTGGAACCTCTTTGTAGGTCTGAGTGACCATTTCTCCAATCTTTAATGCAGAGTGGGCAAGAGTTTCATATTTATTTGCAGCGACCTCCATTTTGCAAAATTCTTCTTCTTCTTCTGGGCTGAATTGGCTCCTTTTGGTGCCATCCTTGACGTCTTCCAGTAACTCGGGGATAGGACTTTGAAAAATAGCCATGTCTTCGTCCTCTGTAAATGAATCCATCCCTGTTTCCGCCTTTGCTTGATCATGGTATATTGATTTATTCCCAGATCCTTTTAAGTTGATTTGAATTTGAACTCCTACGTAAAATTGACCCCTATCATTACGTCCAAGGTATACATAAGGCAGAGAACGGTTGACTTTTTTTGAAACGCCTGGAGGAGTGGAGCTGGCAGATTCGTCAACTTGACCTCCTTTCTCGAACAGCACCCCATTCTGATTCAAAAACGACTTCACCCAGTTCAGGTCAGCACCACGGAATAGTATTCGAGAGTTTAGCAGAGTTACACCTCCTTTGATCATCACCAGCAGTGATACAGCCAACTGCAATTATCGAAATGATATAGATTTTGATAATAATAATGATTGCATTAATTAATTATGTATAGCTAAAGTACGTACAAATGCAGAATCACGCACTTTGTTGTTCTCGTCCTGATACGGCCAGCGTCCTAGTATCCTGAAAAATGTTTCCTCTTTGCTGATTCGCTTCTGTACAACGTAATTGTAGAGCTGGATACTATCATGGCGTATTTCACCACCCCCTTCAACTTCTTTGTTGCCCCACGTCTTCTTAATCCCGCATCCAGCCAGCTTCTTTCTGATCTCACTTTCAGTATAGGGATTTCTTGTAGGTGTGGGGTTTAATAAAGCCAGTACAAGAGGGGTAGCTCGCATATCTTGAAGTAAAAGAACCTCTTTCGGGGCGTGAGTTTGGCAATATTTCCCAACCTATTAATTAATAAATAAGTCTTGTTTCATGATAATTAATAATCTTACTTATAAGTGAACATGTACTCATTTACCAGACAACCAACAATACAAGAAGTCATGCTACATTTTTGTGACCGATGCGCCCACCCACTGAATTTCCAGTCAGTCCCAACTTTTTGCATTTTCACCACTTGTAGCAACCCATCCACCAATTGCATCGCAACCTTTTCCTTGTTATAAAATACTTCGAGGGGAGTGAACTTATCCGTATCATTTTTGGATTTCTTGACGTGAGCAGCCCAACCGTTCGCCAAGTTCTTCTGCTCATCCGAACCCCAGAAACTTTTTATGCTCCCCTCATATCCACTATTTTCTACCATCCCTTGCAACACTGCTTTGAGGATCGAGTGATTCGAGTCCACTTGCACTATTTTGGATGAGGTTGAAGGTGACGGTTCTTCTACAATTTGCAAAACTACAAAAAATACAACATAATTATTATGTTGCATAAATAAAAGTTTTTATAAGCATTAAACTCACCATTTAGTTCAACATGTTCTCCTTGAGAATTGCAGGTCATTAAATTAAATTTAGCTTTTGACACGGGCACATCAACTAAAATTCTGACACGTTTCATCGGAATTGTATTTTCCTATAAAACAAAACATTTTGTTACTCACTAACAACAATTAAAGTAGATTATAAGTCTTACCTGATCACTGTCACCCTGCTCTGGCTTATCCATATTGTCAAACTTTTTTATCACAAATATATATTATTGCACAACCGACTGACTGACTGATAATTTTTATCAGTGATAAAACGAAAATGAGAAATAAAAAACGAGATCGGCGGGTTTCCCAGTACATTACAGGGGGCAGGATGATAGCGCTTCTATCTATTTATATTATATTATATAGATAGTTGATATTATTATAATGAATTTTTAATGCAGATTGCTGGCAAGGCTGGCGTTACCAAAATCCTTGGGGCGAAATCACCCAAGGAGTGCAAAGAGAGATGCTCGGCTGGAAAATACTTTGATGAATCGTCCGAACTCTGCAAGAGCTGTGGTTACGGACAATACCAACCTGACGAGGGCCAATTCACATGCAGACTGTGCGGTCTTGGAAAAACTACTCGAACTACGGATGCCGTTAGCGAGCTTGAATGCAGAGATGAGGTTAGTTTGGTGTAACTAAATAGGATAAGCGCGACACAATAAATTTCGAATTATGACTTCTTGCCGTATTTTTAGTGTTCAAATGGTCAACAACTCAGCTCGGAAGGGGTTTGTGTCCCCTGCCCACGAGGTACATACAGAACGCAAGGAATTCACCCTGCATGTGTCAGTTGTCCCCACGGTAAGGTCACAACCACGACTTCGGATTTTTGTTGGACATGCATTCACTAAACATCGAGTGCATTGTTTACGACTGTAGACTTCCATTCTCACGAAAAAAACACAGTAAACGATATGTCGAAACTCACATTTCTAAATGCGTTAAAATGTTTTCAGAACGAACGACTCAATCCACCGGAGCCACTAATGTGGATGATTGCACGCTACCAATTTGTCGACCAGGTACATACATACATCATCGCATTAATTGATATTAAATACGCATCACTCCCTTAACATTACTTTTAACCCCTTTAAAATTAAGGTTCCTACCTCAACACCACGGACAATAGATGCGTCCACTGCGAACGTGGAACTTACCAACCTGAAGAGCAACAGACAATCTGTATCGCTTGCCCAGCCGACACATCGACCAAACATACTGGATCGGTAATAATGACACACACATCTTTATCCCCAATTCATTCATTCACCTCTCCTGACAATACAATTTTAAGAAAAAAAGTCCCATTTTCTACGTGAGCCTCCATTTTTGAAAGCGAGTTCTGAACTGGAAGCGCGATAAATTCTCTAATTCTTAACGAGTTCTTTTCATCCGAGGAAATCAAGCGGAATACCTACTTTCCCGTCCATCAATCACGTTGATGATATAAGTATATGTTGCGACATATACGGGGAAAAGTGTTAATCCCATTTCTCCGGAGATCGAGTCTTCCTTCCTTCCTTCCTTGACAATAAAACGAAATGCTTTCTCCTTTTTTACAGACCAAGTACGAAGACTGCTCAAACCCTTGCAACGTCAACGGAGCTGAGACACATTGCGACACGAACGCTTTCTGCGTCCATGTCCCGGAGACTCATGACTTCCGATGCGAATGTAAGCCTGGATTTAACGGAACTGGAGACCTTTGTTTCGGTACTTACTTAACTGACACGATTTTTTTGCTACGTATTCTTGGAAAAATGTCATGCTAACTATGAATAATTAAATGTTCTCCAGACCTCTGCGAAGGCTTTTGTCATAACGAAGGGAAATGCAGTAAGGATAAAAAGGGCCAACCCTTTTGCACCTGTTCCGGCAGTTTTGTTGGAAAGCGGTGCATGGAAAAGTCTGACTTTGCTTATATTGCGGGTGGCATTGCGTCCATCGTGTTCGTCATCATTCTCTTGTTCCTCCTCATATGGATGATTTGTGTCAGGTATGTGCACGGCTTATCTTCACATAAACCTCGCATGCAAATGTGTATGTACATTTGCATGCATGGGAGATGAAGGAAGAGATTACGTAAACTAAGCTTCTTACCGTATGATTGATTAAAAATGTATGCTTTCTTAGATCTACGAAGAGAAAGGAACCCAAGAAATTGCTTGCTGCCTCCACAATCCCTGATCCCACGGTAAGTCGGTTACACAAGTCGTTGCATAAATCAGGAGGGTGTGTGGATGTTGTAATAAAATTGGTCATGTTCTTGTTCACTCATTAGGGTGGATCCCAAGTCAATTTTTACTACGGAGCACCAAGTGCAGCTCCGTACGCGGAAAGTATAGCGCCCTCCCATCATTCGACGTATGCTCATTATTACGACGACGAAGAGGATGGCTGGGATATGCCCAATTTTTATAATGAAACTTATATGAAAGGTATATACATACAGGGGATTATTTATGTTTAATGATCTGTAGTAAATCAGAGGTGATACGGTTTAATGAAATGTTTTCCATGAAATTGCAGAAGGATTCGGCAACGGCCAGTTAAATAGTTTAGCCAGATCCAACGCCAGTCTTTACGGAAATAAAGACGACCTTTATGACAGACTTCGCAGGTTTGTACATGCATAAATATTTTGCTTAATTAATAAAAATCCGACAATGTCCGTCCCATTAATGAATTGAGATTAAGCTTTAATTAATAAATACATGCATATTAAAGCATTTTTTTTCATATGAATTGCAGGCATGCTTACCAGGGGAAAAAAGGTGAGGAGGACTGTTAGCTCACTGAGTAAATCACTTTCTCTCTTTCTTTTATGCGAAACCTTTTGAAATCTTGCCTTTGCACGAATCATTCAAAATCTATATTTATTCATAAAACATTTCATAAATGTTTCGCTTATTTTATTTTTTATTTATTTAAAATGCACAAAATTTCAAATACTGTTTTATTTACTGTTTTCCTTCTTTCCAAATTTCAGAGAAGAACGGAAACGACACAACGAGCGATAGTGATGTTCAGTAATTTACATGAGCGTCCAATCAAAATCAACCTGCTTCAAAAGTCAAGTGTCCAGTCCAATTTCATACTTCAGTTTCAATGCAAATTATCTTTACGTTTATTAATTATTAATTTAACGAATGCTATATAATATGCTGTATTAGTGTATTATTTTATTGTTATTATTCTGCCAAATTGCCACATTTATTATAGAAGATACATACATAAAAATAGTACCGATTTCCCTCCTTGTTTTCAAAAGTATCCAATCTTTACTTAAGGAATTAGTAAATTTTCCAGACCATTGTTGTCATTACACGTTGGGGTTTCACTTTTAAATTTAATTATCCGTATTTATTTATTGATATGTTCACAATCAATTTACATACATAAATAGCTGCAATATTTACCTGTTCTCTTGTTCATAGATAAATACATATTAGATAAATATTAGCTAACTATTTACTCGTGGGATGGTTAACTGTTAGATAAGTAAACATATATTTGGGGATCTCTACATGTACTTTACACTTATTCGAATTCTAACATTTCAACAACACTAACCATTCATTAGTTAATTAGAGTTAATTATTCCGTATGTAAAAGAGCTCTGGGTTGCCATTTAAATAGTTAAGTTATACATAAATGCATGATTTTGAATGGTTGTTTTATTATTAGAATGGTTGTGCGAAAGTTTGATATTATGTAAAAAGTAGGTAACTAATTAATTAACTAATTAACTAACAGAGCCGTTATATATTATTATAATTATTATGCCTTATTTATTTATTAATACCGTTAAATAATTAACATTCCTGATGAAAGGATAGTATGAAAGAGTTGCTCAACTGTCTGATGGAGAATCGCATCTGATTTTCTTTCAGAAATCAAGCATGTGAACGAAACAGTTTCAAAATGTTAAGCTTAAAATTATATTCTTTTTTGTATTTTTGTACGAGTTAATTACTTAATTTAAAAATCACAACATCACGACGACGCAATTAATTAAACTGATAAGCTTAACGTGTACTGTATACTTATCCAATGTATGTAGGGGACATGTTTAAATACTAATTTTTAAGTCCATTTTGTGATGAATATGTCAGATAAGAGAGATGCGATGAGACCAGGAAAAAATGCAATGAAAACCAATCCATTCCATTGTGCCTAAATTAGTGGATAAGTTAATTTTATAGAATTATAGAATAGAAAAGGACCATCATAGAATTTTAATGCCGTCGATGACAATGACTTTGTTGCCTGTGTTTCATTTTTTAGTAGGAAAGAAGAGACATCATGACATGCGTACGTACGTATCAATTAACTAATATTGACCTTTTTATCTGTACTGTTGACTGTCAATTTACATACATTTGTAGTGTTTGTGACGCGTGGTAAAAGTAGGTACGTAGAGTTGTTGTTATAAAAATAGAACGCAACACTTGTTAATTGTACACGAAAAAATGAGATGAAATCAAATGAGTTTATTTATTACAAACAATAAAAATTTTGATAATGATGAATTTGTGGTTGAAGTATTGTTATTTTTGATGCGATATGTTTTTAGGAAGAGGAGAAAAATACCAAATCCATCCTAAAAATTTTAATAAGCATGAATTTGTGATCTATTATTCTCATCTTTTTTGATGTAGTCCGTTTTGGTTTTGGTTTATGAAGACGAGAAAAATGACCAAATGTAGCTTATCCATCCTTCATCATTCTCAGATTTGGGATCGGGTTGATTCGCATGCACGATGGGATGTTGAGTCTGAAAGAATTTTTAGCGTGTATGAATCAGAATGATAACTTCTTATCAATCTGTTGAACCACAGTCTCACCTTGCTTTCACCGGAAGCGAAAGCACTACTAGTTTGCACGGGTGCACCCGTGTTGAAAATCCCGTTCCCAAATCCTGGTCCTCGTCCTGCAGCGAAGAATGTTTCCTTGTTGCGACTACAATTGCAAGAATTTGAACAGTAGGAACCACCACCCGTAGGACAGAATCGTTTCATTGGTGGGGGTTGCGGTTGAGGTGTCGCCATTTGTTGAGGCTAAAAATTTGCGACATGTGAAATGTGTTTGTATGTATCAATTAAACCCACAGTGTATCCTTATTTAGCCCGAGTCAGGTTGTTATCAATAATTAAGGTGGGTTATGCCAGGACTACAACTTTCATATTTTTCGACAAATTTTTCTCGTCTTCAAACTTGATTCCTAAATGCACGTGCAAAATTGCGTGTGCAAAATTTCAAGACGATTGGATAAGTTTTGCGAGGGTGAATGATAGATAGACAGACAGGCAACCGTGATGGGTATATAAGCCCTGACTCCTAACTCGGGCTAATAAAAGTTAGATTTCTTTTTTACTGGCGTGTCTGGAAAGCTGGCCTTCCCATTAAAATTAGCTTTCACATTTTGGAGTGGACCCTTATTTGCAAGAGTGCCGTGACCTGGGATGAATTCAAAGTCGTTACAGTAGGTCACACTTTTGACCACAGTTGCAGTTCCAGGCGTGGGATGTAAGGATGGCTCTAGTCCTGACGACGGGGGTGAGGGGGCAGGTCGCTTTCGGTGCTTATCATTCTTCTTCTAACGATAAGCAGTATTTTTTACTTATGATTTGATAAATATGATTACTGATTTTTGTGATAAATATATTTTTACCCCCATTTTTTGCAGTGATGCTTTGCCTTGTATGTAAATCAATGCAGGTCAAAATGCAACTACAAAAAATTTGCAAAAGTTGACTCGTTTTATTCCCTCATATTTGGGCAATAAATAAATATTTGTTGTATTGACCTTTGGAATGTCAATTAATCTGAGTAAATTGTCATGCTGCACTCTTGTAATATTTACAAAATTATACATATTAAGTATGTCACATGATACCAGACTAATATTTTAGCAGGATTATCTGTAACTGTGATATAGTCAATGCGCATCAACCTAATCCTTAATCCGTAATTATAACTGAAAAATGTTACATTTGGACTTTTTAATGCCGAGTTATTAGACCCAAAATTGAAAATGATTCATGAATTTGCTATACATTTTGCTAAATTTAAACACCGTATCATTTATTACTTATAAAATAACATAATATTTTACATTACAGGTCGTTAATTTGTCCTGGCGTAATGAATTGACACTCGTATTTTTCATAATACTTGTAATACTTTTGAATAAAAATTGATAATAACAACATTTAGAGTATTTATATACACAGTTTATAACAAAAGGAAGCAAGTGCTGATTGTTGAAAAACTTTTTGTACATACATAAAAAATCTCAAAAAACTCTTCTCTCCTGAAATAAAATATGATCCATCTTCTGAGATAATTAATTAAGTTAATGTCATGCCGTCACTTACAATGGAGGTCTTCCAACGTATGCTCACAGATTTGGACCAAACTAGTGTCAATCGATCACAAATATAATTAGCATGAAATTTGCAAATGGAACTATCTGCCAATGCGCAGGTTTGGCGGAGATATTTGCATCCAAAGCAGAAAAAATGCGCAGGAAATTTGGAAAATGAAAAATATGCCAGCCTTTTGGTGCGTTTTCTCCTCTTTTTATGCAAATATCTCCGCCAAACCTGCGCATTGGCAGATAGTTCCATTTGCAAATTTCATACTAATTATATTTGTGATCGATTGACACTAATTTCGTCCAAATCTGTGAGCATACGTTGGGAGACCTCCATTGTTAGTTAAGAGAGATTCTTCTGATTAGTTGGATTGTGCTCGTCTCACTTTTGCCTTAATTTTACTCAAACACGAACAACCACCTCGTTCCTCCTAATGATCACTCGAAAGGTGAAAGTAGTCCATCCAGCGTTCAGTTGATGTTGAGAAGAGGTGCGACGAGGATTGGGAATATGATGGCGAGAACACTTGTGGTGAACGTGATGAGAATTTGAGGGCTGGTGGTGATAGAGAAAGCTCCATTGCAGCCATTTCCTGTGCATGTGTAAATGCAAGATCGATACTCCAATTGATCTCCGGGACGCTTTATGAAATCGCAGTAATTGCCGAGGTCACGGGAAGAGCAGAAACGACGGGTTCCAAGGCTTCCTACATAGGCAGGTGTCAGTTTAGCGTGAAACAACTTTATACGAAGGTACGTAAATAGTACAGCAAAGCCCGATTGAAAAAAGTTGCAAATGTTTCAGTAAACAGAATATCCAACAAATAAAAAGCGTTAATGTATGACTCGATGACTCATCGTAAAAATCTGAAAGTTTTTAATAATTTCTTGGCTCTGGAAATTTATTTTATAATTCTGGACAACAAATTAGTAGGACAGATCGTTACCAATTTTCTAAAAATATGCACTCCAGATTTTGACAGTTTTTGAAGGGGGAGATCTCAAGAAGCCTTTAGAAAAATTGGAACTAATCAAAATAACTCACGGCCATTCTATTAATCAACTTACTGGACACAAATTTATCGTTCAGATTTCGTGGAATTTCAAAATAAATTCCCAGAGCCGAGAAATAATTAAAAATACACTGATGAGCCATCGAGACATGCGTTAAAATATTTAGAGAAAGAGTTTTAAAGTCAACCTGCCCACATCCCTTCAGCTTTTATGCAATATTGAGCATCGAAAACGTTCTTGCAAGATGTCACACTTCCCAAAAGCGTGGGATCAGAGCAGCCCAAATCATCTCCGGAGTCTGTCTCGTCACACACGAAACATTCGAGATCTGACGCGTTGGCGAGGAACGCCGTGTTTCTGGATCCCCAACCTTCCTCAGAAATCAGGAAGAAGGAGAAAGCAAGAAATGAAAAGAATCAGTAACACACAGTTTGTAACCAACCATCATTTTCTGGTATTATTGAGGAGAATACGGTCTCCTCGAACACTTGCCATACTTGAGCAACTCAATTTTCCCGAATAAATTGAATTTGATGTGATTCAAATAATAAATCTAGGGCTTGGTATGCAATTACTCCTTATTTTTGGATATGCTGATCGGTGAAAGCTTTGAGCACAAGGTAGACGGAAGGAAGGAAAAGGTGAACCTGTATTCGGACAGAATTGGAAATGAAAAAAAAAGAAAGAAATTGAATTGTAATGCAACCGAAATGAAATGAACGTTGGGATTGAGAGATGAAAGGGATCAAAGCAGAGTGGATGGATTTACCGTGATTTTACAAAGTTACATGGAATCCAGTATTCCTTAAATAATTTCGTCCGTATTCTACGCCCTTAGTGAAAAAAATAGAGATGTGATATCCACGTCAAAATAAAAGATCATGGGGATGAAACGATGTAAATGGTTAACTTGTAGTTTCACATTTCAGTGAAATGATTTCACTGTCCGTTAATACAAATAAAAATATACAACTTGCGCAGTTATTCAGTGGTGGCCGACTGGTCATCACACTGTGCTTCAAGCCGAATGGAGGTTCTGGGTTCAATTCCCAGTACTGGCAGAGAGTTTTTTCCCTTGTGGTTTTCCTCTCTGACTTGTTGCACAGGTCTGTGCGGTGTCCATTGCACTACGGGCACCATAGTTAGGAACCTGTGACCATCTATTTCTCACTTATGTGAGGTTTGGTTCACTTGTAATTCAAATGTAATGGCTAAAATTGGGAATCAATAAAGACGACCTTTTTTTTTATTCAAAACCAGTGGCCGCGGAAGCGTGGGGATCACGTCCCCATTGTTTGCGATATCCTCAACGCCTGCCCATGTTATAAACCCCTCCTTTTCCTATAATGTTAATGTCCCCACAGCCTCCGCGGCATTGCTAAAAAGTCTTTCACATTTCGTGAGGAAATTGAATATTACCACAGCGAGTGAATTAGATTAGTAGATTAACTGAATTAAGTATCCCGTCTTTCACTTCTATACCAGATTTGCACTATAACTGCACAAATATCCACCATTACATTTAATTAACCAACTTCTTAACCAAATTAAGATTTTCTGACTACGTTGACATGTTCAAACACACAAGACTTTGCAGCAGAAACACGTATCCAGCCAATGTCCCCGGGACTGACGGATAAACTAATTTGCATGCAGGCAGAGAGCCTCCGAATTTTACATAAAAGCTTTTAGAGCAAAGCGGACAGAATATGCCACGACGATAATCGTGGGAGTATCAACAAGCACGGATGCATCATACCGCCTTCAACACCTGTCGTTTTGACACAATACGTCGCCTCGTAAAGGGACGATCCACAATCCTTCAACTCCACGATGTCCTCGTCGTCACTGCTCATCGCTTCGGGACAAAAATTGTCATCCACGCTAGAGCATTCAAAGCAACTTATAGCGTGGGAGACTGCAAATAAAAAAAATTAGACGGAACAAATAAACAAAATTATAAAACAGTACAACAAACAAACAAATTACGATGCAAACAAAATGGTTTCAGGCGATAAAATAATGTGAAAATTGTATTTAGCTGTCACTCAAATGCCATTCAAATGGTGAGTTGATGATGATTCCCTTCAGTTACAGAACGCCGTAGGGAAAACTAACAATTTTGTTAGTGCGAAGAACCACAAACCAGAATGCGCTTATATGGACATTTAAACTGTTAGAAATCTGATATAGTCATGCAGGTATTGATTTCTCGGTGTTAAGGTTGCTTAATACTGCTTGGTAATAAAATTATACGGGTCAGTAAAAATTTGCTACCGATACGGTAAAACTTTAACACTGGGATATTACTATACAGTATTATGAGTCGTATGAATACCGCTTGGTATTATTTTAATACTGGATTTCTTAGAGTGTATGGACTCTGGGGATAAATGTGCGAAAAATAAGCAGTGCTAATATTGACTGCGTGCATGTCTTTTTCCTCTTTAGGATCACTTTGTCGGGCTGTCATTCATGGGTAGAATCAAGACCACGAAAATGCCAGGCGGAGTGACGGTTCATTCTGTTGTCGGGTTTTAGATCTACTTATCAGACCGAGGAAAAGTTTAATCTCAATCATTCGGCCATAGCTGATGGATCAAATTCTGCAACTATCAGATATACTTCGTAGTTCGTACCGTGTTACTGTCAAAACTAGACATAAATACTTTCCTGAAACCAAATCCCTCAAAGCTAACAAATGACACAAAAATAGGGGGAAAACTCAATACGTACAAATACGTATGTCTATAGTATACTTTAACATATCTATCCAATGGAGGTCTCCCAGTGTATGTTCTTAGATTTTGACCAAACTAGTCTCAATCCATCACAAATTTAATTAGTGTGAAATTGCAAATGACACGATCTGCCCATGCGAAGGTTTGGCAGAGATATTCGCATGCGAAAAGGAGAAAATGGGTATTAAATTTGGAAAGTGTAAACTTTGTCAACTTTAGGGCGTGTTTTCTTCTCTCCGGATGCAAATACGATCAACTCTACACCTGAGCATTAGCAGATAGCGTCTTTTCCAAATTTCATACTAATCAAATTTTCGATCGATTGACACTAATTTACTCAAAATCGGAGAGCATACCTTGGGAGATCTCCATCGTACCTTGAAGTCGATACTTTTAATACGGAAACGAGAAAAGGCAAGTTCTCAAATATGCGAAAGGCAACTCCTCACGGGGAATATCTTATTCCGTCCTCGTTACTCCTCTGAAAGGTTTGGTTTTATTATCGAGTTTAGTGAGTGAAAGTAGGAGAAAGAGGACCACGTCCATTACCGTGGGTCGCGTTGGGTCAGCAAAAAATAAATTTGTGGTCCCATTATTGAGTTTAATCCCGTATTTCCATTCCATTTTCCATCTACGATGAAAACCAGTATGACGATGGCAAATATACATATATGAACTAAATATTTAGGTTCTGATGCATTAATATATACGCTTTTAGTCAGTCCTTGAGTTCTGTCTGAGTAAATGCTTTTGTTATTGCAAATGGGACGAATCCCGTGAAGCCACTCATTTATTTCTATCGTTCAATAGTCCCTTGTATCAATAAAAGATAGATACGTAGTGAGATGAGAAATAGACTATTTCATGATGATGAGGAAGAGACACGCAGGTTTATTTGAGTCACAAATGAATTTCTTGGTGTGCATGAATTTGGAAATTTATGAGACTTCAGGAATATAAAGTAATCGTATGAATTAATGAAGTTGCCAATTTATGAGGCTTGAGTAACACATTAATTTGCACATACCTGTCATTGTTGCAAATAAAAGAAAGAGTATCATCATCATGGTTCGTTGTAATTTATGGCTGATCCCCATCTTGATTGTTTCCGGTTAACTTTCACCCAGTTTTAGAGAAATATTTAATACCACATAAACTACTTTAACGAGATCAATTTCAGTTGAAATTCACTTCTTGCGTTTGATTCAAGTCATCCAGCTTGGTGAAGTTATTTTCTCCACGGAAAATTGAAGAATGCAACTGCTGATTATTCGCATGTAGAAGTGCAGTGTCCAGCTATCTGGAAATATAAATAGTCAATTCAATCCTGCGCAAACGTGGTTCAGTTAAGGGTAAATAATTCCCTAGTTAAACACAATGCGAAATATCGAGAATTTTCTTTGTCTCGTTTTCCTAGTGGAGAAAGCTGAAGGTCTGCTCGGGAGAAAAGTTGGCTTGCTTCTGCCAAGCTAGGATTCTCATCAGCCCAATTTACTGGGATTTTCTATTTTCTACCCATTTCAGTCACGAGCACTACGACTACGACAGAAGTGTAAATCTAGGGTAGTACGGTAACTAATACAACAATGTAGGTTAACAAAAGTCAACAATTTCTTACAAAAAAAAATTGTAGAAAGGTTGGAGTTTTAAATAAATTGTAAAATTTCTTGAAAAATTATTCCTCAAACTTATCAACAATTTCCATTTTGATAGGATTTTATTGTTGCATATTTTCTCATATTTTTTACTCTTTCCACAAATTGTTACAGATTATCTAACCATATAAAAAATAATAAAATATAATAATTATTTTTAACGGCGTTAAAAACACTGCAATTGTGAAAACTATATCAGAAACCTGAGAATGTGTCTTGTTTTTTCTCACTTTCGCTTGAATCTCAGCCCATCATCGGGTATCGTATCACCTACATATCTACTACCCGGTTTTACTCACTAAACCATCCCTGCTCTTACTATGAGGAGAAAATCCTTGGAGAAAGTAATAAATATCTACCTGTGTCAATTTCAAGGCAACTTGACACACTAAAGTTTCTCCATTTTGTTTGACTTTTTTGACTCCCTAAAACTTTGCGATGGTTTAACCTCGGTACCCAAATTCTATTTATAATGCGTGCTTTACTTTGTGCAAAGGTGACAATTTTACAATCCTACAAGATATTTATGTAATGATTTTAACTGAAAATTTAATAAAAATTCTTGATTTTCTTTACCAAATCTTTCTCAAAATTTGAATCCAATTTTGTAAAAATAGAATTTTGTAAAACACTTGAAGTAAACACGTACTGGACAAGACGGTCTAAACTTTTATGCTCACATTTCTCAATGTTTGGCATTTCGCTATCAACGATATAAGAGCAAAACAGTGCCGAGTTTATAGCGTGGTAGAGCTGCGGTTAGACCGGTGGAGGGGACGCACCTTGCATTTTATTATTAGTCATACTGGGACTAATGCAAAGCTGTTGTAACTAAATCCTAACTGCTAAAGTATACGTATGCCCAGTAAAAAACGAAAGGAAGGGGTTTGCAACTTAATACCATAATGTATTGCGTTGCATGACTTTTGTTACCTGGCTGACACCCGTTCCAACCCAACCAACAAGTACATACACTTTACATACTGGGTTCGTATTATGGAGCAGGTGGTTCATTGAAAATGTCTCGTTTGATAGTTCCACATATGTAAATGAACAAGGATTGTTTATGAATTAAATTCGGTTTGTGTTCTCGATTTTTTAAATCAATTAATAGACTTTCTCTTACAAGAAGTGTTTCGTTTTGAACGTCCAAAACTTCTTTTGGGCTAGACAGACACAGTCCAATACAGTCGAAAACTGCAAAAAATAACTTTGGACATCCAAATTGTCCAAAAGCGCCCAACAAAATGGCACTAAATGTTGCAAGTCTTTATTGACCACATTTCTGCAAATCTATGTATGAATATGTCATCCTTGATTTGGAGCATTTTGGTGTTTAGAAAATACCATGAAATTTGTAAACATTTTTTTTCACACGTTTTCTTGAGAAATTACGGAATTTAGTAAACCATGCGAATTACAGACCTTAATGCTCAAAATTAGGGTGAGTGTACATCCACGTCAGCGGATTATCGAAACGTACAATAATTGTAACATTTTGTATTTTTAACACTTTTGGATAGTTTGGACGCCTAAATTTAGATGTCTATCCAAAATTTAGACAGTAAGCGAAACCCTGTTTACAAGTTTGAGCTATGCAAAGATGTTTACATATGGGAAATAATGATACTCATTTTCATACACTTTATTGCATCTAAATTAACCTACACTGCTAGGAAAAGGGTTTAAATCACTGTTCCCTCTCGTGCTTCCGACAGCATTATGAGAAACTCCATTACTTATGGTGACCCCGACCCCGCTTTCACTGCCCGGAGGTTGGTTAACATCTCGAAACACGATACCAGCCAAGTGATCAATCACTTTCTTCTGCAGTTGCATTTTCCACGCGAGAAATCCAAGACCCGTCAGGAGCGTGAGAATTGTGAGGACAAGAAGAGTAATTCCCACGCCGCCAAGACCGGAACTTGGTTCTGTGAATGTTGGACAAATTTTAAAAAATCGGTCAATACTTTTCAAATTTTAAGCGTTTGCAATTGTAAATTTTAAGCACCTTCGACATAAACCATAAAACGCTTCTCGTCCGAACCCCCGAAATTTGCAGCTATGCATCTGTAGTCGCCTTGGACATCGTGCGAGACGCGATGGATGATCAGCGTGGAGGTTCCATTTAAGCGTTTGAATGATATATTGTTTTCATGGATGATCGTCTAAAAAATGCAGATTATTACATAACTGGTGATTGTGTACAATGGCCGCGGGAGTGTGGGGACAGAGGGACAATGTCCCCACGGTTATTCGATGTCAACATCATCTGCCCATGTTATATAATCCCCTTCTTCCCCTATCATACAATGTTAATGTCCCCTGATGTCCCCACGCCTTCCGCGGCCACTGGTTGTGCAACATATTTGGATTTATAAAATTCACCTTGTTGTTTTTCTTCCATTTAATTCCCGGAGGAGGCGAACCACTAACTTTGCATTCCAGAATTTGCTCCGTGGAATTTAATTTCCACTGAAATTCCTCCATTTCCGGGTGGAAAAAGTGGGGGCGTCGCGTCTCTTAAATGTGTAATGAAGATAATATGCAAATACATATTTCGAATAATATTAATTATTAAAATGCGTACCTTGCACATCCATAAGAAGGGATTTGTTAACCCATCGCGTGTCATTCCAGACGGGGACGAAACAAATGACCTCCGTCATCTCGCGGACAGCTTTAACCCGAAGATTTTGAAAGGACACGGAATTTGTATCGTAAACATCCAACATTCCGGGAACTTTGTTATTTGCTTGATTTTGACGACATATTAAGAAATGTTGCAGATTAATTTAAAATATAATTTCGAAAAGATAGCAATTAGTCGTCTGGTGGGTTTGGACGTCCAAAATCTACTGTTAAGTTATATACTAATCTAAGGTTAAGTCCAAAAGCTTCTAACAAAAATGTGGCAACATGTTACAAGTTCCTTATCAGCGACTTTTTTTGCTAATCTAAACATGCACAGATATGTAATTTCCCATTACTTTTGAGAATTTTGGTTGGTGTGTAATACCGGAAAAACTTTGGTTTTGTTATGTTTTCTTATGAGAAATTAGATAATTTTCTAAACCATGCCGTATTATTTTCTATTTTGGCCACTTTTTTTACGCTTGGACATTTTGGACTTTCAAAATTTGGTGTCCAAAAATAGTTTTGGACAGAGGTCAAACCCGCAGCGAAATACTGCTTGTACACATACACGGAGGTGGGAAGAATTGAAGGGTCTGATTTTTCCACCGGATAGCCCATTGAATCCCCTCCGCAAAAAAATTGAAGGCCGTGTCGCACGATATTGTCAAATTTTGACGCTCATAAATTGAACCTCGAGTCGTTGCAGATATTTCCACCATATTCTCAGGTGCTATTTCGTTCCAGTTGAAGTCTGTAAAATTTTTGGCGAATTTTTTTACTCATAAATTTGTAGGTAGTGTCGTCCTCTACAATTAATTGTCTTACATAAATTAGCCGTGTAATTATTCTTCTTGGTGGGCAAATCTGAGTAAAATGTGCGAATCAGGTCGACCCCGTCCCCCAAACAGCGCAACATTCCCGAATCCTTAGTGTAAATCCGTTCCGATGTGCAACTCCGGTTACGGTTGCGTCTTCCATTGTTAACGATCTTGCATGAAGAAAATTAAATTAGATAAGTTGTACAGAATTTAAATTGATAGCCTGACTCACAGTGTGCAATTGATGACGGCGAAGTTGACATGAAAAATTTTCCACGCAAAAAATCGTATGAAGCTTGGGTGCTTTTGAAGTATTGGAGCAGCAAATTATTTCTTGCGACGTTTTATTAAATATAATAGTGGCGTTTCCATCCATCGTGTTATTAAAGTCGACATCGGGGTCCTTAATACCTTCGAATTTAATGTAGAGATTCAACTTATGGACTAATTACGAAAAAAATGTGGAGTGTAGTGTTTATATTTCACCTTTTTTGACGCTCATGACCAACGCCTCATCTTCGTCGTCCCCAACGGCACATCGAAAACGGCCATATGCTCCACTGTACTGGTAGAGATTTACTCGGAAGCCAATTTTGGGGTTGAATTTTATAAATGGGCTTTTCACGAGGACCCATTCCTGCATTTAGGAGTAAAATGTTATACGCGATAAGCAATCCCAGAAAATTGACCGTTTTTCGGGTCCATGTAACCATTTGAAAGTAATAACGGCAATACTGTGGTTTCTTGCGTATTTTGACCTGCAAGAAATGAAAGGCGCAAGAAACTGGGCCCCGCCGCTATTCATACGGCGCGTGGCTGGATGGCGCATATTTCGTGCACTTTCTCCCAGTTTCTTGCACCTCACATTTCTTGCGTTGCAGTGCAAAAAATGCAGCAAAGAAACTAAACCCAGTAAATTGAGTGCTTATTACACAAAAATTCGACCTACGGAATTAACTTCGCGATATAAATTGACGGTGACATCAGGCCTGGAAACGCGACATGGAAGGATCAAATAGTGCCCATCTTTAGACTGAGGTTCAACTTCTTTTCCTCCCAAGACAAGGTTTGACGGATTACTGCCTACATCAATTTGGAGATTAAATACATAATTCGTCATTTTTGCTGCAAAAATTTGACGCACCTTGCCAGTACACGTAAATGCTCTTGATCACATCATCCGGAAACTCGACACTGACACAGCTATAGTTTCCACTGATGGCACTTTGGTCTCCGTACAAGTCCAGGGACGAAATGAAGGTGTTACTTCTGGTGTTATAAATGTCCGGGTTTGTTCGGAAATATCGGACCCTCGTGTAAAATGAAGGGTAGTCCGAGTCTGACTGGTATTTTCATGTAAAAATGTAAAGAGATTTACATTCTCGTTAGTATATAAATAGTTAATATAGGACTCGATGTCTTGTAACCAAAATCGTCAAAATCAACACGTCTTTAATCATTTTTTGGTTTTAGGAATTTATTTTAAAATTCTGGACGACAAATTTGTAATCAATAAGTTGATTAATAGAATCGCAGTGATTTTTTAAGCGTTTCAATGAGTTTTAATTTTTCTGAAGGCGTCCTTAACCTTGAGATCTCCTCCTTTAAAAACTATCAAAATCTGGGGTGTACATTTTTTTAAATCGCAACGACTTGCTCCATAAATTAGTCGTTCAGAAATTTAAATAAATTCCTGTGTCGAGAAATGATTAAAACTGTGCTGATTTTGACAATAAGTCATTGAGTCCTACATTAAACTTAAATTTACAAAGAAATCGCACCTGATAAAACGAAACCCATTGGACAGGATACGTCGCATTGCATTCAAATCCTAATCCAGTAATTTGCGGAGAAACGATGAACGTTTGACCCTGGTCTAAAATGGACAAATAATTTGAAGTCATATTTTCAAAGTCGGTCCTCCAATGTCCACCCATGTTGTGGTCTTCCTGGTCCATTTCTAACCATCTTGCCAACCCGATGCGAGGATACTCTTGGGGCCACCATCCCTCCGCCAAAGTAAACAAAAAACTCACAATAAAGGCGAAATAATTTAAGGAATTTGATGGCAAAAGTAGTTTTGACATGGTATTATTTATGTTGCGAATTTGTTCAGAATATGTAAATATACGCAGCACCAGCCATAAATATCTACGAGCTGGTCACATTTGTGCCTTACTTATTCAACGCTGCGTTATTCGGAGATAAAATAATGGACATCTTAATTATCTGGAGGAGTGATTACTATTATTTTTACCATCATCAACCATTCCATTATAATCCCATTAACTATGCAATGTCCAAATCACGGTATAATGGGTCCGATGCGCTTGTTCGTATACTGCAACTTAATCTAACCTTATAATCCGACATACCTTTGTTATGCAAATGTAAAAAAAAGCTGCTTTGATTTAATTTTGGTTTGTCATGATTTTCGCTGTTAACTAAGGAGTTTATGGTGGATCGTTATTTTCATGAAACGGAAGTCGCCTTTGCACGGTGACAGGAGGCACATAAAAAGGCAGATTGGTGGTGAATATATATAAGGATGCGTGGGTATAGGATCAAATATGCTATTATTAAGTGGCGTCAGCCGCTTAATGCGATCATTTTGTCCGTCCGTCTGTCCGTTTATGCTTTAGTGGGCACTGCAGGATATCTCCACGAACGATTTCAAACCCGGTTTTCGCGATTATGCCTCTAACTTTTAGTTCTCGGTCGAGTTCGATAATGTGACCATTGGGAGAGCGCTGTCCAAAATTCAATTTAGCCTAATTTCATATGGGATGCCATTTTAAAGAAAATTTCACCACAAAATCAACCCCGTCAGTATTTTTGATCTCTGACAAACCCATGACCGTTAGGCCGAGGTCAAATAAATCACATAATTTTCATGTAGTGTCATTTTACTGTATGACTATGACGCCACTTTTATATGTTCGTTTGAGATGGTTAATATTATTTTTGCAGATTCACAAGTTTTGCATGCGCCGATTTTATGTTAAAAATTAAGACTAATGCAATTTACCATTCATTTTTCTACACTTTTTATTCCTGGCTGATCTGGTTTTCACAGCTTTGAGCTAACTTTTGTAGCGTTATATAATCCATTTGAACTTCATAAATTGGTTCATGTACCCACCCGTTCAAGTGCCCGAATCAATTATTTATATTTTAGGACAAACATAAAACCTGAAGACTTGATACATTCCATTATCAATTACTTATCTAAAACACATATTTATGACAGACACAATTAATTATTCTGTAAATTAACAAATTGACTAATAAATATTTATAATTGGAATAAACTTTTTAATTTCTTGTTCATATATTACGTACAAAAATTGAAGTAATTTCATTAAATGATATTAATTTATACAGTAACGATTCAAGGTAGACAATTAATTCAGTGCCCGAGTTTGATTGGTCATTTCGCTGTGTGGAAGAATGTATTAGCTGGATTTGCATTCATCATCAGTTCCAAAAATATTTGATTGATAATTGCCATTCTTTGACTAATATTTAATATTTGATAATTGATCTTTGACTAATATTTACTAATAAATTCTATCAGTTGCACTGTACTGCGACTATTTTGGAGAGAGACGACATTGCAGTTGTGTAATGATAGACTCGTATTTTTACGATTGTACTGCCTTATAATTATGAAATATTATATATAGTTTTCTATCAGTTTTAGAATTTAGGACCAAATTTTTGGTGACTATTGTTTTGTGAAAGGCTCATAAATCACGAATTTGCCAATAGTTTGTGTGAGCTTTAATAATTTATTGTTTCGGTTTTGGTAGACTATTTATTAGTCAATTGTTTCTTCAGGACGACTATTTTTTAAATGCTATGCTAACTTTTTGACAAAATAGTTTGACTACTGTTTCGAAAATACCCATTTATCGAAATGCCACATTTGTCACAATGGTGATCAGACATTTGTTTCATAGGATATAGATCTGTTTCATGCAAGTATTTACACATAGCATAACTAAACCAGTTAATTACTTGGTTGTTCTGTTTCAATATCTACAATGGTACTAAAATACAGTTGGTTAATGCTGACAATTATTTATCTGTGTGCATTATCCATCACGTGAGGATCGATTATATATAAAAATCTAGTTCAGACTATGTGATAATTTCTTTAGAAGACCAGTATATTCATATACATATAGATTTTTGTCAGTAAATATTTGCTGCCTATAGAAATAAATCTACTCCAGTTTTTGACGTTTTAATTAGTTTTGACGATGAGTTTTAAATGTGTTGGCCTTAAATAAAAATTTAATTTTGCACAAGTTTGTCGCAAACTTGTGCAAAATTAAATTTTTAAGCAATTTTGAACTCACATATAAATTTTGGGTGCAATGGTATAAATTCCAACGAAATAAAAAATTATAAATTCATAATTTATGGGCCAACTTGTCTATAAGTTGATTTCTGTCTCGTTTACACATTTGTCTAAAAAAATTAAAAGAATTTATAATTTTTGTATTTATTTTACCTTGTACCATTTCATCCCAAATTGATCTGAAAGTCTAAAAATGCTTAAAAATTCAATTTTCCACAAGTTGGTACTAATTATACTGCATTAAAGGCCAACTCATCTTCACCCATTGAAAACTCATCATCAACACTAATTTTAACACTTAAACTAATTAAAGATATTTAATATGGCACATGCCAAGTCTCTCTAGTACAGATACGTACATATCTGATTAATTACGGGTTGGTATGGTAGACTATGTAAATAATTGTGGTTGACTAGATTCAGCAATTAAAATCCTTTAACGCCAAAGGAGCTACGGAGCCATTCGAATGACACCCAAAACGTGAGAGACCACGGTCCCAGTCGCATCCAGATGGGAAGGAATCCTTTATACAGAGCAAAGAAGCCTTCGTTCTTGACCGTTTTTTGGAGGCAGTCCATCGAATTCTTGTAATACAACCCCACCCCGTTTTCTGTAGGTTGGTTCATAATTCGGGTTTTGACGACATCCGCTGGCGTCCCCATAATCGTTGCGGTGAGTCCGGCCAACAAACTGTAAAGGACATTATCAAAATATTATTATTTTAAATAGTAAAAAACTGAATTTAACGCAGAACTCGGTGACTTATCGCTAAAATCGTCAAAATCAATAGTACATTTTTAATAATTTCTCGGCTCTGGTGAAGGGTTCTTAAATTTGAGATCTCCTTCAGAAACTGTCAAAATTAGAGTTTATATAGTTTTAAAAAATTGGCAACCCCCTGCTTACCAAATTTTTTCTTCAGACTTTTAAAATAAATTCTCGGAGCCGAGAAAATATTAAAATGTTCTGATTTCGACGATTTTAGCGGGGAGTCATTAATTTCTGAAAATTATATTAAACGCACCTGGACAAAATGTGCACTCCAGTGCCATCCTTCATATTTGTATTTCTTAAAAGAAACCGTTTAGCTGAGTCGTACGTCGTCAAATCGCCCAAATTCACCAGAGCACCTCGTTGCACGTTGGGGACCCAGCCACGCCACAATCCCCGGATGCCACCCTCCTTCCAGATTTTGGTCAATGCTTCAAACACCCCTTTGACCCTGGGTGGCTTCCCTTCTAAACGGAGACGGCCTTCCATTTGCAACTGAACTTTAACCAGATCCATTGGGTTAGCTGTGAATTGGGCGAATCCACCCACAATCAGACCAGTGAGTGCTGCCTGCAATTTTATCAGGGCATTATTTAGTCAAACTTATCCGCTTACTTGAACATATTCACTTATCAAAAACGTGTAAGCATATACTTTATGAATGGGGTATGACCCGTCTGGTTCCCTGCCAAAAATATCATCCCGAATTTTTTCGTATAATGCCATCCTTATCCCGGAGTAAATGACGTGTCGGTAAAGTGCTGGTGAAAGTCCGCTCCACAAATGCAAAAATCCCTCTAATTAATCAGCAAATTTTCGCAATTTCATACATAGTTAATAAATGAAGCATATATGTGTTGGTTAAAATATGTAAATTAATAAATGCACATAATAAACCTACCTCCTTTAATAACTCCTAACGCAGTTCGTACCATTCCTATGCGTTGCTGTGGGTTTGGCAGTCCGGTCTTGGACTTTTGCAACTCGCCAGCTATTTGAAGTATAAAATATTCATTTTCTTAATAATTGGCCAGATTTTGTAATTTTTTATTTATTTTACCAATTTGCATCCGAGTTTTTGTCAGGTCCAAAGGATAAGTTACTGAAAGTGATGAAAACAAATTAAAACATGATATTTTTTTAGTATGAAAAAAAGCATGCAAAATAATCACCAATTAAGTTCACTTTTTCATGAAATTTCATAACTTTTTTCATAAACTTTTATTTTCTTCCAAATTTTCATTCTTATTCAACGTATCAAAAAAAATAATATCTTTCCACTCAACAAATTCACAAAAATCTCCGTTTAGAAAAACTTTCATACTTAAAAATTAATCATACTGAATTAAAATTTAAAACCAATGACGTGAAAGTTTACCTGTTTCTGCCATAGCCGCAGCCATAAACGCTATGCAATATTTTTGCAAAAAGTCCCATCCTGGCGTGTTATCCTTCAACTTGTCTTCATGAACGATTAACATCGGCATTGCTAAATAATTCGGTGACAGACAAATAATTTTCTTAAGATTGTTTCTTCCCCCTAATTATGGAGCACTTTCACTTTTAAGCACGGAACCATAAATACAACTGACCACTGAAAGAACGGGCCTTCCTCAATAAATCAAGTATCATGTTGCACGAAGATAAATCGATAATTTAATTCCTACTTTAGGATTGCGTGGAGAGTGCTCGTGGAGTTAAATAATAATGGCATGGCATGACATAACTCTAGCAAAGATGATGGAAATTATAATTATATCATCTATTGATCGATCCTTCTAATTTTGGAACTAAATAAGCAAGCAGCTGAGTGAGAGAGTTGCCAGATTGAAAAATTGAGTTATCTCCGACCTCTTGCTAACAACGAAGGATAAGGTGTGAAATGTGTTTAATAGCGAAAAACGATGTCTTTATTATCAGAAATGAGATACAAATGAAACTTGTAATAAAGTAAACAGGCTATAAAGAAGATATAAAAATAACAGTAAAATCAATAAAGTACTTGCAAATGCATATTATAATTAGCCTAGTATTGAAATCCAGAAATTTGATCACCACTTAAAAAGTTTGTCAGTTTAGCAACTATTATTTTGTGTAATGAAACAGATGAGTTAGTAATAAGCTACCACTGTTATATTAGTATTAAGCTGTTATATGTACTACTTCTTCTGCTGGGTCGAGTGATAATAAGGTTGTTAGTTAGTATTAGTTTTAATGCTAGAAACCCTGTTAATACGTGTGCAACCACCGATAAAACTAAACGTGTAGTGTTCATGGTTCGAGTTGTGTGAGTATGTGTGCAAAAATCTTATGCAATAATATTTCGCGTAAGTGTAACGTATCCCGGATAGGTTTGGGATATATATTGCATTCAAGTTTGAACAAGTTTTACCTCGGGATTTTCTCCTGGTGGTTGTCTCCTCCGAGAAAATATCGGCTTTCCCCGATTCGGGGGATGGCGTAAAAATGTGCATGATGGTTACGACGATAACTAACTACGTGGGTGGGTGTACTTTCTCGGTTAAACTTTCACCAGAATTTTATATATCACCACACGAAATCAATAGCTTTTAGCTTTACTTCGATAACGAACCAATTTGTTGCTACATTATTTATCCTTGTAAAACATGCCAGTGACGCAAATCCATGCATCGAATAGAATTTATTATTAGAGATCAATAACCATTATATTACAGTTCAATCAATCGCAGATAAGTGATGAATTGGCGACGGCACAAGTCTTAATGGCTTATTTATTCTTAAACTCTTTCTAAACAATAATACATAACTTATGTTTAGGAAGAAAGAAACTGGAATAAACTGGTTTAAAAAAGTTAACCCCTCGCAAGTTCTTCTTAAGAGAAGACCCTTCCTCATTTAATGCTCCTTATAACCTCAATCCCAAAAATATTTTTGGTTTCATTCTATCCAACTATAACCAAGTAACTGTCACCAACACATGTCTGGACTGGAGATTGTGTGAATGTGAACAGAATTTTAACCGATTTTCCCAACTTCTTTCTTATGTTTAACAAAGACCAAATAAAAGTAAACAAAGAGAAACAAACCGTAGCAAGGAGAACCAGAGAGGATTTATATATGTAATTGCATAACAAGGGATACAGTAAGTAACTAAACGATACAAAAATAATATAAGCTTGTATATACATATGTACAACAAGCAATAAATAAAGCAAGCAGTTGGATTGGATTGACCATGTTTATAAACATTACAAAATAAATACATACATGAGAAATATTTAAGACGAGAGTTGACTGCACGGTTAAATGTTGTGGTAGTTAGATTATAAGAACCAGATCTGGTATATACCTAGTGCATTAATCATGTTCAGGTGCACAAATGCTGCTGCAATTTGCATAAATGTTGCTTCACTGCCTGCAATCTGCTGGATTATCCATAACATAAATATGTACATATTTATCTACTACTTGTACATACAACATGCATACTGCAGAAGTATTTATTTATAATTTAATTGAATAATTCGCCTGGCTATATTACGAGGACTGATTGACCAAGATAGATTTTTTTTATTCATCTTTGGAATTTGAACTTGAACTATGCCCCAGAAAAAAGATAACTGTTTCAGGCACACGAAAAGGTGATTGGGTTTAATTGTATCATAAATTTTATATGTATGTGACGCATATAAAAAGGATATTAATTAAACGATTTAATTTATTAATTGAGTAGTTTAACATTTAGACTATAAATTTTATATGTACACGTTATGTAACAACAAAAAATATGTGTATAAAGAAATCAAAGGTTACAATAAGACCATACTTTCAAATAAAAAATGAACCAAACCCTTCAATTCGGCCACTTAAAATTTGTCAACTTTTCCGACTCGTCCCAAAATCGTTTCGCCATGTCTTTATCTTTGGCAAATGGAGGTACCCAGGCCGGTGCGACGTCTCCCTTCATCTCGTAAAATCCATTCGGACCATAATACCCGTTCTTCTCGACGGCTGGAGACGTCGCCGCGTACAATTGGGGTAAAGCCCCTCGCGCCGAGGTCTGCGAAAACAGCGGCTTCATCACGGCGTTGGTGAATCTTCCCAGGAATGTAGTTCCCGGACCGTTGTCGACCAAACCAGTGTCAGAAAATCCAGGATGCGCCGACACCACGGTCAACCCCCACCCGTTCTGATCACTCCTGTTCTGCAGTTCCAGTGAAAACAGCAAATTGGCCAGTTTGGATTGACCATACCCTCCGGTGGCTGAGTAACTTTTGGCGAATTGCATATCGTTGAAATTGATCTTGCCCCATCTCGCCATCAGACTCGAGACATTTACCACTCGTGGGGACGAGCTTCTTCGCAGAGATGGGAGCAGTTGACCGGTGAGGGCGAAATGAGCCAGGTGGTTGGTGCCGAGTTGGATTTCAAAGTTGTCCGATGTCGTGAGGCGGTTGGGTGGCGTCATTACGCCGGCATTGTTGACGATAATATCTAAAATGATTTAATTACTTAATTAGCACATGTACATATTTACTAAAAATCGCTTAAATAAGTATAGGTATGTATTTAAAAACGCCAAAATATTTATGAAATATGTACGAAAATAAAAACAAATTTTCGCAAAAAAAACTTTGTATTGCTGAATATAATGCTCTGGATTTTTTGTAGTCGAATATTTTTGAGCAAAAATTTCGACTTCAAATGAAAAAGTTGAAAATAAATACATATCTCTGCTTATTAGTCTTACATATATTTATTTTCATACAATAATCGTATATAAATATACAAATATTACCCAATGGCTGTCCCCTGGCGTTGTAATTTGTCGCAAACTGCTTAACCGAAGCCAAACTCCCATGATCAATTAGGGCAAAAGTAACATCCGCGGAAGGGTGTGCCGCCTTAATTTTGGCTACCGCATCAGCCCCCTTGGTTTCATTTCGTCCCCCGACAAGCACCGTGGCCCCAGCCCCACAAAGCGCCAACGCAGTGTCGAACCCAAGCCCTCCAGTGGCACCAGTCACCAAAGCCACCTTTCCAACCAGAGAGGGAATATCGCTCGTTGTAAATGGCTTAGCGCGAGGCATGTTCGGAATTTTAAATGAAACTGAATAAGTAAAGTTTTGGAAATATCCCGTGACAAACTATGTATTTTAATTGCAATTCAAGTAAAATTTCCACTTGCTGGCAAACGGACTATTTGAACACAGCTCGACTCTTCTCTAGGCACACTAAACACAAGGACAAAGCCAGCCTCAATTATCGTCCGGCTTTTTATAATGTCGCAAGGTCAGGGTATACATTCTACAAGTGGCTATACGTTTCTGTACTTATTACATACGCGAGGTTGTCACGCAAAAAAACACATAAAATCATCATCATCCATGATTTTTGCACCATCATTACACAGTGAGTCACAATGACGAGCAGACAATTTTGCAGTTGCACTCGCACTATCACGCGATCAAGGATTGTTATTGCATGTAATGGTCAATTAAATTAAGTTTGGTTGCAAAATATCATGTGAAATGAGACATGATTACCATGCGAAAATACATCGCTTTCTTGCCGACCAGTAGCCAGCATATTGGTTTGTCCTATATGCATGCGTGCATAAGTAAGTAGTAAATGCGTAGTAAATTATACCAGCTTTTATGAAACAGTGAGATTTTAATTTTCGATCCAAATTTAATTTCTTAATATTTACGTATTTAAAGTTCTCAGCATGAAAAATAATAAGTTAAAAAAATAGGTAATTCGAATTTAATCGAAGTTTCATGGAGTGTTGTTTGAACACTGTCGAAGTTTTGGGTCTTTATGTATGCCTGACTTAATTTATCACTTGAAAACGTGACCCTAATGCTAAAACCACACATTTTTCCAGAAGTCTTTGTGACAAGTTTCTCAACCTTTTCTACGCACGTCTTGATAATGAAATATTTACAAATAACGTAATATTTTTCTTCATTTTTTCGCTTAGACGTCTGTGTAAGTCTAATTTACTTAGGAGAGTGAAACTAATGTGAATATACGAGGTTGTACTTGCAATATCTAAGATAATTTATGTATCTAATTTTCCAAATAAATTATTAATTGATCAATTTCTGTTCATTAAAACCTAGACTATTTTTTCTTCGTCGAGGTCTCTGTACTCATTATGCTTAGCACTTAAGCACCCCGACCACTGCGAGATGAATGACACTGCTCATCCACATATAAACATTTTCAGTTTGGTAATTTGTTTACTTCCTTCGCCAGTACGAGATCTGCATGAGTTTACACGTAGCTGAAACCAACTTTCCTCCTCACTTTGACTTTCACCCGAAATTCTCCACTTTGTTGGTTAGTTCCACACAGGCAGGTTTTCGCCCCTGGATTTCTTCCTCTGCTCCTCGCTTTCCTCATAATATAAGCTCCACACCACGGCCAACTCGGTTCAGTCAAGTTCCATCGCTCAAAGCGTTGTTACTCCAGACTTTCCATGAGAGAAACCTTTCAATTCTACTGCTGTCTAGGTCGACCAGAATTTTTAAAATTGACCCAACCAGCTCGAACACCCACTTAAGTGCAACCTAACCTTCCCCCTTTAAGTGAATCACTCACCTAAAAATACAAACTTCTCATAAAATTAGTATCAATCGGTGAAATCATCCACAAACATCTTACTTTCCTTATCCACTTTCTCTAAAAAAAAGAAAAGCAACACAGGAAAAACGAATCTATGAAAAAGCATTTCTTAAAAAAGACAATTTTCTTTTTGAGAGTGACTCCTCCTGGATGAGAATCTACTTGAGCCAGAAAGCGACTTGTTTTAAATCTAAAGTTAACTTGAACGAACCGACTTTCTCGCGTAGTTACATACGTATCTTCATTCACGTATGCTGCCTGGTGATCAGGACGAGACGAGGAGAAAGCAATCTCAAGAAAGCCTCTCGCTCTCTCTTTGAAAAGGTATTGTGTACGAGAGGGAAGGAGGTCGCGGTCGTGGGCTGCGACTGACTGACTGACTGAGTGACGGTCTTCCTATACGGAGAAGAAGAAAAAAAACGAATCAAAAAGAAAGTTGCATTCCGACGTCGGTCTTCCCACAATGAGCGGAATCTTAGAGGAGACACATTTCTATTAATATTTGAGACTTGCTTGGAGAGAAATGCGTGCCGACGAAGAAAGAGCAACAGTTTGCCTCGCGAATCTTTATCGGTGCAAATAAAAAAAAACTGAGAAACCCAACCAAACCATCACAATTTCCCGAGTACGGGAGGTAAGTTGATAACCAATACTTTTGTATGTGCACTGTTAAAAATCTGGTAGAGTCGGATATACACTCCGTACTGGTATTGATTTGGTAATAACTTCCTACCGGGTTGGTAGTGGTTTGTTTCTGAGCGGTAAATTTTTCATTACTAAACTATAACGCCCGTTATTTCCGTGCCGAAATAGTCACATACGGTCAGTAATGAAATACCAGTTTTCTAAGAGTGTATATATATGTACACGTCTCTTCATGCCTTCCTCCATCTCCAGCTTATTAGTATTGGTTTGGTTAGCCGACATACTGCCGCTCCTCTGCTGATTAGATTTGATTCCAACTATTTCGCTTGGATGATGAAGTGGTCCTCCTTATTCCTTCTTGATTCCGAGAAGGAGAAGAATTCGAACTTGTACAAATAAATTGGAGGAGCTCGCATAACTCATTTTCCTCCCTGGGTTAAGTAAAATTATGGTTGATTTTTGCATCTACATAATCGTAAAATTGGGAAAGAAGAAGAAAAAAGAATCTGTCCCGAAACAATATTGACTTTTATGTCTGCCTACATACAAACCTCCCCCAATTTTTCCCTGTTTTACTTCCTTCCCACACACACACGGTTCGTTTTATTTGTTGCTTTGTACAAGGTTTATTGCGCTATCAAATCTGCCTCTAGTCGTGTTTAATATGAAAACTGCATGGTTGCGAGCAGTCCCCACGGAACAGGGGGACAATGTCCCCACGGTTATTCGATGTCCGTATCATCTGCCCATCTTATATAAACCAGACTTCATGATTTGGTCGGAGATTTCCTACCTACATATCTGAGGTTGCCAGCTAACTCCCAAGATTTACAAATGAATGGGAGGGGACGCACACATAATACGTCATCAAACAAATCTCGCAATCACCCGACTACACTTAAAAAGATTTTTAATGCGGAAAAATAATGTTATACCAGCACTATATTTGACCAATTATCTCGGTAATTGATGTGAAAAAATTATGCTCATAATGTTACAAAGTATGCTGACGTCGAAGAGATTGCACAATTTCAATCTGGAATTATATAATTTGGTTTAAGTGTTGGTAATACCAGTACTATCTTTAATCAATTATCTTAAGAAATTTAAATTATTTGTGACTTTACGAAGCTTGCCAGCGTCAATGTCGTTTCACAATTTTTAATTTATTTTTTTATTTTTTAGGGTCTTTTTAAGCGGTTTTGAGTGACTGTAATACCAGCACTATCTTTAATCAATTATTTGACCAATTGTTAAATATAATCCGCACATATCAAAAAAAAAGTTTAAACCAAATGTCTGTACTAATAAAGCGACGTGATATGTGATCGTCCCCTCAGACTCGTAGTAGGCAGTTTTACATACTGAAAAGTCTTGTGGCATCTTGGTCGGAGACGGGTTAGGATTCTCCCACCAAGCCCAAAACTCTGATATAAACCCCTTCCTTCTTCTATCCTACAATGTTAATGTCCCCAGATGTCCCCACAGCTTCCGCGGTCACTGGAATATGAGAATCATGTTCCGGGTGTGGAGCCGCCGTTGGTTACACAAGACGCAGATATGTACATTTGGTGGCTTGGCTTGGGTTATGATTATTGTGAACAAGGAGTGCGAATTTTGGTTTCAAGAGCAAATAATAATAATACGGACAATAAATTAGCTCTGATCTCCGGGTGTCAAGTCGGATTCCAATCAACATTTCGGTGGGTTAGTGTATATAATATGTACATATGTACACTGCTAACTCGTGCTGGGTCGGTGTATTCAACAAGTTAGTGGGTTTGGCTCAAAGGGAGGGGAAGCTCGGTTAGACGGAGCAGAATGAAATGGCTGGGTTGGGAATTCATTTAGGGAATTCATCCATATTGCATCCTCCTCCCCGACGCGGAGCACTTGCAGTATGTGGCTGCCTGCCTCCTAATAGGCAACGTGCATCGTGGTGAAAGTTGCCTGGTGAAAGTTTAACCGAGACGGGTTACGCTGTAGATATGAAGTCGTGTTACGATGAATTCGTGAATATGGGATATTTTAGTAAATGACTTAATGCAGGCTATATATACAAGTCAGTCACTTTCTACACGGTTCAACCGTTACAAAAGTGACATCTTCGGTTGTCAGTCAACCTTTTTCAGTGTTTCGGGTGCAATTAACCACGTGCAAGAAATAACTACAAGAAAGTAGGTATTTTGACCTGCAAGAAACGCAAGGCGCAAGAAACTATGTCCCGCCGCTGTACTTCATGCGGCGCGTGGCTAGATGACACATATTTCTTGCACTTTCTCCCACTTTCTGGCACCTCGCATTTCTTGCTTTGCACTCCAAAAAAATGTAGTAAACCAGCCAGGAACGAAACACTGCCCATTTTCCTCACAAAAAAGACTGGCACCTCTGACAAATTTTCTGAATTGTTCCACCCACAAAAAGTCGCTACTGACGTCAATTAGTCGCAAAGATACATATACCCCGACGAATCAGGAAGTATTTAGGAGGGGCATAGTCACTCACCAAGGACAACATATTGGATACTGAAGAGGTGTCATCAGTTTCAAAAGAAAACACTTTGTAAGTAGAAGTTCTGGTCGTGCCTAATTCATTTCCAGAGAGGCGAATACATTCTTCTGATCCTTTATCATGGAAACGAAGCACTCGGTGAAAGTGAAGAATTCAAATGTCATTAGAGCAAACACAAGTCGTCACTCATCCCTCATTTGAATTACACTGCCCACTCTTGTTTTCCTCCCAGCACATTATAAGTACAAGATCAAAATTCCATCACTCCTTAAAGTGATACAAAAAGTCGTCACGTTAGCTCCGTTACCAAGAAAATATTTACTTTTGCCCGGAAGACAAATGGTCTATTATACAATTTTGTGGTCATCAGTGGCCGCGGAAGCTGTGGGGACATTAACATTGTGGGATAGGGGAGGGAGGGGTTTGTATAGCATGGGGAGATGACGGGGACATCGGATAACCTTTGTCCCCCTGTCCTCACGCTTCCGCAGCCCCTGGTATTTAGATACCTCATAAATCAAGGGAATCTATTCATGCCTGGAGGTTATGTACCTCATAATTTTGCATTTAGTTGATTGTTCTCCCAGCCTCACATTCTTTTACTTAAGTAAAGAAAAATACATAAGTAAGTAAACGAGAAACATGAGAATAACGCATTATTACACTTTCTCTCTCTCCTTACATCCGTCCATCCATGGCTCTTTGATCTCTTCTCTTCTCTCCACTCGACAAACAAAACATTAGCGAAACCAGTAAGCAGACATTCAACCGGACATGGATGCTAAGTGATTCCACTCTGGAATTCCACTCCTGCTAACTCATCGTATACATAAATATGTATGCATTTGAGCACAAAGATAGGAAGTAACTATCATCACCCACGACCACGAGCCAAGGAATGTGCTCAATAAAGGTTTCATTTGGTTGGTTGGTTGTTGCATCGGGTCGCAATTTGCAGTTCTGCGAATCAAATCAATTATTCATCGAGTCCGCGGTTTCGTTTCGCGTTGGGATGAAGGAATTGATGAAAGTGGGGAGAAAAAAAATAAGGATTCTGCATTTTGGGTGGGAATCATCATCAATCTCTGTCACACATGGTGACCAGTACCATTCGTAACCTTCATGCAAGCAGTGAATTGAATTGGATTGGATTGTCGGGACGGACAAGGGACGACGACGAAGGAAGAGAGAGAGAAGATGAGATAAGGCGCTTTAGTTAAGGTGCACTTTGTAAAAAAGAAAGAAAGAAAAGACGACTACACTGTTAAAAATCTGGTGGAGTGAGATATATACTCAGGACTGGTATTGATTTGGTAATAATTTCTTACCGGAGGGGTAGTGATTTGTTTGTGAGGGGTAAATTTTTCATTAACACAACGCTATTGAACAGTAATGCCCGTTATTAGCTGGTAAATATATGTACACCGGTCAGGAATGATTTAATACCAGCATTCCGTACTGGTATTGATTTGGTAATAACTTCCTACCGGATTGGTAGTAGTTTGTTTCTCAGTCGTGAATTTTTCATTACCACAACCTTACTAAACGGTAATGCCCGTTATTACCGTGTCGGTAGAGTCACATACATATGTACTCCGGTCAGTCCTGCCTGCTTTACTCCCTATTTTCTAAGAGTGTACACACAAAAGAAAATAAAAAAGGAGCAAAATAAGTAAGAGCAAGCACAACGCAGGGCGAGAGACATGATTGCATAAATAGTAATCCTCATCTTTTCTCACGAAAAAGAACGCAAAGAAAGGTGAGACTTTCTCCACTAATTGAACATCTAGCTTCGTCTGCGAAGAGAAATTTATCTTCCCCGTGGCAAAGGTTGTGAAGAAGTGGTTTTTTTGTTAGCCCCGAAAAAAGGAGATGCATGCATGTAAACACATTATAATATTTATCAACTTCGCCTACGTGCCCAGTCCAGCTCAGCATGACGTGCTTGCTACTTGCTTGTGGTGTTATTTTTCAGAAAAAAAAACTGAATTGAATTTTGATAATGCTTCTCAGTCAAATCATGGTTAAATCCACGCCAGAGGAACGACATACATAGTCGATGCTGAACAAACAGAGCGCCATTTTATTAACTTTTATGTACTTTCACCTGTTGGTATGGGTCAAAGTACGATAACAATTCGAATGAAGGTCGTACTTTTTGCATATTTTATGTCGAAAAGATGCCAATTTTCTAAATTGTACGATTTTTTTTGCAGGCCCTTGAAGAAAATTTCCTTCGCCGAGCTAACACGGCGCACTTTCTCCCCAAAATTGTTAAACTTTCCACCTAAAAAGTGGAGCGACCCATTCATCCCAAAATTTTGAAACAAAAGTAATAAACTTGACCACCATGCCGGGAAGGAAGGGACTCCTCGCCCCGCAAAATACATTCCTTGACACCATCGCGACACGTTTTGATGGGACACGTAAGTCTACTTTCACCCACTTTTTGCCTAGGTTATGACTCTTACTTTGAATAACATGATTAAGAAAGTCTCAAAATTTTCGCAAAATTTTCTGAAAACTTTGCCAAGTGAAGGAGCTGAACCAGTTAATTTTCTGGTGAAAGTTTCCGTCCGCAATTTATTTGAAGGTTATGTGTCTCATTTCATCGTCATGACACCCTCGTTATTTTTGGCCAGGTCGGTTCCTGATTCACTTAAGATTTGTAGGGCAAGGATACCTCTGACCGCCGGAAGCCAAGTCATTACAGAGCACGCCACCAGACTGATTTTTAATCTGGGCGAAACTTAGAGTGGTGTAAATTAGATTAAGGGAATTAATTAAAATGCGCTGCTGCTTTATTATAACTGCGTTGTAGGTACGCCATGTTTTGTAAGACGCTAAAATAGACCAAGTAGGTAGGTATATTTGCTTTATGCAAATATTTAAAATATCCAAAATATTTTGGTTTCCAAGATCTTGCGCAATATTTACAAAGTGAGATTCATTTAATGCGTAGTTAGATTAGCCGTAAGCTAAAATCTGGGCGTGATAAATAGTATGTCTGCAAAAAAGGTGAAAATCCCTGCAAAAAAACGAACTTAATGGTGAAAATCTTTGTCTCATTTCTCGTAATGCAATTCTCTCTCAATGGAAAATGGCTTAATCGAATTGCACTGACGGAGTACAGAACTCGAGGACAATTACGGGGGAATCGGGGAGGTGAGTATGAATAGCCAGCAGGTGTGTGTCGTTCGTAACGACTTGGCTGGCGATGAAATGGAAATAATCGTGTGTGTCAAGGTAATTGTAATGAAATTTCGGCACCATCAAATCAGCAAATAGAGTCACCTTCGTCAACAATTTAATTCACTTGGTCATTGTCAACTTCTTCGCTAGCTCCTTTCTTAGAATCAAGTTCATTCAGTCCCATTCTCGACATTGACAAGGAGAGTGGCAAAGAAATTGAAAAATCAATCATGTTTTATTATCAGAGGGCGGATATGTATTTATTTTCAGCGTTTTCAGGTGATGACGATTGATGGTCAAACTTTGTGGGTGTGTTCCCTACCCTAACTCGCATAGATCATAAAAACTTCGAAATATTTTTATATAATGCTTACATATTTCTAGGTTTTTAGACATAAATATTTCCAATATTATTTGAAAAATGCATAAAAATTTTAAATACTTGTTTTAAATATATATATTTTTAAATATTTAATGATACGAAATTTTTTTCTCCAAAGAAATTCGACTAAAAAATCCAGAGCGTTGTACTAGTCAGAAATACAAATTTTGCGAAAATTTTTATTTATTTATTTTTTTTTCGTGCATAATTCGTAAATATTTTAGCATTTTTTCCCAAATATTAAATACATATTTCACTGATTTTTCGTAAATACATATCCGCCCTCTGTTTCTTGGTGAAAAGTTTAGTCTCCATCAAATTGGCCACCATTCTAACTTTGAAGGGAAACTACATATATACTTATATAAATTGAAGTTAGCTAGAGTGGTCGACGGCCATGAATTCCTAAAAAGGGAGAGAAAAGCTCGACAAAATCTAAACGCTTGTAATAGACACATGAAATTAACTGAATTTGGAAGTGATTGAGAGTGGCAGGATGTTATCAAGGAGTCAATTAGTGAGATTGTCGCTTGTACGAATTGTCAAGTGATGTCGGCAGGTAGCAATTATTTCCTGTGAATCATGTTCCCCCCGTAAAATTTTAGATATTCATGTCCAATATAAAAAGGTGAATGCAAGGTGAATGGGTGTGGAAGCTTCAGTACCTTTTAAAAATTAATGAAGGTTCGTTTGTGCATGTGCATGTAAGTAAACTCAAACCTGGTAGGAGGCTCGGCATGCATCTGGTTATGCGTCTCTGGGGTGGATTCAAATAAAATAACTCGGGTGGAAGTAATGCGAGGATAAAAGAGGAGAAACTAATTGAAGGCAGATTCCTGGAGAGGAAATTGCTCCCGCATCGTCATTATAATTCACGATTTCATTCAAAGTAAAGTTTTTCTAGCTTGAATAAATCGACAATAGTTTTCATACCACGAGAAAATTTTATTAAACGACGAATTCAATGTATTTTTCCATGTTATAAAAATGTATGCTTTTGTGTGGAGTTAGTCACAATGGAGGTCTTCCAGCGTATGCTCGCAGATTTGGAGCTAATTAGTGCCAATCGAATACAGATTTAATTAATATGAAATTTGCAAAAGGCATGATCTCCTAATTGGCAAATTTGACGGAGTTAAGTATTTTCATCCTAAGAGGAGAAGTAGCGCCCTAAGCTTGACAAATTTTACCTTTCCAAATTTACTGCGTGTTTTCTCCTCTTTTGGTGCAAATACCTCTACCAAATGTGACCAATGGGAGATCGTGTCTTTCATACTAATTAAATTTGTGATCGATTGGTACTAATTTGACCAAAATGTGAGAAAACCTTCACTGTTAGTTTACCACTGAAAAAAAATAACTGAAAATCCGTTTTTTTCCCCAAAAATCACTACTCAACCTTCATATTATTTGTACTTTGATACCTTCTCAACGCATCGAATTTCTCCTTGTAAAAAAGCAATAATCTGAAGCGAGCACTTGTTGGTTGAGTATCGGTGAAAGGTGTGCCCCGAAAGATATTAACTTTCACCTCCTTGAGAGAAACAAGTCCAAGGGCAATTTGACCTTTACATCGTCTCCAGCACTAATTAAAGCACCGTCTCCTGAGTTACATGACACAATATCCCTTTTACAAGAGAAAGAGTCAATTACGAAGTTGATACTTTCAGCCTCAATTGAAAATCGCTTATAACAAGCAGTGCAGAATATCAGCTACATACAACAAATAAATATCGTTTCTATTTAATTGCTATTTTTTTCTTTTCTTCATTCCTATCCAGATTCCTCTGATGTGATCAGTGTTTAATTTCTTGCACCTTTTTGGCATTTCATGCACTGTAAAAAAAACTGCAAGATATACAAGAAATGCAAGAAATAGGTGCCACCTTAATTGTAGGGATTATCCGCTAATCCTACATAAGTGTGCCTTATTTTTAGAATTTTTTGCACTACTGCATGAAATGATACCTGAATAAAAACAATTTTTTGCAGTAATTTCTTGTAAGCGGTTTTTTACCACAGCAAACACTGCCTCAAATATTACCACTGAAAGTGAAAAAGGCACTATCTAAAACGGATGTATGTAACATAACATCTAAAAAGTATACGAAAGCATTTTTTAGATGAGATCGAGAAACGTATCATTGAATTAATGGAATCCATATCTCCGTCATGTCGAGTTCTATCGCTTCCCGTCATCCTGACAAACTGAGTCAGCTTTTACTTCGGAAACGAGAAATCCACCCATCCATCCATCCCATACATATTACAAATCTTGTCCCAGATTCATTCATCAACAATTGTGGGTGGACAATTCTGTGTACTTCTTCAAGTCCAGGTTGATAGATCATGTGGCCGAAAAAAAGAAGCACAATTCCACCATTAGCACTACGTAGTTGAATTATTTCGTACAAAAAAACACCAGACAGACGAATGGAAAACAAAAGAAATGCGACCAACACATTCATCATGTGCTTTGAGAGCAGGGGCCGCGGAAGCCGTGGGGACATTTGGGGACACTAACATTGTAGTATAAGGGAGGGAGAGGTTTGTATAACATGGGCAGATAATGGAGACATCGAATAACCGTGGGGACATTGCCCCTCTGTCCCCTCACGCTTCCGCGGGCACTGCTCTCGAGAAGAAAATATACGCACAAGGAAAATCTTAGTGAGCCTTTTCCTCTGTTCTTGAAGGCAAAACTAATCCGTATTCGGGGACAAGGTTAAAGTTGTGAGAGTCTTTTTTCTTACGCCAAGAAAGAAGCGGTCCATCATAGTCTGGCTGGCTCTCGACTTGATTCTGCGTGTCGTTCTTGGTTGGATCGAGCTGTGGTAAATTGTGATAAGTTGACCGTATTAGATTTCCTCCTCTGTCAACCACGTCGTCGTCCTCATTGGCTTTGTAACACGGAAGGAGAAGAAGAAGCAGTTGAAGAGAAAGTGAGTCACTCAATTGGTTGCTTTCTTTTTTCTCTGGCTGGGTTTCATCATCCTTGACTTTTCTTAACTCCTCGGTGAAGAAGAAATAATACACGTCTTGTGTTCCCATCCGACTTGATTGGACCATGATGATGATGATGACGACGATCTTTATTTCTTTGCCCGACCAGTTACTTTCTCTCTGCTGCTCTGTTCGAATTGGTTGTTGTGTGTACAATACTTGCTGCCAGTTGCTGTACTTTATTAAACAAAGGTAAAGTTTGCTTGACTCACGTCCAACTCGTTAACCCGGACAAACAAGGAGCGTGATTTCCTTCCAGATCAGTTTCTCGATCTTGTGCTTGTTCACCTGGTGGACTGGAGGAGATTGGCAAACAATTGAGAAATCTGACATGGATAAAAAAGTGTAAAGTACGAGTGGCTATCAAGAGGTCAACGTGGTTTCTCTGGGGGTGACATTTTCAAATTGTGTAGTAATCAATTATATGTTTGTAGTCTGACATTTGCTGACTAAAATCACTAGCAATGAGTAATCACTTGCAAGAAATGACGGCAAGAAAGTATTTTTTGCAGGTTTTGTAATTTGACCTGCAAGAAATACAAGGCGCAAGAAACTTTGGTGGATGGCACTTATTTTTCGCACTTTCTCCCAGTTTCTTGCACCTCACATTTCTTGCATTTCTTGCTTTCCAGTGCAAGAAATGTAGCAAATCAGTAAGAAACGAAACACTAAATTCCAAACTATTAATCAATTACTTTCTCTTAATATACCCCCAGAGAAAGTTGACCTTTATCACGGAAGGACGTTCCACCTGTCAGGCATGATTACATATGTAGTGGAAAAAGATCTTGACACTGATGTATGTGCAGTTCACATGCTGATAAATCTGTCCCGTTTTCTGGAACAAAT